AATAATAAGATAAATAAAAAAATAATAATCAATTATTTTGTGAATTTTAAATTATACTCAATGAATATGATAATTCAGAATTAAATATTCCACTTTCAAAATAAGTTCAACCAAAAAAGAATGCTGAAAAATAATTGAAACTTTAAAGGAATACAAATAATTAATAAAAGCTCAAATAATTGCCTGACCTTGTTTTAGGAATTTCAGAATTCAAAGTAAAAAAGACGACTAGCACTAATGTTCAAGAAACATAAAGTTATCCTTAGGAGGAGTCATTTTAAATTGATTTAGTATTAATTGATGATAGTGAATAAAAACCAAAAGAGGGAGAAAAATAGATAGACATGAATAAATTGTAAGGAACCTGCGCATAGAATGTTGCAACTAAGCAATATCCTTCCCAAAACAATTAATAAAACAAATTAAGGGTTGTAAAATCAGTTCAGAGTTCAAAAACAAACCGAAACAATTCTGAAACTCATTCTAAGACAGGGAAATAATCAATTTCTGAGATAAAAGATTAATAATAAAAACGATAAGTTGAGTTGCCTCAAGGGCTTACTTTGAATCAGTTGTTGTAATTGGAACCGAAGACATAATCAAATTAAAAAACTACTCCTAAGTAATAAGCATAATAAGATATATAAAATTAATAATAAGAAAAATTAATAGTAAATACCACTAGCAGGTGTTGCTTGCCAATAATACAAAAATTATAAGATTTTGAAGTCTAATAACTTGAAAATAATCTGTTGAATGTTGAAATGGTTTAATATGATTTGGATTTAAATGAAATCAGATTTCAAAAATAAGTTATTGAGATAATAGAATCTCATCACTTAATAATGGGGAAATTATTATTTAATTGCATTTATGATAATGGAATGAAATATTATGTAGAATATGATAAATTGAAAACATACTGTCCAACATTATTATTAGATTACATGATAGTAAATTCAATATTAATATGATTTATGAATTTTTTCAATATAAATTCTAATTGAGTTGATTAAAATTGCAATCAAACCGAACTGATTTACTTTCATATCCATTAATTTATTTACAATGTTTCCTTTCATACTATTATAATATAAGAATATAATAATAGTAAGTGATAAATAGGTCATAGCACTTAGATATTTTCCTCCTTCCACTTATAATTTTTCCTATTCCTTTGTTACATGCTCATAGAGTCGTTTAACCCTATTGGCCTTCTTTTGAATTATTGAGTTTCCAAAATAAAGAATCACCAAAAGAATATGCAATTAACATATTACTAATGCATATATTGGAACTGGTATTTAATAATGATTAAAGATGAATTAGAGTAAATCGAAAGGTGGTAAATTGTAGAAGATGGCGTAGAATTCATAAAACACACTTATAGAAAAATAAATTGTGTTTATTGTAATATACAATTTCTTAAGAAGATTGACAAATGTTTTTAACTTCTATGCTCTGACTTCTGATCTTCTTAACATCATATTCCTTTTCATTATTAGCCCTTCGCTTTCTAAATCACCATAATAATCTTTATTCTTTTCAATATGCTATTTTATTCCGACAATAAGGATAGTAGAACCCTAGTAAATTTATAAGAGTCCTTATACAGAAATAAAGCAGTATTGAAAATCCTCATAGGTTTAATTGGTAAAGAAAAAAAGAGCCATAACAATTGCAGGCAATAAGAGTTTTCTTCTATAATACCTAAGAATATTAAAAGTAGTACCACAAAGATGATTCTTAGTGTTTTTAGGTCGAAAGTCCAAATCTCTTTCTTATTTATTCTTATTCTTCTAAATAATTAAATCTATTCAATCTTAGATGAATGGTCTCGATAACAAATTATTACCAAGCAGCTTAACCAAATAAAATTGTCATTAAAAATTCTTGACTCAATTTCAAACAAACCGACACAACCATTATAAATAGCAGGACAGTATGCACGGCTATAGCAACTTTGGTGACTATACCTATTTGTTTATTTCTTAATTGTCTCTGCATTATAAATAGGGATGAACCTATTAAGAATAATTTCATTAATTATAAAATTATAAATAAATTCATGATTGTAATTGCATTTTTACCGATAAAAAGAGATGGCTATGTAATTTATAAAAAGTGTGATGGGAATATATGAATAGACAATAAATTTCAATTTTTTAAGCATCCTTCAATTTTTGGTGATTATTATTCCTTAGGTTCTGATTGTTCCTTAAATTTATCTAAGTTACAATCTTAATTTTATAAAGAATCTAAATCTGTTTCAACTTATTATTATATAGGTTCCACTTATTCTTATTATTATAAAAGTTGTTATTACTAAACAAATTCTTATTATTATTTTTATTATTGCATTTATTATAATTTTTTTTCTTTTTCTTTTTTGATTTCTTAAGCTTTTTCATATCTCGTTAATGGCTTACATCCTTGATTTTCAGGATTAGGTTCCAAAAAATCTTAAATCTAACCGGAACTAATAAAATCATAAAATGCCTTAAGTACTCTTGGGATTTATTCTTTATTGTTAATATTCCTTGGTTATAATGTAATTTTACTTGAAGACACTTTTGATATATGGGTCAAATTTAAAAAATGTTTATTTAGCAATATTGATTGCTAAATGTGTTTTAAAATTAGCTAAATTCTTATATGGTGAATTTGTCAATCTACTTCTGGGATTAAGGAGATGATAATCAAGAAAGGCATTCACGATTCCAACTCCAACTTATTCATAGTCTTCTATTGTAAAGAACTTGGATTTGGGATCTGCTGTATACAAAGTTCCCAAAATGATATTTTCCTCTAAGTTGTTTTCTTTATAAGAATTATCTAATGGGTTAATATATTAAATACCTTCAGATTCCTCATACGTTAAATTAGTAAGCCTACCTGTATTGTAATTGCATTCAAGTGTATAACTATGAATTATTCCACATGTCTTAAAGAGGGCTACTCTGCCAGAGCCTTCTTTACTCAACCCGTCTCCTTTATCTGCAGAGTACATGTTCTTCTCTGTAAAATTACAAGAATCATAATCAAAAATTTAAGAGTACAATGTAATTAATTTAGGAATTGAACAATTTTAAACCTATTTGCTTAATTGATTGAGTTAATTGCCATAAATAAATGCTCCTTTATGACCAGCATGAGCATGTAAATCAATATATCCAAGGAAACGATCTGTTTTATGAAGTCTGATTAGATATTCCTTGATAGCATAAATTGTTGGATGATCTTCTTTAGAAGGCGATAAATAATAGCGATTAAGATTCTAACAGAGGGAATCAGTCCTGTAATGTCCTCTATAAACACCATCGGGATTAATAATGGGAATAAAGCACCAAACAAAATTGTCTCTGGCAGCACTAGCGACAGGATCATTTGGATTTAAGAGACATTTGATTAATCCATTTAGAACAAAAGAACTAGGCACTTCTCCTGGATGAACACGAGCAGAGATGAATATATGAGGTTTCTTAAAAACAACAGGTCTCGTCTAAGGGAAAATTCCAGGTAATGGTTATTCTTGAATTTCTGAGGAGCCATTTGTGATTGTAATCAAATTGATAGGTCTACCTTCTTTGGAATAAGAGAGTATGGAATTATCATAATAAATATTAGGAATTTATTATGATACAGTCTAACAATGCTATAGAAAGTTCTAAGATATTGAATTTAGGTTACTTCATTGTCTTAACAACTCCAAGGATAGAAAAATGCAAAATACACTGTTTCATGATTAGGAAACATGTGTTGGAAAGAGATTTCAAATTATTTTTCAGCTATTAGTCTATATTAACAGGGTTCTTTAATTCTTTCCCATTGAGTGGAATTAGAGGCTCTGAAAACAGGCTGCATACCTTCTTTAAATAATCCCATCTTCTAATAACATCTTGAATTACTTAATTTTGCATATTTGCTATTACAAATGTGATAGCTTCTTCAGACATTGCAGATACCGAGAAGTAGAACCAGGTTCTATAATTAGTGGTTTTTCCATTGATTCCCCAATCACTTGAGATTTGGAGGATATACTTATGATTTGATTATTGATTTATTTCTTACTTTTCCATCTTCATAGCTAACACTTTTCAAATTGCCTGAATCAAATGCACTTGAGAAAGTGATGTCATTAATTGTTTAAGTAATCTAAGAGGGATATTCGGGGTTATTCATATTTCAAATTAATTATAAAGATTAATTACAAATATTCATTAGAGTTTTGATTTTAGAATGTACAACGCCATAAATGCAAATATTCTAAATAAGAATATGAATCCTATCAAGACATAAATGCAAGTCCAAGTGCCAAACTTAAAATCATACAGGTCGATTGGATCGACTTCATATAATTAATCCTTAAACTCTACTCTGGACAGAACCTCAAAAGAGTATGTAATAGGACTTGTGTATTGTATCCATCTAGTCCATGAGTAGAAGAACTTTGGGTTTGCAAAAAAGCCAGAGAATAACACGTACGGTAGCAATGTGTAAGGGGCAATTCCAAGAATGGCTTTCAAATCACTAAATATACAGCCAACCAACATTCCTAAAAATTAGATATTTCAATATACCTAAGCCACTGGCCCAATTGTATATGAGAATGGATACAAACATGTGCATTATCACTGCTTCTGTTGTATTGTGATATCCACACATCCAATATGATATAAGTTCTTATAAAATAGGAAGCACTATGCATAATGGAATCTCAAGAATTTGCTTGGCTATAAAGTAGGATGAAATTGAATATAATTTCGAACTCTCCTCTCTTAAGAATATTTCTCTCTCCACTGGAAATGTTAGGATGATAGCCAAAACTGCAGAGATTACAAGATTAAACACACAAAAGAAGAGAGCTAAAAAGATCATAATTTTTATATTTACATCCGGATATCCCCATTAAATCAGATACAGAGCCTTCATTATCAGCAACCTTCCAAAATACTCCCCCAAGTAACAACCCCTAAACTATTGTTTAAAATATTCTGATGTAAAATTATAGAGGATCTCTTGTAAAAGCCAAGAGATTTCTATTTGCAATTTGCTTTATTTGTTATATCTAAGAGATCTCTCTCACTTTTAAGGGCAATAATAAATTATCACCACTGATTATTTGCTACATAACATTTGGATAGCAATTTTGATCATAATATTAAAACATTTTATTGAAGTGCTTTTAATTTTCCAAGTTGTCTACTTGCATCAAACTTAAGTAATAATCCATTGGATTAGAGGATTGAGGACAAGTAAATCCCATATTTTAAAAATGATCAATAATCTTATTTTAAATTTATAATTACATTGCTTTTTTGGCCTTAATAAATAAATTTTCCCCCAACCAGAAGCATTATTCTATCGAATAATTGGAATATGTCTGTACTTGGGGAGTGGATAGTGAAAATAACTGTTCGATCCTATTAACTTGCCAATTACTTTAATTCATTGCTGAGTAATATAATAAATTCATACATAATAGCAAATGCGGTGAATGAATCTAATCCAGAAGTAGGCTCATCCAATAGGATACATGCAGGATTAGATACTAATTCATATCCTATTGATGTTCTCTTTCTCTCACCTCCAGATATACCTTTGAATGTAATTCCTCCAATTAATGCATTTTAACATTTCTCTAATTTCATACTTTTTAGAGTTTCTGTAACTCTCTGCATTTAAGTTGTCGGATCTGAAAATTTCATGCTAGCTGCAAATGTAAATGCTTCTTTTGGAGTCATAGTTTCCATAAGGATGTCATTTTGCATAATGTAAGAGGCAAATAAACAGAATTTCTCATAATCGTATTCTTGATGGTTAGCTAATACTTTTCCTCTTAATTAAGATTCGCTAGTTTTTGGAACTCTACAAGCTAGAATATTTAAGAGAGTTGTTTTGCCAGCTCCTGAACTTCCTAAGATGGCAGTAACCTATCCTCCAGGACAGATACCAGTCAATCCTTTTAGAATGGGTTTGTTTTCTTAAGATTAGGTTATCAGAATACCTTTTTGTTAGCTTTTTGGGTCGATGACTCTGACAGAATACTCTATATTTTCAAATGATAAATCAACTAGGTTGTTGGATTTGAGGGATTTAGATGTCGAGGCCTAATTATTTGAGTTGATTAGTTGGATCCCTGGTGCATTTTCAGGAAAAACTCGAGTGATTTTCATATGGTTTATAAAATTAAATTTATTAAGAAATTCTTCTAATTCTTTGTTCTTAAGAATTGAAAAATTAAACTGAAAACTGACAAAAGCTGATGAAAATATATTATTGAATTTTATATAATAAATATAATAAATCATGCTTATTTACAAAACTTCTTTTAAATTAAATCGTTGAATTACAATGGGTCAATCATTAAATTATTAGGAAGTAAGAATGGCGTATTCTTATTGTTAAGTAACAACTCAAGAGATATTTAAGGCAAAAACTTGTATTGGTTCAGAAGTTACTGCTATTACTATTGTTGTTATTACTATTAGACCGAGATGTCTGGTTTGGTGGTTGGATAGTTCTCCTTCACTTTGATTTCATCCTAAAATCGATTTGCAGACAATACTTTATTGAGATTGATAAGGAGAGATGTAAACTATTAGGGAGTCATTTGAGCAGTCATTTCATCGATTTGATCATCCAATTGCTACTAACAGATCCTGAGGTCTTTGGATTTGCATTTCATTTGTTTGATAAGACTAAAGACATACACTCCATATTTACTAAGAAAATGAGCGCTTGTGTTCCAGTATGCGTCTCACGATGTGGATGATAGTGTTCTGCATTTTCTCTTCGCTGCATCCAGTGATTTCTTTGAATTGCTTGACATACTCATGCAATTCTTCATCTTCAAGCAGTTGAACTGAATTAATCTTTTAAAATTATACAATTTTTAGTGAGACAATTACTTCCGAAGAGTAGAGTCCCGTAATTACCATCCATCAAAATACGGGCTACATTCTGAAAGCAATATCTAATGTATTGCTTTCGTTTCGAACCTGTGGCACTAAACTTCAACTTGTATGAGTCAGTGAGTAATGCCTGCATCTCCTATCCTTCAGTAGTCTCTGGGTCTTTGCTTTGCAATTAATCGAATATCTGAGCCTGCTCAATAATCATTCCTTTGAAACATTGATTGTGTTCAATGATATTGTGAATGTGCTTGAATGTGATCTCTGTTTGTTATCGGAGTCCCTCGATCTGTCCATTCAAATCCTCGACTTTCTTCTCCAACAAACCAATGTATAGCTTCTTTCTTTATCTCGAATTTCTTGCGCTTTCCCGATTCTTCTGCATCTTCAAATCCTCATTGTCCAACTATTTGGAAGAGTTCGAAGACACGTTCTCCTTGACTCTTTTCGAAGGGAGTAGTTTCTCTTTGTCCTCCTCCATACTTACATTGAGGAGAGAACTAATTTTCTTTATGTAGGCATTCTTCACATTCCCCTTTATGTTCTGTAGACACAAGACATCATCTTTTAAAGAAGCCTGCGAGTCATTCTTGATCATCTGTCTGTCCTCCTATTTAATTTCAGCAGAACTTCTGACTCTCTTCACTTGGTTCTCAAGATTGGATATTACACCATATGGCATAAAGGGTATAAAATTCTATTACTATGCTGGTTTCTTCTGAATTTTATTATAATATAAATACCTCCTCGATATCAAGCATATAATGTTCTGGATATTCACAATCCACCTTATTATTAGAATTCATAATTATTTATAATACCTATTTATTATATAATGACGTCTAAGAATTAAAATATACAATCACAATCCACCATAAAATTAATTGATAATATATACTACGGAATATGATTCCAAGACGTATTAATTATTTTTAAATTTTAATAAAAATTGAAAACAACAAACTTTTGTGTGGATACACATTGTTACTCCCTCATAAATCTCAATTTCACTAAAAGTCCCAATCCAAAATTAATAGTTCTTAATAAAATTTTAAGAAGCTGTTATGTGGAAATAACTGCATATACATTTTGTCTTTTACTTTTATACCTGATACGAATATTGGAAATCCCCTTGTAATCAATAAGTATGCAATATGCAAAATGCAATCCTACTTGTAATGCATTATAAAAATCGATAATTTGAGAAAGGAGGGATAGGATGTTTTTTAGTAAATTAAATTTTAATTCATCACAAAATAGGGGATAATGAAATGGCTATTCAAAACTAATTATAATTGTTTGGACAGTACTTGGATTACGGATAGCAAATTTCTTGGAATATTTAGATTGACTTATAAAATTAATTATACTATAAAATTTGAATTCAAATTTATATATGAACAACTCACCAATAAGAAATCAGTCTTATTACTAAGATAAAATTAGATACCAGAGATCGCCTTATTCGGATAAAGAAAATATGATGAGTGAAGTTAATTAGAGTCAATAGACACTCTAAAGGGATGCTATTGAAATATTGAATGATGTTGCAGAGACATCAAAAATTGATGAGTCGGTTTTAGACAGTAATCTTACTTTGTTTGAAAAGATTACTCATCACAAATGGTAAATAAGAAGATTGGTCTTAATGAATCTAACAGAGGAATATTAAAAGAACCAGACTGTTTATGAATTTCAATCATCATGGCTTAAAAATATAATTAATGATAGCAATTAATTCGCAATGACAGAGGGTCTTAAATTTATATAGGTCTTTGTTAGAAGTTAACAAATGAATTACCACATATTACCCTACTTTATTGGAGATCTCATTGAAAGAGGTTCCTTTGTTAAGTCTCAAATCCAAGATCTTGTCATTGAAATATTGTTGCTATGTTGTAAAACAGCACAAGACACCGGTTTCATTCTATCAGAGATCCATAAAAAAATAGAGGCCAAACACCCTAAGATAATGACTCTCTGTTTGACAATCATTGAAAGGATTCTTGAATTCTCACCCAATCATCTAGTTAAGTATGCATATTTATTTTATTAATTTAGAGATTAAATAAGAGATTTTATTGAATTATGTGTCTCACTGGTTTCACATACGAATAAAGTAATAAGATAAAAGTCGATTAATATCTTTTGCAAGCTCTTTCAAATGATTTCAGAGAGTTTTGAATAGGTCAAGAAGACTTATTTAGACAAGAGATTGAGACAAATCCAAATTAAGGAATTGGAATAATTATGCAGCAAAATCACAAAAAAAACATAGAAAATTGAAATTTAATCGACATAACCTGTTATTTAGATTATAGATTTACATACGTTGTTGCCAGATAAATTCTTTGAAATGCCCTATTATAAACACAATGAAAAGAAGAACATGACTGAGTAATTTGCTAAGAATTTAGAGAAGTATGATGGAGATATTGATAACTCTAAAGACTATGGGAGTATTTATGCAATTATCATAACCCTGCTTGAAGAGAGCAATTATTTAATATATAGTCAGGGGATGAGATGCGTTAAGGGATTGGTCAGATTATTGAGAAGAGGAATTCCTCAACCAGTGGCTAAACATTTCTTTATTTTGATTTTGGATAAATTGAAAGGCTCTTTGTCCAAGCCTTTATAATCAGCTGTATTTAATCTATTGGAAGACATACTTATTTATGAAAACATCTCTTGTGATCAATTCATGGAACTAATGATTAATTAATTAGAGTCCTCAAAAAACATTGGATTAAAAGTCGCTTGTGCAAGGTGGTTTAAAGATGGTTGGCTAGCCTTGGCATTGGCTGTATAAACAGGTTCATATGAATCATCTGATTCCGAGGTACTCAAGAAGTTTGCTTAGTCTAATAGTGATAAAATATCGAAATCTCTTCTTGTTCTTTATAAGAAGGTATAATCAATCTTGAAAAAAGAGAACAATCTCAATTACAAGAAAGTCTTATTGGATTTGATTAATTCAATGCAATGTGACGAGCAGAATCTTTAGGTTACTGTTATTGAATCATAGATAGCAATTGTTAATCCTTAATTTGATTTACAAGAATCTAGGATCACCGATAAATAATCAAGAAAACAATAAATTAATTCTGTAAAGAGTAGGTATTAAACCGATGAAGATTTATGTGAATTTGCTTAGATCGGAGAGGATATGTAGAATTTTCATTAGGCTAATAAAAATAGGTAAAGCATAGAACTACCTACATCTCAATTGAACAGAGAGCAAACAGAGTTCATGAATAAACTTAGTAGTGATCTCACATAATTGAGAAAATTGTCATAAAACAATTAAGATCAACAAATCTAAAATAAAATAGAAGAAATTTTACTCTCATTCAAAACTCATTACTCAGATAAAAACATAACAAGCAATGATTTCTTATAATAAATGACTAGCAATATAATAATGGAATTGGTTCATTTCTGTAAGAAAGTTCAAGTCTAAAAAAAACTGATTGCTGATAAATTGTATGACTTCATCATTTCGCTATTAATCAAAATGAATAAAATCTAAGTGACATTGGATCAAGAAATGCTCTATCAAGAATATAAGATATGTTTGATCTAATTAAATCAATTGGACATTCAAAAACTATTGTCACTTTTAGAGAGCTTGTACATTTGTAATTCATTAGAGAGTATGATCAAAATCGGTTACAGGATAACTAACAAGTATCTCTAAAAATAAACAAACAGCAATATTAAAATCTTTTAAGCGTTTATTAATTGGATCACATAAAAAATTAATGCTGCAACTTAACAACAATTAGATCCTTCATTTATAAGAACCTCTTAAAAGACTTTTGAAACCACTTTTAAAATGTTCCCATAAACATAATTAGATATAAGATTATTACTGAATGCTTTCAAAAGTCGTATGGTAAATCAACAAGTAGAATAATTGGATCAATATTAGGATTTATTAAATCAATCATAAAGGAAGTCTAAATCTAAATCCTTTGGTTCTTAATCTAGATTTTCCCCTTACGAAACACCAAACAAAACACAAAGTAAATTAGAGTTTTCTGATTCTGAAGAGTAAGAGAGCTTAGAATCACTCCTATAAATAGAATAATAGATTTCTACACAATTTACTTTATAGGCCCTAGATAAGTTTATCCATTACTTGAATCGTTATCGAGCTTATTAACTTTGCAATCAATCATAACACACAGTATTCTTAAGTCCAAATTCTAGTTCACCTGGTAAGCATTGGAGAAGAGGCATTGGAAGGGATAACATGATTATAAGCTCTCCAAATAGATAATTATATGAAAGTACTAAATTCGAAGATTTCACACGAATTTTAGAAATAGTTTGTTAAAATTTCACCTTTCAAATTCAGAATCAAGTATTCTAAGTCTTTTATTTGCTCAAACACATCTTTCCAAACAGTCAATAATGTCTAATTTATCTTATCTTTGCATATATTTGTCCTAAGACTGAATATTCTGAAAATTTTGAAGTTTTCCTGAGTACATTCTTATAACTTGACAAAAGCGTTATGGCATACTAATATAGATAAGCTTTTAATATCTTGTATTAAAAATCAGAAAATGAGAAAGTATTAATCAATTTAATACACACAGGATTCAATTTTCTATTTCAAAAAATATTCGAAAATGATTTACTGGCTTGCATTCAATATTTCATCTCCACTCTAACCTACATGCTCACCTAGAATATGTTTTATTAATTAGCCAACGATTTGTTGAGCAAATATTAACAATAAACCAACAATTTCAATTAAATTGTAGAGACTGAACTAATTAATTATAAAAAACTATATGATACATATTTAAGTTGGTAGATTTAATAACAATAAGCATATGAAAAGCCTCAAATTGACTTCTAAAAACTGTATAAGTAGCAATAGAATGACATTTTGATCGTTGATCTCTAGGAAATTGATGAATGTGCATCAAAAAGAGAAGAAACTCTTAGAGAACATGTAAACAATAGTTAATAGGAAAACTTTATCCATATCAACAAAGAGGATTTTGAATTATTGGAAAGCACTGCTAAAAACTTTCTTTCTCAATAAACATAAAGGTTTAATGAAGAAGGATCATAACAATAACCTGACATTTTAAATATCCAATAATTCATTAGTCCTCTCTAATAAATAAGTCAAATCAGCAATTAAATGCATGATACTGTCCTTTAGGATTTAGCAAAGAACCTCTATTCCAATGACACACATAGACTAAAAGAGTTAGACATGATCAAATTGCAAAATGAGACCTATCGATAACATAAACGTGATAGTCATAAATAGGTCTAAGAATCCTATCCATAACTATCTTTAAAGGATCCTATGAGGTAAAAGATTGAGAAAATTTATGAAGAGGTTCAAAATGAATCTGTACATGGCAATTTCAATGAAAAAAGTCTACTTGGAGATGTTCTAGCCCCTATAGACACAACATCATTATATGATTAATCAAGAAATTTGAAAAGAAATGAATGCATTAAGCATATGTAAGAAATCTTATTGACATCAACATCATTATATTTCGATGTGGCATCAACCCTACTTCTATAATATGAAAATTTGGATATGGCTGAAGATAAATTGGCATTCATCAATGATCTTAAATTATCTTTGGTAAATTAAACTTTATTAACAAATATTAATCAACAAAACTTCTCTGTCATCATTGCCATAGTCTTACGATTATGTACCACTGTAATTTATTATAAATATTTGAATAGCCTGCAACCTAATCTGAAATCTATAGCAGTTCATTAGGATATGATGATAGTCAATTGACAAAGTGTTTATAGCAAATTCTAGATGTTCTTTTGCATTCTAAGGAGACTGAATAGGTGTTGATTTGTTTAATACATGTGTTTAATGATCATTTGCCTATGGATTTTACAAATGAAATTTCAAAAAGTATTTCAGTTTTTATATTATTAATTAGATGAAAAAATGATGTTAAGACTAAATTTAAAATGTATTGAAAGATTGATTTAGAATTGCGAAAAATTAAATGTTTTTGGTATTTTAATAGAGATACTTAAATTCTTTAAATGCCATCCTCCTGAAAATTTAATTGTAATTCTTAAAAATAATATAATTTAGGAAGGCCTACCCTCAATTAAGGAACTGGAGTTATATTTTAGATAAATGAAATAAATTACTGACAGTTTATTAAACATCAATTTCAAAGAGGGAAAAGAATTTTTGGATTTTGTTTACAGATAAAATAGTAAAAGCATATTTTTAGATTATGTCAAAAGTGTGATCGAAAAAAAATGATCTTTTAATAATTAATTTGATTTTTTAACTATTTAGTTATCATTTAAATTCTGTCAAATCATTTGAAAGTCGAGTAATCATATTTTCAAGATATGTTCTCAATAGATATGTTTAATAAGATAAATTCTAATAGAAGTTATACAAATTTTTCATCTTATTTATAATTTTATGTAATAAATGCTTCCTCCAAAAAAGGATACTTAAAGAGGATCAATAGTCGCGAATACTCCTTTAACTCCAAGAAGTCAAACTTCAAGAAAAAGCTCATAAATGAATAGGCAATCATTCGAGTAATAGGAGCTCTATTCTTCAAGGAGATTTGGGTTAAACCTAAAAGACCCATAAGTACTGAGCTACTGTTTATTTGATAGAAAGTGGAGGAAATGATCAAAATCAGATAGCAAAGATTACCTCGAAGAGAAGCGGCTAAGGACGGTGAGAAGGATCTTCGAGAAATATCAAAAGCATATGATGTATTAAAAAATGCTTTACCTGAAATAAACAATAATTAGGGAGTGATAAAGGATCAAGAACTGCTATAATTTTATAAATAATAGATCGTAATAAATTAAAATCCACGAAAAAATTTTTTTGAGTTCAACACCTATTTTTATAAGAATTATTAAGCAAATAATAATGGACCTTGCACAACTTTACCTTAATTGTTAATAAAAAAAGTGGAATCCTTTTAAAACAAATTAGAATAACTAATCAAGGATCGATGAAGGCAAAATTAGAATCTAAAAGATTTATTTAGCATGTATATTTCTATATGGCTATCTTATATTTTGTTTTTGTTATTTGTTTTATTGAATAAATCACACCAGACTTAAATTGCTGACTGATGCGGTGTCCCAACTGGTATGTCTATCTGTTCTTTTGAGACTAATTAATTTTCTTAAACAAGCCTTATAAACAAATCTTTCCTCCTCACATTCCCATAAATAATGCTTGATTTTTTTTGTTAATGGTCGCATACTAACAGTATAAGAATAAGTAAATACTAGGTGTAATGTGTTGAGCTATCTTGATGCATGGGTGTATGTCCAAAATCCTAGAGTATAAGTGGAAATAATTACGATTGACTTGCCATCAGTAAGCATTCTAGGCCACATTGAGGGCCAGCTTGGATGAATGATTTCCATTTATTTAGTATTTGATCTATTGGAAATAATTGAAATGTGTACTCGAAAGCGCAGTCTTCATAATCGTGCATTTGTTTTAAGCATGGAGTTGTGTCTAAATAGACTAGATATCATACCAAAGACAGGTGGCACTGAAGAGGGGAGTGTACCAAAATACAGATAACTCATATTAAATAAATTAATCAAATATCTGGTTCTTTTGATTAAGGATTTCTGGATTATTTTTGTTCGATTTATTCAAATACTTCAACTGGATCCTTCTTTTTACGTTAGTAGTCTTGCAAAATTTATTTAGCCGCAGCTCTTCTCATGTCAGTCTTAGCATCAATTGAAATATTTGGAGATTTGCTTGAATTAAGAACTTAAGAGGCTAACTATATTCAACCATTTGAGTACTTCGTCGTCTAATTTCGGAGAGATCTCAATAATATTATTTAATTCATAACCTGCATTTATCTAAATATTAATACCTACATATGCAAATATTGCAGCTATACCACCATAAGTAGCTATGTTTCCTACTAAACCATACCTGAACATTTTATAACCAAAATTAATAATTATTAATTCATTTATATTATTTCATTAGTTTTCTATAGTCTCCGAAACTCGATTTCATTGCCATTCTCTTCTTTACAAGTGGAACTTAATCGCTTTCCAATAATTCAATCATCGACATAGATATTTTTACTATTGAAAAATCTCATATTTTATATTACTCTCTTCAGGAGTCAACTTTTATGTCAATCCCAATTTTATTTGCTTTATGCACCATGCTATTTCAAGATCTGTCTATTCAGCTTCAGTCAAATTCAATTTTGCTTTTATTTCTTCTTCCACTTACTAAATGATCTCTTGATTCTACTCCTTTAATTTTTTTTTCTTCTCCTTTTTCTTTTGATTCCTTATTTAGTTTTTACTGAGTTGATCTCCTTATTTATCCTCTTATTCTTATGCTCCTTACTCTTTCTCTTATTACTACAATCCCTCTGCTTAATTATCCATTAATTAATATTAAAATGTAATAATTTATTTTAACCTTAAACTAATAAGTGATTTTCATAAAACAAAAATTTGAATTCGTGCTGAAGTAATTTTAAGTGTCTTGTTTTGATATAGGTTTTAAAAGATGAGATTATTTAATTATATGATAATATATAAATATAACAAATTGTGTTAGTTCAACTTTAAATACAANATGGGTGTATGTCCAAAATCCTAGAGTATAAGTGGAAATAATTACGATTGACTTGCCATCAGTAAGCATTCTAGGCCACATTGAGGGCCAGCTTGGATGAATGATTTCCATTTATTTAGTATTTGATCTATTGGAAATAATTGAAATGTGTACTCGAAAGCGCAGTCTTCATAATCGTGCATTTGTTTTAAGCATGGAGTTGTGTCTAAATAGACTAGATATCATACCAAAGACAGGTGGCACTGAAGAGGGGAGTGTACCAAAATACAGATAACTCATATTAAATAAATTAATCAAATATCTGGTTCTTTTGATTAAGGATTTCTGGATTATTTTTGTTCGATTTATTCAAATACTTCAACTGGATCCTTCTTTTTACGTTAGTAGTCTTGCAAAATTTATTTAGCCGCAGCTCTTCTCATGTCAGTCTTAGCATCAATTGAAATATTTGGAGATTTGCTTGAATTAAGAACTTAAGAGGCTAACTATATTCAACCATTTGAGTACTTCGTCGTCTAATTTCGGAGAGATCTCAATAATATTATTTAATTCATAACCTGCATTTATCTAAATATTAATACCTACATATGCAAATATTGCAGCTATACCACCATAAGTAGCTATGTTTCCTACTAAACCATACCTGAACATTTTATAACCAAAATTAATAATTATTAATTCATTTATATTATTTCATTAGTTTTCTATAGTCTCCGAAACTCGATTTCATTGCCATTCTCTTCTTTACAAGTGGAACTTAATCGCTTTCCAATAATTCAATCATCGACATAGATATTTTTACTATTGAAAAATCTCATATTTTATATTACTCTCTTCAGGAGTCAACTTTTATGTCAATCCCAATTTTATTTGCTTTATGCACCATGCTATTTCAAGATCTGTCTATTCAGCTTCAGTCAAATTCAATTTTGCTTTTATTTCTTCTTCCACTTACTAAATGATCTCTTGATTCTACTCCTTTAATTTTTTTTTCTTCTCCTTTTTCTTTTGATTCCTTATTTAGTTTTTACTGAGTTGATCTCCTTATTTATCCTCTTATTCTTATGCTCCTTACTCTTTCTCTTATTACTACAATCCCTCTGCTTAATTATCCATTAATTAATATTAAAATGTAATAATTTATTTTAACCTTAAACTAATAAGTGATTTTCATAAAACAAAAATTTGAATTCGTGCTGAAGTAATTTTAAGTGTCTTGTTTTGATATAGGTTTTAAAAGATGAGATTATTTAATTATATGATAATATATAAATATAACAAATTGTGTTAGTTCAACTTTAAATACAATTCATATCTATAATTATTAGGCTATCTAAAGACTTGAATGTACACTAGTGATCATTTCATAGATAAACTTCAAATGCAAGTTTCTTTAATATAAATTTAAATTGATATTCATTATAATTTAAGTTTCTATTAATAAAGATATTCTAAGGTTTTTTTTTCAGAATTCTAAAAATTATATCTTCATTAAAACCGTTATATCAAGAAAAAATTCAGACTCATTTAATTATATTTATGAAAAACTTAAATGAGACATAATATATTTTTTTAAAAGAGCATTCTTTAATTTTATTTAATCAAGTGTCAATATTTCTATATGTTAAAATATAAATCAGAATTTGATGACTGTTCCTTAACAATTTTTGACTCTACAATCTTGCAATATTTAAGCTTTAGATATTCTTGAGCCTTTCAAACAGATTTCATACTTAAGATAATTAAACAATATACACTGTCTTTTGCTCTTTAATGTTGGTTTTTTTCAAAGCCTAAGTTGCCAACAAATTACCATGAGCAATCTGCAATATAATCATGACTTAATCAAAAGTATTAATACCAGGTTTTATCTCTATTGCAATTGTAAAATTCTGTCTTGCACTTATCCTATAGACATGTCACATCTGCTAAGGCCACTACAAGCATTATTATTAGAATGATGAATTTTTTCATTATAAAAACGAATTAATATTCAATATGACTAAATAATCTCATCTATTCTAATACTCTCCTCATAAAGCACCTTATTGCAATGTTGTCGACTGCAACTATTTAAGCTCTTAGCAGCTGAGTTTGTGCTCATACAGTAGGTGAACTAAAGATTAAAAATATCTTACATCTTGATACCCAGCTTCTGTTCCCTTATATTAACCAGATTTTTGTGCGCGATGCACGTATTATTTAAATTGGTTTGCACATTTAGCGGCAGTTTAATCACAATTGCCTCCGTTTTTACATGCTTTTAGTTAAGCTCCACAATATGCATTGGTGCAATCTCCAGCTTTTGAAGAACACAAAACAATTAGAACGAGTAAAATTAAGAATTTTTTCATTTTTAATTTATATATAAAATAAATTTAGGTAATACCATAGAGGTAATCCAACATACTTTTATTTTAGAGATAAATAGCTATCTTTCCTATATTAGATTTTATGAATCTTTCTTATACCTGATCAATTCCTTTGATTATTATTAAAATTGATTGTGTAAAATTATTCAATAGATGAATTCACATTAAACCTATATTTAAAAGTAAGGTAGTTTAAGAGCATTAGCAATAATTCTAAGAGTTATATTTTATAAGAGGCAAGGTCAAAACAACAACGAGGAAAGATTCTAATGAATTATGCAGTTCGTTTCTGAAATGAAATATATAAATAAATAATTTATAAAAATGGGAGGTTGCTTATATCGTGAGACAAAGGATCAATATCATTATAACACTGAAGACATATTGCTGAAATAGAAGTTAACCCATGAACGATTACAGAACCTTTTGAAACTACGTGAGGATAGGGAGTAAATGTAATAAAGATATTAAAAGAACATTGAGGAAGGTGAGAAACTGAAATAGCCTAAAAAACTAAATCAATCATCAGTAGAATAAAGTGGATTTGATATTAGTCTTAGCAAAAATGTTTAGAATCTACATTATATCGAAGAGGCTGAGGATGAATCAAGTTTTATCGATTAACAAAAACCTTAGACGTTATAAAAATTACCAGATGATGATAATTATGATGAAGGAGGAGAGCTACTTTTATAATTGGCCTCTTCTGAACAGCTAAATCCAAATAAAGCAGATAATATCAGGGATTAATTGTAAGGGAGATAGAGTAACGAAATGGATGATGAGATATTGCAATACTTTAATACTACAAAGGCTAATTATGAAAGTAAAGTTGAAGATTGATTTAATAATTTAATAATTTATATATAAATGTCATCATAATCGTAATAAGAATACGATTAGGATCATGAAAATGAAGAAGAACTTTAGGAGGATGAGCAAGAATTCTCATCAAAATAATAGGAAAGCTAAAAATAGGTTAAGAGCACTATCAAGAAGGTTAGGAATTATCAAAAAGTACCTGAGAATCTTAAATCATAACTACTTAAATTAGTAATTTAGTAGGGTGTTAAAATCAATTAAGTACTTATGAGTGTGATATTTTAAGGCAGCTCAACAATTAAATTTAAAATATGCAACAGCTAAAACAATAGTCTTCACTTACAGGGCTTAATCGAAACCAAAGAAGTCTAAAAATAAAAAAAAGAAGACAACCACAAAAGTAGAATTTGTACCAATCCAAAATAATAATGTAAATCCTATTCATGTTGAAATTTCAATTGGAGGAAATCTCTAGAATAAATTTACACTCGAATGAATTATTATAGAAATATTTGCGTTATTATGTTTGAATTAAATAATTAATCAAATTTCATTCTAAAAGGATTACCCTATAAGGATTATTGGATTGATTTAATTAGTAAAATGTATTCTATTTTGAGTAATTGAAATCTGAGAGATTTGTCATTTTTCAAATTTAGATAATTGTAAATATGGTTCATAAGATATCAACTCTAATTATTAAATTTAGTTTTATGCAAAAAAAGGTTAAAAAAAAATGAATTAGCAAAATTTTTAGAAATAAAGACATCGTAAGTATGATTTGATAGAGTAAGATTATTTTGCAGTTTATCCGGGGGTTATTTGATATTCTTATCAATTAGATTTAATGTGTAAATTAAATCGATAAGCCATAGGTTGGTTATTAATAAATTGATTGAACTGTACTGTTTCAGATTTAGGGCTGACGAGCATAATTACGTTAGTAAGACAGCCATGTTGAAGATGTTTAATTATTAAATTTTATTGTTTTATTCGTATATAAATCGACTCATCGTTAAATTTTTTATATTATGAACATAATTATGCAAAATGATAATGCATACCTAGTTAAGAGAAAATTAGGAAATGGCTCATTCGGTTGTGTATACTTAGTATGTGACATCAAAAGTAACCAAGAATTTGCCTGCAAAATTGTAATTTAGATGGTACTTATTTTAGGTGTCTAAATCTATGCTGAGCAAATATTAGGCTGAGGGGATGGTGAGGTAGGAGATTCAAATTCAATCAAGCATCAACCACAGAAATGTAGTAAAAGTGTTTAATTCATTTGAAGATACTAAAAACATCTACATCATTTTAGAATATTGTAAGGAGGGTTAATTGCAAATCCCCTCACAACCATATACAAATAAGTAACTAATCTAATTCCTCAACCAAATGCTCAGTGCTCTTGATTCTATTCATCAAATGAATCTTGTGCATAGGGATATCAAAGTAAGTAACATCTCCCAAATTCCAGTTAGACAACATCCTAGTTCATGAGGATGGATCATTCAAGCTTTCAGACTTTGGATGGGCTACCCAAATATCTTAAATTAAACCAATCCTATGTGGTACGACCGAGTATATGCCTCCAGAAGTTGTCAAAAACTAAATCCATGACCAAAAAGTAGATTCCTGGTCATTAGGAGTTGTACTCTATGTATAAATATCATATATTTCAGATTTTGACACACTGCAGAAAACCTTTTGTTGCTAAAACAGATCGTGAATTAATAAAATTAATTTCTGAAAATGAAATTAAAATTGATACTTCATTGGATGAAAATCTATAAATCCTCATTCAAGCATTACTTACCAAAGATCCTGCTTATAGACCCAATATTCAATAACTTTATTTCAGCAAATGGATCAAATTTCAAATGAAACTACATAATATCTTCAATAAATATGAGCATGAAAAACTAAAGCATAAATTCATTAATCAAAAGATTGAAATTAAATCTGTAGATAATCGGTATTAGTTCTATTGATTTTAAGAGCCATCTATTAGAGAAGGAAGACTATCACTTCAGACTCATCTCTATCTCATAGTATTAGTACCTAGTTGAGCAATTGCGACATAAACGAATCAGGAGTAGTGGAAAAATAGAGATAAGATAAACTATGACTTATTAATATATAATTATCCAAATTATTGGAAATCTTAATTTTTACAGTTGTGCACAGAATCATAGGAGTTTATATTATTAACATAAAAGGGTTACTCAATTAATTGTTTTTATTATTAGATTATACATAGGGAACATTAAAATGTTAAGAATCAAAGGGGAAATCTTATTGATTAATATTATATGATGATTAAATATTATTAACAAATTATTGAGAGTAGTCTTTATAATTATTTTTGCATCATTCTCAATGTTGACTCATTTTTCAAAGTTCAAGATATTTCTAAATATACCTGATGATGATGTATAATCTGTAGGAATGCAAAAAAGTGAAATTGCATCGACTTTCTAATAATATGGAAACTTGAATGTTCTCTAAATTATTATTGGCCATGTGTTGATGCTCTAGACGAAAATAACGCTTTTGATGGTGACATTAGGATGGATTTGATAATATATTATTTGTTTATAAGCAAATGTTGTTCTGCTTTGGTTGTATCTTGAGGGAGATGGTAGTATAAATCCCACTTTATGAGGGGAAAAATTTAAAAAGAAAAAAACATTTTTAATTATAGATATGGCCTAGCATCTGTAGGACAGCGAACTATTAACAGCAAAACCTACCCTTCACAATGGATAGGAAATGGTTATTTAGGGTTTGGGTGCACAAGAACACAGTGATTCTAGCTTTTCATCCCAACATTTATGTTCTGTAAATAAATCAGACTTAACTTGATTAGAGCCAATAGAGTAGTCACAGGAACATCAATCTTAGTCAGAGTTCATTTAAGAAGATCAGTAAGAGCAGTTCGGATCTTTAGAATTTCTCAAACAAACATGCCCACATTTGTGCCCATTATAATTTCCTTGGTAGATGTCCCTTGGAACATTGCAAGTATTATTAATACGTTATAATCTATAGAAAAAGACACATTTTTATATCAGAAGACGATGGTTTAAGTGAACTAATATCAGACAACATTGACTTGATTGACAACCTCACAAGCAGCGGAAACAAACTTAAATTGCCTCACTCTACCTATGGAACTTAGTTATCTAAATATAGAAAATGTAAATCCAACACTAAGGAATTTTGCGAGAAATTGGAACACAAATTCATAACTTAAGAATAAATACATTTTGGCGATTTTCCTATATAAAATTTTTGGAATTGGAATGCATTTGCTCTGCAATCCTTTTCCATCAAATCCTAACCGGATTTGGGAAATAATCCCCAAGAGAATAAATATTTTAGCCAATTAATTAAGCCAAAACCTCTTGTGGATTATAAATAGGCCTCGGAAATTTTAGAGAATTCTTCATCAGCTCTAAACATTTCGAACGAGATCAAAAAAAATCTAATGTCCAAGCTGAAATCAGATATTGACAAAATGCAACAAAAAATAAAGACTATTTCAATGCTGAAGAAGTGGATAAACAACCAACAAGTGGATTAGAATGAGTACAAGAACTTGTATTCCTCCCTATCCCAAATTCAATAGATCCATTATACTAATTTCCTCAGGATCACTAACATTTCAATATCCAGTATTTATACCTTAATACAATTAGATTAAGCCAAATTCAACAATTAGTTTCAAAATGTCGAATACGTCTAATAATGAATTGTATCATTATAGCATGTATAGAGAGTTATGTGAATAATAAAATATTTAATATATCAATTGCTCTGATCAAGCGAGTTGCTTTTATTTCTCTGGTCTTTAATTATACAAACCCGAGTTGCATCATCGAATTCTAAAAAGTCATAGATGCTCGGAGTCAAATACTCTATTTTAGAAATAATTTGTCTCAACCAAATCTTTATCAGAGTTATTTTCTCATTAAACATTTAATTAGTGTCAGGTCCATGTTGGAAAAAGTCATTTGGCAATTTATAAATTTCAAATCCAAATTTATCTTCCTATTGCAATTTACTTTCAAGCATGACAAAATCATTGATGGTCTTTTTAAGTTGGTAATGCTTATTAGGATTGGATAGAAATATTTTTAATGTTATAACTGCATCTATCCGGCCATCCTTTTGCTATACAATTTTCCAAGTTTTGCTAAAATGAATAGTACATTTGAATTAGGACTAAGTAGATGACAATCCAATAAAACTATTTTATATAGGTATCATATTTTGTCTACTATCCTCGTAATCCGGTACAGTCATACCAAGTCCAGAGATGCCTTCGAATTCAATCTTGTCCTATTTTCTGATAAAAAAACTAAAAATGTTGAGACTGAATTGATCAACAATTATCAAATACAACACTACATTGCTCAAAATATCGTACTCCAATTGATTCAATCCATTCAATATAGCCTAAATTATATTAGTTATTAGGCAAATAATCCAAAATATTTTGTGAGTGAACATAATAGGGACATTCTTATTATACTCATGTAAAATGCCAGCTACTTGAGTTGAATAGACTATACACATAAACATAAATATTTAAGAATAGTCTGATTTATATAAATAGAATTTTGGATTCAAAATAGAAACAAAGTTATAGGTTAATGTTAATAGAACACATAGAATTAGTAAAAACACTCTAATTTTTAAGGTAGCATTATATTATCTGTATTAATGATGGCCCGTATTTTTGAGTTAAACAAACCTAATAGTTAGTAAAATGAGCATAATGATTCCACTAATGGCAGGTATATAGATATCAAAAATTCTATTCTGCATTAGAATAGTTTGATTAATTATTTAAAAAATGGAATAATATTATTTAATATTGATTCAATATGCTTTAAATTATCATATTTTTTCTTAGAATGTGCTGTCCGATTTAGTTACTTTTTTGTAGTCAGCTTATTAATAAATGTTGTAGGATGTTCCCTTTGGATACCAATTCTCATCTAAATTAAAGTAATAACAATAATAAACCTTCCATTTCCAATTGTTCTTAGATATCATCCTATGACTTCCACAATTCTCTTCTGCAGTTTGGATTTCTGGGTGAAGGAAAGATTCTGTCACTCTCAGGAATATTGAATTGATCTTCGATTCCAACCATTTCACCTCCCCCTATAGAAAGATCAAAGGTCACATTTACATTCGCATTCATATTCGAACCAAGTATTAGGCACACCCAAATCCAAATCACCTGTTGGTTTGATCATAGGATCTGACCACAGGAAAATTTCCCAATGATAATCTATCAATTCCCTCACAGGTGCAAATCCAACAGGTAGTTTAGCCAAATCTTCCAAGACTTGAACATTCCAAAGAATTTCAACCTTCTCTCCCTTTGAATTGGTCACTACTTGTCTTGCAACATAAACACTGTTTGGAACATAGTCCACATCGAAACCACAATTATAAACTAGATATGCAAAATCCACTTATTCTTATGGTGTTAAACCCATATTCAAGATCTTCTCCACTTCTCTTCTTGTGATTCCTAACCATTTTAATGATTGAACATACCAGGCACTCTTCTCATGATTTCATCTGGGTCCATTTAACAACTCCAAGTTCCCTGTCTACCGATTGAAGTGTTTTGCCACACAGCTCTTACATCTTCCATACTAGAGAATAATATAACGGAGGATAGTACGTATATGGACCATCATATGGAGGCAGTGGGCCTGATTGTCTGACTGGATTGACATGTCTGACATTACGCACTTTGAATAATCAAGTTTAACATACCTGGAAGGGGTACTTATTGTGATTTGGCTATATCAGCAATTTCTTTGTTAGATTAGAAAAAGTTGGGATTCAAATAATGTCGATACCTGTTTGGATTGTAAGGTCCATCTATGATATTTGAACAACCACTTTACTTCTTGATGAGAAAGTATATTGAGGCAATGCTTTACGAAAACCAATATTAATCGCACGATTGAGCATATCTATATAAAAATAATTTATAAATCTAGATAAAATAAATTTATATATAAACTATATGCACTCTCAAACTTTGATTGACACGCATGTGGATTCATACTTTAAGGCATATTTTGCAGAAAGAATAAAAGATACATTCACCCTTATATTAAAAAATAATAAACATTTATTTATAAATATAATAATGGATAATGAACTTATTTCTATTACCATCATAAATTATAGAGATGGTGATAATGTGGAAGGCCCATATGAAAAACTATTTAAAAGTGATTGCACTATGGAAAAAGTGTTGCAAGAATTTGGACTAGATTCTGCAATAATTGTTGCCAATAAAGATATTATTGAGTCTAAAAGAATCTTGCAAGATGTTTACAAGGAATAACCGAGTTCTGTCCTATAATAGCAACAAAGATTTCTTCAATTAAGAGTGATTTACTAATAGAATTAAGATTAAGGGATGCTTAAATATAAATGCATAAAAGCAATTAAGAAAGATTAACCTGTTATTGAATATCTCTAGGTGAATTAAGACAGGACCATATGTGATTAAGTTTCTATGGAACACTCAGTTATTCACAACCATCAAATTGCGTAGAGAACATCAATATTTAGAAACATCTAATATGATAAGGATCACTTGATCGAATTGAGTGTAATTCCAAAAGTTGATGGAGAGATAGAGAATTCGACATAAATGTAGGTTCAAATTTTTTCTGATCAAATTTAAAACAAGGGCACTTATGAAAATGGAAACTTTATTAGAGAAAAACCATTATACTTAGTGATTGTGACAAAGTCAAAATAAATTTAAAGCCTGATTGACGATTTAAACAATAAGGATATCGTTGCATTCTAAAGTAGCAAAGGGATTTTGAATTTTAATAAAACTTGGCAAGACTATTTCTAAACAGAATCCTTGTGTAAATTAATAGCCTTGCGTAATGAAAAATAGGGAAGTCTCCTCTAGCAAATAGAGAACAACAACAAATACATAGTTAATGTATTTTACAATGGGAAATAGATTTTGCACGAAAGCTTAGAGAAATCTACCAATCTACAAAAAATTGAGTTGGAATTACTCCCAGTTGAACTTAAAGGGAAAATAGATTTTATTATACCTGATAATAGGGTGGTAAAATCAAGCTTGGTGTTATACCAATTGCCATGCAATGATAAGGGTGAAATAAATTTACAAGTTATTGATAAGTATGCATTATATGAAAAGATGGAGACTGTTTTGAAATAAGCACTGGAGTAGGTTTAGAAAATGAAATAGGGCTAAAATAAAATTGAAGCTAAATAGGAAGTGTCAGCATATAGCCTTATTTTGGAGAAGCACTAAACTATTGATATACTCTCTTAAGTTGTGGAATAATTAAAGTTTAAGTAGGATAAATAAGAGCAAATTCTTGAGATTCAAAATATAACTGAAACAGTCAGCACTAATATCAGTTGATTTTATATTAGTTAAGAAATTTAATCAATATATATTTATTCGACACTTTAATTATAATAATAAAATGCAAAATAATTTGTTAGATTATAAATAAGATGAGCAGTCGATTAAAAAAGTGATTGACAAGGAAATTAATGGCAAATCCAAGCGATTATTTGATCCCAATACTTATTATTCTTAATTTCAAAATTTGACTTCTGAGAGTTTATAGTAATGCGAGAAATCATAAGGGTAGAAAGGAGCAAAAGAAATGATTGAATGTATTACATTATAATCAATTGAGTTAAGGCATAAGTTACAAGTCAAGATAAGGTGATTGAAGCAATCAGAGCAGCTAATTTTGTAGAAATTCAGAATGTGAACTTTAAGTTCAAGAGGCTACTGAAGGAGATCTTGTAATAAATAGCAGACTAATTGGGAAACCTCTTCAAGGATGAGTATTTGAAGTTATGGTTGGAATGGAAAAGTGCTAAAGCAGCATTAATGGACAAGGAAGTCAAATTGAAGAATTCAGAAATGAGTCAATAGTTACAGGAATAGGAATTGATCTAAATCAGAACAGAATTTACAGCCTAAAACACCTTTCTTAGTATGAATAAACAACTAGAGGCGACTGTCTAGAATTTAGAGACTGAAAATAATAAGTTGAAGGATAGCCTAAAAAATCTTAATCAATATTGCAATGAATTGAAGCAGAACAATGAGGAACTAAATAAAAGAATGAAGAAACTAGAGTAACAATTTGAGGAAGCCAAAGAAAAATATGAAAATGAAATCAATCAGTTAAAACTAAAAGAGTAGAATTTAATAAGGGCAAATAAGGATCTTATTGATTTAAACAATTAATTATCCCAACAATTGGATAAATATAGAGATTTGTATGAAATGCAAAACCAGAAAAATAATGATTTGGCTGATCAAGTCAGGTATTGGAAATCAACTCATTAATAGAGATTAACGGATTTATAGTAGTCAGAAACAAGAATAGGATCATAGAAAGGGTATCTTTTTAAATACAGGAGAGAAGTACAAGACTTAAAAAGATTTAAATTATATAGTGAAGAGGCATAGAAAGAATTGTCAAATGCTAGATAGACAGTCCATTTATTAAATTAATAAACTGAACAATTAAAATTCAGTTATGAAAATGCAATTCAACAAAATCTATAAATTTAGACTGAAAAAACAGAGAACTTGAATCAAATTTTATTACGCAATGCTCAATCAACCAAAAAGGTAAATAATGAAACCAATGTGTTTTATGAATCCCCTTAAAAAAGTAAATTTGATTTTCATAGTGTCAAAAAGATTACTTAACCTTCAGTTGATGAATTAAGCTAATTTGTTGTAAGTTATTCAAAGGTGCCAATCCAATCACGAAGAACCAAGGTAAGAAGTGTCAGTGCACAAAAGAATTCATAGTCAGAAACTGATACCTCTAAAAACAATATTGGAATCTAAGAATTTGATTTGTTTACACCTTATACAGAGAGCAATCTGAATCAATTCAACTTTAATTCTGTTCCCAAACATCCCTTAAGTAAAAACAAGAGGATTAAAAGACAAAATACTGAAAGCTGATGAACCTTGAATTTAAATTATTCAAATATATATATAATCCTTTTATATTCAAATCATAATATTTCTTTAATCATTTACTTTTCGAGCAGATTCTTGGGTATTGTCTACTTAAAGATAAGAGTCTGATTAGAAGTTAGATTCCTCATGCAATCTGTACTTTTGCATTCTTGGAATGCTGTGACATTGTGATGGATCAAATTTGATCAGTTTCATGAAGTTGCTAATAAGTACAACAATAATAGATGATAAGGACATTGATGTAGAGGATATCATTGGAGATATAGTAAATCCTTATCCATAGAACACACCAGCTGCGATAGCTAAAAATCTGATAAAAAATCTTACGTGCCATCAACAAATTATAAGCAAAGGCCCAAATCAGGTTGATATAGATTACTTTTAACGCTGTGTTCATCAAATTTATGAGAGATACGATGCTCCACAAGTTTTCATTAAGGACTATTACATCTGAAGCCATGAGATTCAATTCCGATTTTGCATTAATAGCAACACCAATAGAAGCTTATTGGAGTGAGAGAACATCATTGAGTCCATCTCCAATCATCATGACTTCCTAATTTCTCTCTTTTAACTCCTTTAAGAACCTTTATTTTCCCTCTGCATCTATTTCAGCATACTGGTGGCTTGGTGGTATATCTAAGTATTTGCCTACAGAGGACACTGTTTTCTTTGAATCCCCAGACAAAATATAAACAGTTTTATTCAGATTTTCTCTTAAATATGTGATCACAGCCTTGGCTTCAGGTCTTAAATTGGTTTTGTTATCCAAACATAGGATTACTTCTGGTATACCATCAATAGTCATTAGAATCACTGTTTTTCCCTTTCTTTCCAGACACTAACATTTTTTAATGATATAATCTTCTAGTATTGCCCCATTTTCATTTAGATGAGCAATATTTCCAATTAAACATCTAAACTATGTTTGATCAGTAGTTCTAGTTACATTTCCAATGATTCCATTTTTGTCTTATCTTGCTTGTTCAGTAAGGACAAATGTACTCTATCTTCCAATTTATCTTTGAACAGATTCCTTGAATAATAAGGTAGCGATAGGATGATTGAAGTCTTTTTCTAAGACTCCCAGAATAGCCCATAAATCTTGACCTGACAAAGTCTTATTGAATTTCAGATTCGATTATATTTTACCTTCAGTATTTGGTATATCTCTTTTAGTGTCAACAGGATCAGACATCACCAAAGATTTCTAAAATTATTTAACCTTCACAACAGTTTTATCCTATTACTTTAACGAAATCTCTGTCTCATTCTTAGATAGAAGAGTGAAAGATTCAATGTGGTCCACTTTAGTGAATAAGGTTCCTGTCTTATCAAAAATAATACAATTTATTTTGTTAATTGATTCAAAAATAGTATTCTAAGATCAATAACTGATTTAATACCTTTTTTATCAAGATTCCAGATTTCAAAGCCAAGTTTAATGTGATGATAACCACAGATGGTACTGCCAATCCCAATGCACAAGGACATGAGGCAACCAAAATAGAAATAGCCCTCTCAAAAGGAAAACACCAAACACAATATTCATCAATTTCAACAATATCAAATCCTATTAAAACTGTCCAAACTGTAAATACAATCAAGCCCACACAAATGACTCCAACTACAAACCTCTAAGATAATTATTGCAACATTGCTGTGATTCCAAAGTCCTTGCTTTCCCTTTCTGATTATGCTAAGTTTAATTGTTCAGCTATTTGAAACAACATAGAAGACTCAATCACTTACTCTACTTAAAAGATACATGAACCATCTAGGATATCAGCACCAGATTTCAGTCTAGTTCCCATTGAGGCTTGAAATCTATCATCTTATCCATAACAAATTGAATCAATCACTGATACCGAACCTTTAACAATTACTCCATCCAATAATAATTTCATTCCCTTCTCAAGAACAATCAAGTCTCCCTTTTCCAATAATGAAATATCACAACTCTCTTAAAAATTGATGTCGTAATCCTAGTTCTTCACTTATACCTTCATAACAGTAGGTGTCTTTAATAACTAATCTTGAGGAAATATTTGATTCTGCATCTCCATTATTGTCTGTTTTGCCTTTCCTTCGAAGTATTTGCCTATCGTAATTACAGTAAGTATCAGTCCTGCAGATTCTAGGTCGTGTATTATGTTCATTATTCTTTCCATTTAGGTTTCCTCACAATCGGTCTCTTCTTCTGTATTCTATCCTTCGAGAGTGTAAACAACAATCAAGAACAAACTCATACAATAAGCAGCCAATGAACCCAGAGTCAATAATGTATCCATATTACACATTCTAAATGATAGAAGTATAGATGCTTACCTGTATTTGATGAACAAGCGATATGCGTTCTTGTAAGTTGGAGTGCCAAATTAAATCAATGTGAAAGTTGTCGTGAAAAAGATGAATACCAAGTAGATACTAAATATGGATTCTTCATGAGGATACGATAGAAAAGGGTTATAATAATCGAAATGAGGCATGATGGAACAAAATACTAAAAATTGGATGCTTAACACAATGGCTAAAATGAACTTTCTATAGGTGACTGCTTCCTAATATCCACTTTTCTTTTTGAATTTTTCGAGGAGTGCATTATAAACAAGGAATTAAGGGTCAGAACCAATCTTCTCTTTTTCATCTATTGTTGGAATTTTGTCCTAGATTTAGGCTTATATGTTCTATTTTATCTAAAATGCCGAAATTGACAATGGCTAATAAGATATGGTTATTAATTAACCAGACTTTTAAAAATGTTATTAATAAAATTATACTTGCATGTTATATTTAAAATTTTCTTACTAAATTTCTCTTAGTCCACCCTGATACTATTGGTGGAGATTGCTCCTTATTTGTTTCAAGTCGTCTAATTGAAAGTCCGAATTTGGAAAAAAGAACTAACACCTCCTCAATTAATTGGAGTCAGTATTAATTAATCTTGGTTGACCAACTATAAAAAAATTGTTTTGTTCCAAGATCGCCTTAATCTAGTCGAGTGAGCTAGAGGATACAAAAAATTAATTTACATGAGTGATTGATTGAATGAAATGATCACTCGTTCAGCCATTACGTTCACTTGAACATATATAATACCTTGCAATTGTTGAAATAACTAGTACCTTGCTAACCTTCAAAGCTCGATTTTATCTTATTCACACACATCGTACACCATATCTTTGAAACAGTTAGATCATAAACTACAATATCTGATTGCATAAATAATATAATTATTATATAATAATGTCATAAATTTGCAATCACGAGAGTTGTATCAAATCCTCTCTCCTTGGTTTGAGACAAGGCATCTATTATGGAGGAAAGATAAGATTCTTTCACGCTCTAGTAATGACTTTTCTTTTTAGACCTGGCTCTATCAAGTCCAAATTCATCACTGTTATATAGTTGACGTACTAACATGCAAAAAATCTGGGCACTTTTGTATTCCTCTACAAATCAATAGTCTGTATTCTAAATAACATAAGAAAGAAGTAGACCAAGCTCCATAATCTAATAAGTGGAGCCATATGTGGCTATCTCGTTTTTGGAAGAAATAAATCTGCTGTCAATTAATAAATTGTTCTCTATGTTATGAGTAGAGTAATTATAGGTTTGGCTTCAAACATTCAGAGAAGAAAACTACTACCTTCCTCATGGGACGCTTTCCCTCTTCAAGCAGCTGTTGTCTGGGGATTAGTCATGCTACTATTTGAAGATGATAAAGGATGCTTATAGAACTCACTAACTTCTAGCATGACATTTTTATATAAAGACAGTGATAGATCTTATTCAAGTTGGGCTGAACTAATACCATTCGAAATGCCAGACTTTTTATCATTTCTTTGGAAATGATTAAATTAATTATAGTCTAACTTTATTTTAAATATCATTTTATATAACTAACTCAGTATTTTTGAGTTCCTGTAAAGGACTAATTGGCAATTAATTTATATCCAACTTATTATCTCTATAAACAATCCTTCATTAATAAATATGTAATTATATAGGAGAATTCAAATTCAAATTTTATAAACTTTCTAAAATTAACTTCGAACAATTTTCATTTTATTATTTTATTGATTTTATTTAGTTAATTCATATGCTAATTCTTATTGAGATGTTTAATTATTTGATAAATTTGCTTATCGGTTTCATAATGTTTGAGTTTATTAATTTTAAATTCAGTATTAAATTTAATCAAAATAAGCAGAGATGTTAGTAATTATTTATTATTACAACTTATTCAATAACTGATTTTAACCTAAATATTATAAAATAAATGTTGAAAATAAGTAGCACTCATTTCTTAAGCAAAGTATGTAATTTTAATAAAGTATAGATTTGATATATATATAATACAGCATGAATTTTTCAATATTTGGAATTCTTCTTCCCTGCCACTACTGTTGTTGATTATAAATTGTTAATCTGAGGGGGAATGTAACTTTCTGAAAATTTAGGTTATGCAGATTCTCCAAATTAATTCGGAGGCACATAAGCAGGATCTCCAAATTAATTCGGAGGAACATATTCATTTACATAGTTTGCTGGGTTACTTTGATTTTGAATGATGTTATTTTGAACATTCGAATAGACAGGAGGAAATTTGGATTAATATGGGGATAAAGGGTTTTGATAAGGACTAGTTTCAGAATGATGGATGTCTTCTTTCGAAGGAATTGGTTGTCTCTAAGTGTCGGACTCAGGAATGTACGCTTTCTCCTTCTTTTGTTTGAAGCACCAATGGAACATCTATACTATAAACATCATGATTAGGATGAATTCGCTGATAGCTATAACTATGATCGAGATTGTAATTAGCGAAATGTAAGTATTGACATCTGCAGGGAAGAGGTTGGGAAAATTTGCAAATACATTCTAAATCTGATCTGAAGAATAACAGCTAGCTATGGATTTAAAGTAGAGTTCTGAGTCGCTTCTGAGCTTTTCCTAATATAAAATCAGACCTCCTTCAATTAATATGAATGACATCTGGCATATCAGTAGGATTTTTAAAATGACTGTAATTATTCGAATGTCATTCACTATCCTAAATTTAAGCAGATAAATTTCGATGATTAAAACAATCCCTATAAATCCAGAGAAGATTTCTTTTATGACTACGTAAATGAATCCAATCTCCTGTATTGATTGCTCACAATTTTCCGTATCATTAATCATATTGTTATCAATCTATGTACATCTACTTTCAGATTATGAAGCAATTTTATTCTTTATTAAATATATTAAGTACTCTTGCTGTCAGATATGTAACAGCTGAATTAGTGACAGATGAAGGAACTCCATTAAAAGATAATGCTTCTAAACCTTACTTAGCAAATTCTGAAAGTGTTGTTTATTCTATTTTGACACTATTATCTGTGTCAAAATCAGAGCCTTCGCAATTCTCAGGATCAATATAATCAGTATTATTGGTTAAACCTGCTGTTATATATAATAAGGGATTCAAACATGGGTATCCTCGTATTACAACTTGAATTTTAAATATGCCATAGGATGAATTCTCTCTTTAAATATACAAATCCCTTTTACTCTCTAAGTTCTGATCTGCATCTTCATCAACAACCTCATTTTATATTATAGTCAATTTAGAGATGGGACACTAAGATCCTTCACTCGTTTCAATGCAATATGGGCCGCAATTATATTCAGTAGCTGAACATTCAGTCGACAATCTGATGTCAACATATCTAGTCACGCAAATCAATTACGAATACCATCTAGTGATATTGTATTCTGCAAATGGAAATAATTATTAGATTTCTTCAGACGAATCACAATCCAAGTCTCTGAAATATACTCTAATTATTTAGTATTTGATACTGTTTGATTGGTTTGTAGACCAGATTATCAGAGATGTATGCAATTGTAGCATTCTGAGACTCATATTAAGAGTCATTTGAATAAAAATCAACTACACCATGAACGATATCCAATCCAATGCTGATCAATAAAGAGAGAATCATGAAAAACAGAGTTAAAGATTTCACAACTTTATCGAAAATAGAACTATGTATTTATTCAATTGGATTCTTTTTCATTAAATTTATATTTATTCAGAAATACATAATTAAAACATTAACAAATATATTTATTGGTCATTAGTTATCTTATTGATTTCTAATGGAACTTCCTGGAAGTACAATTTATTTTTTTATTAAAAATTAGTCTTCTTTTGTGAAGCCTAATTATGAGAGCTTTCTGTTGAAGTTGGTTCTCGTTATAGCTTCGTCCAAATATAAATTCATCATTTAAAATTCCTTTATAAACTCATTATACAACAATTTCTGTTCATCCTTATTACACATATTGATAATTCTCTTTGATTTCAAATTAAACTAGCTTAGCAACAAGGTCTTTTCTTTCTTATTGTCCATTCTCTCCTACATCTGCGATTTCCTATCTCCAGAGGCTAGAGTGAGCTCTTTGCTCTCTGGTTGGTATCTTGATTTGGGAAGAGGATAATTCTTAGAAAAATTGAAGAACTATTATTCGAACATAGAACTTATCCTCTTTTTTTAGGGTCTGATCTAATACTTATTTCTCAATTGATCTTCCTCTATATTGTGATTGTGTCTCACTTTGGCCTCATTTATTTTTGACTTGATAAAATCATTAGCCTTCTGTTTGAATGCGGAATAGATCTCTTCCTCCAAATATTCGGTTGAATTCAAGTCTATTCCATATTACAACACTATCTTCAAGAGTTCCTTATCATAATCTATTTAGGTTATCTTCTACTACTAAGGCTAATTACTCCGCTTATCGTCTGCCCTGCCTAAATGGGTTGTGCTCTTCGTAGTTTTCCCTAATTTCTATATGAAATTCTCCGTTTCTTCCTTCTCTTTTTTGAGTTATTCTATGTGATCCTCAACATAATAATAAAATAGATTTTAATCATACTGAGATTTGGTCACTTAATCTCTGCTTGACATTTATTCAGAGGAGGTTTAAAATTAACTGATTGCTCTCTTTCCAATTTCATTTAATTTCTCTTAAGACAACACCTTAGTTTTATTGATTGGAGCCTTAACCAAACCTAAATCTAGAAAACAGTCACTGTCTAAAAATGCCTTATCAAATTCTGTTTCAAACTTCACTTCATATTATTCATAAATCTTTTCCAAATCTGCTTCTTCTTAGCCCAATTATCTGACTATTTTCCTTCTTATTAGATAATTCTTTACTGATTCTATTAAATCTCTGTTATTCAAAATATTCATCTTCCTTAGTTTGGTTTTTGTGTCAACAAAAGTATCAAGTATCCTGAACGATTGCAGTTAACGATTAAACCTAATCATGCTGCAATATCGTACCTCGCATCGGGTGTGTTATTCACTAATTTGAGCTTCGCTTTCACTTTATTCACCAAATTTATCACTCTGTCGGTGCTACATCCATCCTGATAATCCTGTTACATCTTCGTATGTTGAGAGATCTAAATATTTGGCAAAGCATGATTCAATTTTTGGAATTTCAGATTTTAAGTCATTCAGTATATATTCTTAGAAATTAAATTTATCATATCACTATCTAATAAATTTAATAAATTTATATATACATATAAATATGTTATGCATAATGACAATTAACAATTAACTTGAACGAATTATAATAATATAAAACTAATTACAATAATATATTTAGCCAATCAACTGGATTTCTGACTCCCTTACTATTTTAAATAAAAGTCTCAATTAAGTCTGCAATCTCCAGAGAGTGATGAAGATTTGATAATTATATATAAATTTCGTTTGTTTAATTTAAGAACGAGCTTAGCTTCCGGAATAGGAGCCTCGCCCGCAACCTATTAAATAGGTTTAAACTTGGATAGGTTTTGCATCAATAAATGAAAAGAACCCGCTAGGATTGAGTTTATTTAATTAATAAATTTCCTTTTATATGAGATTATTAATAATAAATTTATGGGTTTTATATTATATTAAAATTAAGAATAAAGGGAATGTTTCAATTTAATACATGCGATAAAACGAGAATTTTTTCATAGATAAATCAATATATATATCAATACATCTAACTGTTCATAGTTATTCTTGTGTGTTATTAGTTTTCGAGTTTTTTTCTGATTCTCTCATGTTACAAATGAATCGATTTGAGTTTGTTGATATAGAGACACACTTAATAATAAATATCATAAATACCAAAAAGTAGAAGCACTATCAAAACGAAACAAAAACTCGCCAACAATTGGATAATTGGATTGTATTAATCAACCTCAATTCTTTAGACAATCAACTATTGAACGTGTTATTCATGTGTAGTATTGTAAAATAAAGTGAATTATTACTCTTCACTATTTTGAACATGTGAACATAATATCCGAAAAGGTAATTTAATGATATTGCCTATGTAAAAGTTAGTTCCAGTAACTGCGACGACCTGATTGTCATTCAGGATGAGATCATGCAATCCAATAAATTTCCATTCCATATCTTCAACGTAATGCGTATTGAATCCCAGAACAACAACTTCATCTTGAGTTTCACTAGTTTACAGTTTCTGAATATTTTTCAACTTTTGAATGCTTATTAATTTGTAAGTGAGAATGTCATATTTATTCAATTGAACATTCGATGATATGTAAATGAATTTGTTGGTTGTTTAAATCTTGTCAGGATTGCTGAAATCTAGAGGGTGTTAGGAGTCTAGATTTATTACTCCTTTATCATTCAGTTCAGCCACGATTAATCCGAGCTTTTGATCCAGAATGAACAATTTGTTGGGCTCTATTTTATTATAACTAATGCCTATTGGATGCAGATGTAAATGCACAGAACTTGAATGAAATTTGATTGCTATTTCTTGGTTTGGATAGTTATAGTGGATTTCGTAGATGTCAAAACCATAGGGACCAACGGCAGTTAAGATGTAGTTGTTAAGATGGTAAATTGTTTAATGTCTTTGTCCTCTATTGATGAGAAAGTGGGGTATTATAGTCCTATTGTGAATCAATAGGATGGAGTCTTGTTGATGAATAAAAATATTGTTGAACTTGTCTTTAAAAAAGGAGACATCGAAATCTTTGGATAAATAATCAGACAGGTTGATAATCTCAATGGTTTTACGTTGTTGAGCATCAATTTAGTATAGTTTGAGGTTGTCACTTATGATCCAAAATTGAGTATCATTCTTTTAAATAATTGCTATGAACTAATGAAAATAGAATTGAGTCTCATCCATGAAATCTATACTTCCATTATTTTAAAAAGATTTACTTGATCACGTTGTCCTCTATGATTTTGAGTTAGTCGAGGTTATTCTGGATGATTGGTTTATACATCTGACATTGCTCGTTGGTTGGTATCAATTCAGCATTAATTGCAGTTGGTAATGATATTTGTAATTGATGACTGTATCTATATATCTTGGTGTCATCTACAATCAATTATTTTGAAATTTATATAATCAAGAATATAATCATTAATAATAATAATAATTCCCTAATTGAACCAATTAAATATTGAATTGCAAATAATAGTATAGTGACACTAATAAACTCGATAATTTATTTAGATATTATTATCTATGCTAAATATATTAAAGAACGCATTCTCTAAGAAACAAAAATCAGATAAGCAAACAAATTAAATTGCATAGTTTGATCAATAACAACAGGGGGACCCTCCAATGACAGTTGAATTTCCTAAGGATTTCCAAATTATTGATGAATAAGCTATGAACATTATAGAAACAGAGTATAATAATAAATAGCAAGTTGAGCCAGAACATTAGGAAGAACAGTAATTCGAGGAAGATCTTATCGAATACGAGGTCAAAGTAGATGATTCCTTATATGGAATTGCACTCAAATTTAGTGTCTGCGAAGATTAAATTATGAGAATCAATAACTTGTCAAGTGATTTGATATTCCAAGGCTAAATAATTAAAGTACCTAAAGGAATCGAGAAGACATTTTCTGTTATTCCCATCCAAGAACAAAAGTAAAAATCTGAATATCTATGGAACCCTGACACTATTGCCTAAAAATGTAATGCAATTCAGTATTCTAAATAGTTGAGGTATTTTATTGTAACAACAAATAAAATGTAGAGGGCTAATTAACTCTTACTTCAGATTTAGTGCTTTTTAATCCTTTTTAATAAGATCATATCGAAGACAATCAAAAGAAGATAAGATTATACGCATGTATCTCAATGCGAGATATTAATGAGGCTGTCTATTACATACTGCCTAATAAAAATGGTCATTTGGATTATATCGTGCAGATTTTACTCTCAGGAATAGGCAAACCAAAATTTGAAAAGAAATACAGAAAACAATTAGACAGATATAAAGAATAAAAGAAAAGCATTGCAACTGTGTTTTTTAGAGTAATGTTTTCTTGCGATAACTTATTTTAGCACGCCGAAAGAGACCATACAGGTAAATTGTATACTGAAGAAATCAAAAAACAAAATTGTATTATGATGGCAAGGTTTATCACTGAAGCCTGTTCAAATTATACAGCTATTGTCGAATTAACTAAATTACCATTTATAGATTTCATTTAGGATACCACTTAGAAATAGAATTTGGATGTGGATGTAGATGCAGATGCAGATGAAATTTAGGATGTCATTGGAGAACGCATGGGAAGTATGAATTATTAGAATACGTAGAATTATGGGCTAGTTTGGAGTATGTTCCTATTTTGAAAGGAAGTTCCAATTGTTTTACTGACACAACCTATAAATAAGTCATTGAATCAATTCCTGCTATTTATCGATTGGCCAACTGGAACAAACTCTATGACATCGATATTGATGGATCCAGTTATCAAAATATGCTGCAAGAGATTAGATACATATTTCCAATTTTGATAATCATTAAGGATTTTGATCTCAATATTTTCGGTGCTTATGTTTCAATTGAAATCCATAAATATTTTGAAGGTTTCAAAGGGAATGGTGAAACCTTTTTGTTTAAAATAGACACAGAAGTAATGTGGATTATATTTAATTAGAATAACGAAGTACGGACTTACTCTTGGACAGAAAAGAATGAAGATTTTGTTTTTTGTGATGACACTGGGATAGGAGTAGGATGTGGAGACAAATTTGGACTCTTTGTTGATTCAAGTCTTTTATTTGGATATTCTAATCCATGTAATACTTTTGACAATCCAAGATTGACAAGTCAAGAAAAATTCAAGATTAAGAATCTAGAATTATGGAGTATTGAACAATAATGAATTAGAGTACTATTTTATATCAATAATAAAATTACAATTCCTATATAAACTTGTTTATTTATAATTAAATTTATATCAGTTTACTGATTAAACAAATTCTCTATTACATTTTCTCCTTTTTAGTTATTTATCTTTCCATTATTAATCAATTTCTAAGAATCTCACAAAAATTCAATTTAAAATTCGAGGAAGATTTAAAAAGGAAAATTAATACCTTGCTTTAATATTACATACAACAATATTTATATCATGGTACTTTAACTCTTAATTATATTTTGTTGTTATAATATAGTATTATCATGATAAATTTAAAGACCTATTTTAATAGTGGTATCATTTATTAATTATGTTCTAATCTTTTAATTTAACTAGAAAACTTCAAATTAATAATGAAAGCACATTATATTGTGAAACCCCTAGGGCTATTTTTCGCTCTGAAAGAAATATTATCGTTCCATCTCTGTTTTAGAAACTTAAATTAAAGCCTATCTAAGACTTTTAAGTACAAACTTAAACAAATACTAATTCAATAAAATCCTCATTAAAAAATAGCAGTTTGTTCACTTAGAGAGATTAGGAGGATCTGCTGAACTAATAGCGATTAAGACACAATAAGAAGTAGGTTAGTTTTAATGAGAAAATATTAATCATATAACCAAATAAAGGAGTCATCATAAGAGAAAGAATTCCTGAAATATCTGAACAAGTTAAAGTTATTCGAACAAGAAAAAGAAAGAATTGTATTTTAATCCATAGCTAAATTAGAACATTACAAACTTGCTAATCCACTTTCATTGATTAGCTTTGACTCTTATTATAATATTTTCGATGTGGATATAAATATTAATTTTATTAAAAATAAATGGCCCAAGATTAGAGATCTCCCTTTGAATTGAGAATCTGGCATTTCTATACTGAGGAAGAGAAATCCATTACACTCCTTAATGCATACAAACAAAGAGTATTGTTCTCAGAAGATATCAAATCTTTCCTTCTCAAGGATAGATTAAATACTTGGTCCTATTGGGGATTCCCTGTTGCAAGCTATGCACTCTTTCATTATACTGGAGCACTGTAACCATACATCGCAACAAAATACTCAGTAGGTGCCTAAAGATTGATTCCTGCAGCAATATCTGGGTTACTTTGGCTTGGATGGGTCCATTTCAATCCATTTTACACTACTTTGCAAAGGTACCAAATTTCCCCTATTACTCTATTAGTGAAAAGTTGAAATTACTCAATTTGATTGAGAGAAGAGTAGGCTTGAATATGAAGGCACTCAATGAGCAAGTACCTCGTACTTGGACAGCATAAGAGATTCACAGATAAATCAGAGAAGCTTATAACAACAGACACGGATTTTTCACAAACATACTATATCCAAGCGAGGAAAGAGCCTCCCCATTATAGGATATTTCATCATATCCATTCAAATACAGAAGAGATAGAATTGTTAAATGATAAATTCCAATATATCATTTAGAATAAAATCATATTAAATTCCATTATTTTTAACTTTTCAATAGTTCTTAGCAAGCAATGAAGAAAAGGTTTTATATTTATTTATATAGAATCCTTAAAGTACTTAATAAGATTATTATTATAATGGATTGTCATGCATATTCATTTTTTAATTTGAGTTTCTATTCAGTCTATGACAATAAGTTAAATTCTTTTTGATTATTTCTAAGTGTTTACAATTTTCGAGCCTTCTCCCTTTCCTGAATAATTAATTACTTTCGGTTATGCTAAAACAATCATTACTGATTCTTACTTCATTGTATTGAGCCCACATTTTTTCATCTTCTTTCTCTTGTTGTCTTTTCTACTCATTTTATTCTCTCTATTTAGCCTAGTCGTTTCTGATTTCTTATCTCTATTAATCCGACATGCCTTTATAATGATAAGGTATCACTCTATGAGGAGCTAAAGCACTTTGACAAGTAGCAGTACTAGTATAGGTTTTTTGAATTACTTCTCAGTCCAAACATCATTGTTCAAAATCTCTTCCATGTGTTATTTCTTTTCAAGTTGAGCCTGTCTAGCCATATACTCCTCTCTATCCTATTTCTCCTTTGCCAATTGATTATTGATTTGTTAATTGGCAATTTCCATTTCGACTCTCCTCCTATATTACTCTTCCTCCAACTCCTTTAAACTCTAATTAATCTATAAGGTCTGCTGATCGTATTATTATTATATCTGTTTATTCAATTGCTTTTTCTGCTGATTCTCTTGTGTTTATTATTATACCCAGTCCTTCATTTACAGTTACTGCAATTTTCTCCTGTCTCCAGCAGCTAAGAGAGCATATACATAAACTAATACTTAAGTCTTCTCCATCGAGCATTTTTAGATTGGAAACACCAACTTGATTTTTCATTTGTGCATGATTGTAGGTTGGATTTTGATAATGACTCATTAAATTTAATATACTTTATATTTTAATATTCAAGCGTTATATACTCCAATTACAATAGCGTGATCTCTTTCATATGGTTCTAGAGTGAGTTATTCTTAAGGTGTAAGTCCTTCATCCTAAAATATACATTAAACTATACCTTAAGACGTTACACTTCATGTTGAAATACAACTTCAGCACGGTTGGTGGAATCAATACAGTTGGCTTTGATGGAAATCATGAAATGACCTCCCTTTTTAAGGAAATATTGTGAATTCAATCCAACAATTCTGGCCTAATCAGGTTGTGCAACATCTGCAAACACAACATCCACCATTCCTACGAGCATTCTGTACTCCAATGGCTTTCTTGCATCAGCAATGATAGGCACTATGTTTGTTCTTTTCTTAGCCATATTTACTAGATCTCTTCCAGATCTGTGAGAGAATTCCACTGCATAAACCACACCTAAGAGACATCAGTATTAAATATACCTTCTGATCCTACAACATCTGAAACGTGAGACACTGTTGTTCCTGATGCAGCTCCCAAATATAAAACTTTGGCACCTGGCTTTATGAAGATGTCGCTAACACCACCAATAATACCAGCAGCAATCTTAGATCTGAATGGGTTCCAAACTCTATATTCTACTTTCTCTCCAGTTTGTTTGTCTTCCACTGAAATTCTCTTTTCATTATACACTGATTCTCCAGGCACCATGTTCTTTGTCACCAAAGCTTCTTGTTATCCTTTGGCTACGAAAACTCCTGCTAATCTTGGATGTGGAACCACAAAAGCCTTAGGAGCTCCTCCCATTCGGCCTCCTCGACCTCCTCTGCCTCCTCGGTCACCACCCCTACCTCTTGGGGCTCCTCTGCCTCGGTCTCCTCCTCGACCGCCACCTCTTCCGTCACCTCTTCCACCTCTGAAGTCTTTGCCCATAAATTATATTTTTAATATATTTAATTAAAGAATATGATTCATTCATTAATTTTCATTTGAAACTTATGCAACATCAGAAAGCTCCCTTTTAATCTTGAATCAACCTTTCAACCACCCCAATCACACTTATTATTCTTATATAACTATTTTAAAGTAGGGCGAATGCAATTTTAGATATTTTTTGTATTTATATTGTTCTGAATAATTAATAATAAATTATTGTTTTTTTTGACCTTTTGAATTTATTTAATTTTATGAATCCATATATGTACAATTAAAATAAGAAACTAAAAGCTGATTCACAAATCCACAGTTGCTTAATCATTGAATTTAAACTTTGTCTGGGGAAATTCTTAAGGGAAATTTATACATAACCTCAAATTTAGATATCTGTATATTTGGGCAACTTTATCGAACCTACTCTAATAAAATAGTATTTAAATGTTTTAGTATAGGGGAAAAGATATAATTTATAAAATATAAGATTGCAAACATGATTCGAGCCTAGACTATTATCAATTAGTAAAATAATTCATCCTCTATTGAAATTTATAGAGAAAGCGATATTGATTTTTTTTGGATTTTTCTTCATTTTAGATATATTTTAAAATTCGAACTAAATTTCTTATATATTTCATTAAATTAGTATTTAGTTAACAAATAGAAAATGATGTTGAGTTTAGATTCAATAATAATAATCTGGTATATAATAAATTCATTCTTTAATTGTCTGACTATGGTTTTCCATCTATAAAGTATCTATAATAAAATGTTTTTAATGATTTCTTTCTTTTGTGTTTACCTCAAAATATTAAGATTTTCCAATAAACTTAGCATTGTCATTATAAAATCGAAGATCATCACTTAAGTTTTTTGTCTTTTATCTTCTATATAATGGTTTTTATGAACCATCTATGCTACTTTTCTTATAGGTTTAATTTATATAATCATACACTAAAACATCTTATTAAAATTCAACTTTTTTATTATAATGATGAGGTTAGATAAATTGATTATTGTCCAAAATTTCATTGTTTTCTGTAGATGTTTTCCTTGATAAATATTACCCTTTAGCATTAGAATATAGTTCCTACTATATAGATCTTTTGATAAAGAACTTTTCATCAATCTCAGGCAGTTTGATATAATCCATTTTCTCAACAGGTATTTGATATCTTGGGCTGATCTAATGTTTTTAATCCTAATTACCCTAAGGTACCTAGATTTGTGGAAATATTATTTTCCTTTGATGTTGAGGTGATCCTCCTTTTTAGTCATGCTAAATTGGATGAAACTGAGAATTAAATAATTTTTCTGAAATCTATTTTTTTAAGAGGAATTTCTTGACAGGGAGATACTCTTATTCATCTGCATTCATTGTGTTAGTAATGAAAAAGAGATTTTATTCACTTTAAATTATATAAAATATTTACAAAAATCTATCCGTCAAAATCTGAAATATTATAACAACCCTAATTTTAATATTATTATTGTTCAGAATGATAAATATTATTTATAATAAACTAATTAATTTAGAAGACGATAGATCTCAAGTATTTGGTGACTAACTTAATTTATAAATCTTCAATATATTCATTGTTATTAATAGATATAATAATTAATATATGTGCACTATGATAAATATTCAAATCACACTTATGTATCCCCAGTAAATGATTGATATTCACTAGAACTTCTGATAAAAAATGAAAATTCTTCAATTCCATCATTAATTCTGACTGGAGGAAGTAGAAAATCATTAATAGCCACTTAAAATAGATGTTTATTTGTATCAACTCTAATTCCTAATTTATCGTCAATTTATAAACTATAAGTTAAAAATTTTCCGAACTCATTCGTTCCTCTTTTAAATGTTCCATCAGGTAAACTCATATAATAGGATCCTTTTTTCTTTTCAAGGTTCTATTAATCGCCATCTGCTAGTATACCAACTTCAAATTCTGCATCATCATCTATAATACTTAATTCGAATTCAATTTATCCATTAAATAATTTAGTTGAATATAAATACATATCTTGTTATTAGATTAATTTTAATTAATTTAAGGTAATTTTTTGATATGGATTTTACTATTTTTGAATTAATTATTAGCATTGTTAATTAAGTTTTTATTCTACTTGCTATATTTCGTGTTATAGTTTATTGTTCAAAGCACCAAACTCTGTTTTTAATTGATCTACACCTCCTTTGACTGCCTGTTGATCTTATTTTAATGAATCAATATTATTGGAAAGATTTTATTATACTTGTTCTTAAAGGTTTTCTACCTTTCCCATTTAATTTGCAAGTTCTTATTCTAAAGCACCAAACTTTGTTTTTAATTGATCTACACCTCCTTTGACTGCCTGTTGATCTTATTTTAATGAATCAATATTATTGGAAAGATTTTATTATACTTGTTCTTAAAGGTTTTCTACCTTTCCCATTTAATTTGCAAGTTCTTATTCTAAAGCACCAAACTTTGTTTTTAATTGATCTACACCTCCTTTGACTGCCTGTTGATCTTATTTTAATGAATCAATATTATTGGAAAGATTTTATTATACTTGTTCTTAAAGGTTTTCTACCTTTCCCATTTAATTTGCAAGTTCTTATTCTAAAGCACCAAACTTTGTTTTTAATTGATCTACACCTCCTTTGACTGCCTGTTGATCTTATTTTAATGAATCAATATTATTGGAAAGATTTTATTATACTTGTTCTTAAAGGTTTTCTACCTTTCCCATTTAATTTGCAAGTTCTTATTCTAAAGCACCAAACTTTGTTTTTAATTGATCTACACCTCCTTTGACTGCCTGTTGATCTTATTTTAATGAATCAATATTATTGGAAAGATTTTATTATACTTGTTCTTAAAGGTTTTCTACCTTTCCCATTTAATTTGCAAGTTCTTATTCTAAAGCACCAAACTTTGTTTTTAATTGATCTACACCTCCTTTGACTGCCTGTTGATCTTATTTTAATGAATCAATATTATTGGAAAGATTTTATTATACTTGTTCTTAAAGGTTTTCTACCTTTCCCATTTAATTTGCAAGTTCTTATTCTAAAGCACCAAACTTTGTTTTTAATTGATCTACACCTCCTTTGACTGCCTGTTGATCTTATTTTAATGAATCAATATTATTGGAAAGATTTTATTATACTTGTTCTTAAAGGTTTTCTACCTTTCCCATTTAATTTGCAAGTTCTTATTCTAACTGATTACGATTAGCTGTTGAACTTTATTATAATTTTTACTAAAGATTGGATAGTTCTGCTTTCTAATTAGCAAGTTCAGTATTTAACTAATTTAATAAATTATCATTTTCTGTTTATAATTTTCTTAAGGCTTATTCAATATTATCTATTCTTTCACTTTATTTTTTTTATTCTTTTTCTTTTCTTCTTTTTTCTTGTTCTTCTGGATTTTATTCCGTTAAAATTAGTTCAATTCTTATATTATACTCAATAATTTTCTTTCCTTTTGCCAAAAGGAATTTCACATCCAATGAAGAATCTTAGTTTTTAAGCTTTAACTATACTGGGCTGTTGTTATCAAAAATTTTTTTAATATGATCTCCTATCTCTTTATTTAAATCCTCTAACTCTGCAAGACCCTCTGTTTAAGATTCTACGTCTTTCTCTGAGATAAATCCCTTATATTCATTGAGGCTGTCATAATTGACTACTTCAACCATTAGTCCTTATTCATTATTATTTTGATTCTATTAAGGGATTTATAATGGAGCTTATTATTATAATAATTATTAAAATTCTTCTACTTTTTGCTATAATTGTACCCAGCCATTATTTTGAGTATCAAAGAGATAACATGCCTTTGTTGATTCTTAAAGTTAAGCTGTGAAACTTTATCCATTACTAAAGTTTACTTTTCCTCCTACAAATCCAGGCTGTACTTCCATATCTGGAAAATTTTCTAAAATAATCTCATAAGTAACTAATTAATTTTGAGTATTTGTATTCCTTTGTGAGCCTTTTTTCATGAATAATAAATACTTTTTGATGCAATTCCCCATCTCACTTCAATGTCTCTATCTTAAAAGTGATGATGATTTTAATTCATATATTTCTATTAAAAATATTAATGAATTTTTTATGAATTAGATAAAGGCTTTGAAGCGGAATAATAGAATTAGAGATATTTTTTTAAAAATCAAAAATTTCATTGAAGTTCTCAATATTTATAGAGGTACTAATATAGAATCATTCGCCAAGGATGGCAAAATTGAAAAAAAATAATTTATTACAATTAGAACATTCTAAAATTGATTTAGGTTTATATATGAAATAAATTTTAGATTATCACTATCCACAAAAAAGACATTGAATAATTAAGAATTAGCTAATTATTTATGAGTTAAAAAAATCTATATTGATTAAAAATTTTATGTGTATGGAATTACATCACCATAAATTATTACATCACCATAAATTATTAGCTTATATCTTATTGAGTCAATAAGCTAAATATAGCATTTCTACAAGAATTAGTTATAATTGTATGTTAATTATTTATACATTGATCAAGAAACCTTACTATATCTAAAATCAAGGTATTATAATAGAAGAATTAATTAATTTTTATTTTCAATATATATTTTTTTAATATTAATGGGGAGCTTTTTCTAATATAGAAACAAAAAGTAAAACTAAATTCAGTTAAAGTTAATTATAATACATTTTAATATTGTCTTAAATTTCTGTGTGCTCTATAATTTTATTTTATATTTAATAAATCAGATGGGAAAACTTTTTTCAACTCCTTAAGACTAAAATCGATAGAATGTAGTTCTTTAAAAATAATTTAAAGAAATTAATGACTCTAGCCAACCATGTGTTTCTATTTCAACCCATCGGCCAAAATAGTCTTAAGGAGAGACTAATCACTAGGATTATCCATGCTCATATATATTTTAAGAAACTAAATCATAAACAGCTAAGCAGGAATCTGAAAATATTTAAATAGTTTCTTTATATTAATCTCATGAACAAATTGTAATTGATGCAAGCGGAAGGTTAGCTAAAAGCCAGGAAAATTTAAATCAAAATCATATATGTTATTATTGCAATAAATTAATTGAAGAAATACTTATCAAAGTGATCTGTTAGCATACATATCATCATGAGTGCTTTGTGAAATTAATTGAATAGTAATTCCTTTAATCTGATAGACATTACATTAAATGTAAATGTGGAACTAAACTTAATCCCAATCTTTTGAGATAAATAGTCGATAAAGAAGTTAGATATAAAATGTTATATTAATTATTCTCTTCTTAACTTTAAATAATATTGAAAAATTCAAAAATAAGAAAAAACCCTGATCATGATCAAATTGTTTTACTCTTTCAATCCAATACAGTTTAATAAGATTTTGATTATGAACAAATGTAAATTAAAATATAAGAAATTTAATTTAAATCTAATGGAATGTTATATTAAAGCGCATCAAAATTATTAATCACTAGCAACTGTTAAGTATGTCAGAAGTAGATTGATAAAAATGTAGTCAAATTAAATTGCAACCATTTTTATCATGTAAACTGCTTTATAGAATGGATGGAAATGTAAATTACAGATAGGACCAAGTATATAGTTAAGTGTAAATGCGGAAGCAAATTAAGCACAAATATCATTAGAACTCTACCTGATCTACCAAAAAGAATGTAGCTGCTTAATCAATTATTTTCTTCATAATTGATTTATATCCTAAAACTATTAAAAATGAAGAATGATTTTATTTAAATTATGGATACATTTCATAGATTTTAGAATACAGAGGACTACGATTATATATCGCATACCGGCTTTATTTATTAGAGCAATAGTCATACCCCAGAGGGAGAATGAAAATAACACATTATTTATATATTACCATAATTTATATCACACAGATTATATCGATAAAAGGTATTTTAGTCAATGTCTAAACTACATAAATTTTATTTTCGTATTAAATTACTGCTTAAGTTATTTTTATCAAGTTTATTATTTGTTAGAAATAAGTTTTAATAAAATTTGATTCTTCTTTCCTATGATTAATTTCCAAATTAAAAAATATTCACTTAAATTGCGAATTACAGTTGACAGATGAATCAGATCATTATTTTTTTACTTTTTACTATTATTAAGAATTAGAAAGGATATGAAAGACATGATGCAATTATGTATTTTTCAAAACAAAATAGTCAAAATTATTCTAAGCAGGTACAATCTAATGAATTTCACTTAACATATTATTTTATCTATCTCGAAACGTCAAAATAGGTTAAAAGTCTTGTTCTTTCTAAATTATTATTTTATTTTTTACCATCGTATGTCCTTTGAGCTCAAATGAGAATATAGACAAGGATAATTATAAAAATAAATATCTCCATTTTATTTTATGTTGTTAAAATGATAATATGAAATTCAATAGAATTTGTACAATTAAATTATTTATTTATAACTTTTGTCAATAGTATCAATATTTAAATTAGATAATCGGGGCTCAAAGATGCAAATTTAAATTAACGTTAGTAGTTAAGAATGATGAATAACTAGATGATTTCTATCTACATTTTGTAAATTTCCATCATCATTGTTTTAATTAGTATATTTGAGTTTCTTAGAATAATACGAATAAAATATTTGTGATTTATTAATTTATTGAATATTCATTACTATTATTGTAGATATTTTTTTTTCTAAATTTTGATAATTAATGCATAAATGTTCTTTAAATTTTGAGGATAAAAAATTAGAGGATTAGTTTTAAAATGAGAAACTGCAAAAGATAAGACGACCTGTTTATTATGCTACGTTTATTTTTTTTGTTTTAAATGGAATGAAAGCAATTTTAGAATTTGTAAGAGGAACAAGCTTTAAATCAGAAATTAATGTTGGTTTTGTTACAGTCCAAACCATTATGGCAGTGATGGTGCTTAAAGACTAAAAGTATATAAAGTAGGCATTAGTTATAACTAACATAATGTCTGGATTTCTATAGATGAATTTTAACGAAGATGCTACTGCAAAGTAAGAGTTCTATTCATTTGGAAACAGTTATGCGTTATTTTAAGCGATTGGCTATTTTATTTCCGATTTCAGGGATGGAGTAATCCAAGCAATTAGTCATTTGACAACTAAGATAATTATCACGAGTATTCATTCAAACAAAGTTGATCCACTTTGTACAAGTTTGGCAATCACTAGCACTTTTTTTATAGTGCTTACGATTTATGTGAGTGACTACAATTATAGAAAATAATTTCTAGCCAGCATTTAAGACGATGTTTGGGATAAGCAACTACCATTTCTGGTTAAGAAGCCATATATAAAATTCACTCATAAAAATACGTATTTTAACATAACTAGCTGCAACCTGATTGAAAGGTTTGCTGGTTATAAAAGCGATTATTGTTTTGGATGCAATGCAAGAGAATTTTTAAGTGAAACAAAAGTGAACAATGTTTGTCTTTTGAATAAGCTTCTGAGTGATTCCATCATGTTAAATACTGATATAGAAGCTCATTTGAAATGCTTTAGATTCAATATCAGGGTTTGTATGTATGGGATTGAAAAGATGAATCGAATAGTAATATTAGAGAAGATAGTGACAAAAGAGAAGAGCAAGTAATTTTCTTATGAATTTCGAAAGGATTTAGTTTTAACATTAAAGTAAGGGAAGCAAAAATTGAAGTTTTTGCAATTTTATAATTGGGGAATACAATCATGTTTATTGATCAACAGCATGTCGATTAGATCAATATCTTTGATCGATGTGATTTCAAAATTAAATAAGAATTATAGAGGTTATTTAAATCCTATAAGGCTTATTTTTATTAATAAGTCGAAACTATAAATTAGAACATACTCAAATTTGATAAAAATATACTTATTTCAAATATATCACATGCTCATTATGACACAACCCAGATCCAAAGACAATACAGATGCCATCGTTAAGGAGAATGAGGAATACATCGAATTCCATCTATAAATAAGGAACGCAAGAGAGTTCTGCGATCATTACTCTAAAAATATTTTCATACGTCAAATAGAGAGAGTGATTCTATGGGAGAGAGTGAAGAGTGATGTAAGAATATAATTTAGTAAATAAATTTCATTTAAGTGAAATAATTTTATTCATGGTCAAGCGTCTCATAATTAAATTGATAATCGAGGTCGGTTCTACTGTTGCCAAGTCTTTTGTGAAAGCCTACCAATAGAGTGCTAAATGTACCTAAGTTATCTATTCGATTAGAAACAGGAGGAAAACCAGGAAATCCATTTACAGAGTTTCTGAATCAAACTATGCAAGCAGCAAATCTGACTCATAAACCTATGACAAGAGAGGAAGCCTTTAAGATATTACAATTAGTTCCGGAGAAGGCTAATCCAGAGGATATTATCAGAGTAAATGGAAGAATTATAATTTGTAGGTTTATTGGAGATAGTTCCATAAGAATGATCCTGTCAAGGGTGGGTCATTTTATCTTCAATCGATGCTACACAATGCAAAATGCGAGTTAATGAGGGACTTCCCAGAGGCAAATGAGAAGGAGGTCTTGGAAAAGATTAGGAAGGAAGGAGAGAGTTAGAAGGGAGAAGAAGAAGAGAAGAAAGATGAGGCAAAGGTGGAGGAGAAGAGAGAAGAAAAGAAGGAAAACTGAGTTCTTAATTACTTATTTTGAGGATTGAAATTGATATATAAATTTAATTATGTTATAGAGATTGTCTACAATAATAAGAAGACCAATCTTCTGGCATGGCACACATCATCATGATAGTAATGATGCTACAAAGAGATTGTTTGATACTGTTTCAAGTACAGTAAAGGGCATTCAATAAATAAACTATGTGGTGGAACATGATCCAAAACTCACAGCTGAGGAGAAGTCTAAAATGAAGCAATTTTTGATCTATAGATACGATCCAGCTGTACGATTCAATATATTGATTTTAGGACGAAAATGACTTCCCAAAATACGTGAGTTACTATGTGGACTTGAAGAAGATACCCCCTATGTATTTGGATGCATTATTGTACATCAAAGACAATTATGATTCATCTCTCTCCCTCCGTCGTTCATGCAGAGAGGGTATCTGTGGATCATGTTCTATGAACTGCAACGGTCTCCATAAGCTGGCATGCATCCATGCAATCGACACTGATTTGACTTAGCCAGCCTACATCACTCCTCTAGGTCACATGTTCGTTGTGAAAGACCTTGTTGTTGACATGACCAACTTCTATACTCAATACAAAACCATCGACCCATATCTGAAGAGAAAGACTCCAAAGGTATGAAAATCTAATTTTATCATCTCAGGAAGGAAACAAGGAGTACATCCAATCAGTCGAAGACAGAAAACTACTAGATGGTCTCTATGAATGTGTGTTGTGTGCATGCTGTTCCACCTCATGTCCCTCTTACTGGTGGCATCCAGATAGATATCTCGGTCCAGCTGTCCTTATGCAAGCCTACAGATGGATTGTGGATTCTAGAGATGAGTATACAGACGAGAGATTGGAAAAATTGGGTATCTTTATCTCTCTATATAACTTATAGCTGAGGATGTTAAGGTTGAAGACTGCTAAAATATTGGAATGTGCTCTTTTACTTGTCCAAAGGGACTAGATCCATAAAGATCAATGAATCACTTAATGAAATTGATCGAAGAATATAAAGAAAGAAAGATTGCATCAGCCACATTATGACATTATCATAACATAAATAAAAATATCATAAAATACTTGTTTCTTAGGCATTTCTAATTTCATTTATCTTTGATCTACACTTTGGGCAACTAAAGTTTAAAATTAGCCAAGCCTTTATACAATGCATATGGAAATGATGTTACTAATTACAAGGAAGGATTAACAATTCTTCATTTCTACTATATACTTGTAAGCAAATTCCGCATTCTTGATCCCCTTATATATTATCATTCTGATAGATCACTTTTTATTTTTTTATGAGTTCGTTCAATATTTGCTGATTCTCATAATTCTATTTTTGTTACTTCAACTTGTTCCATAATATCATCAATAGAATGAATGGTAGTGATATCAATAGTATTAAACATAAGATGTACCCTTCCCAATATTAATACAATGATATTATTAAAAACATCTTTTGAAAAGTGGCCAAATTGTAGTAGCAAGCATCTAGAGGCTCCATAATCATTTATATGTAAAATGCCCAAAAAATCAGTGCTTGATTCAATAATGCATTAAAATAATGCACACATCGGATGGTTCTATTCCTTTAAGCAACTTCAGATTTGATTTATTCGGTAAGGATGAGTTATCTCCTTTCTGTTTCTTCAAAACTCATAAAGATATTCGGGTCTTGATTAGTAGTCACCACAAATTCAAAAGGTTGATTCTCCTAGGGTTAAGGTTGAAAGTGTCCCTCTTCAAATTATATTGCATGGTTTAAACTATCTGCTATTTCAAATACAATTTCCTAGAATGCTTATTTACATTACTATGTTGTTCAAGGATTGATATAATTTGGTGTAATAGAAATATGCTAAAATCGAATGCAGTTCTAAAATTGCTAGCCAATTCATAATTTAATCTGATTCACAAGTTATGTTAAAACCCAAAATCAACGCAATCCCAAATTTCGATATACTATAGAACCGATATAAGAATATGAGTTTTTTTGCACTTTGCAAAGACTTATAAAAAATAAAAGTAAATCTCTTATTTATTAACATTATAATAATAATATAATTTGTGAGCTATTAAATATCATTTTCAAATATTTCTTTTGATTTTAAATAGGAATATATTGTGTATAAAGAATATTTGATATAAGTTTGCATTAATTATATTATGGAATATAAGTCATTATTATCATTGTTGTTATTATTATAATTCTAGCTCTTCTTCAAGTTGCTTTTATTCAATAAATGGGCAAATCTCTTACCAAATTTACATAATCCCATTGGAACCTTAATCATAAATTTCTTATAATTACTTGCAGTAATCAGCAATCGACCAACAATATAAATTCGTCTTATTTCTTCTTTAATTAATTCGATGGTCTCGATGGGTTGACCTTTTTCGATATTCCAAATGATCAATTTACCGTCAGATCCGCCTGTTATAAGATGCTTACAGTATAGAAAACTACACAAAATCGATCCATTATGGCCATCCTTTAATGTTCTTAATATAGTTGAATGATTTACTTTAATTTAGTACCTTGATCCACGTTAATTAGATCACTAATTTTATCCATGCCTCCAACAAACAATTAATTGTTGCTAATCTGGTACAAATGTTACACTTTCACTGTAGTAACAGTTCTTAAAGTCTTCAATTAAATTTTTGGACCATTCTTTTCCTATAATCATATAGCAAACATCAAATTTACTCTTTTGTATATTTTGACTCTTCCATCTGGGAATCCAGCTGCAAAGGAATCTTTATTGTAAGCCACCAATGATATCACAAATGTTCTGTCTACTGATTCTATATATTCTTGAGCACCTGATTAGAAATTGACAAGATGAATTTTTCTATCCTCCGATGCTGTTACAATACTACCATCAACATAGATGATAGAATAAACACCTTTTTCATGGTATTTGAATTTTATATCCATTTGCCAGATACCATCATCTTATTTCCATCGAATAACAGTTCCCTCTTTATTTCCTGCCAACAACATTCCATTATAAACATAAATACTCAAAATTTCAGCTTCATGGATAAATACCTTATTGATTCCAAATGTTTAAGCATTCCAAATAATAATTTATTTGTCTTCTCCTGCAGTGATAAACTCATCTTTATTAAGGAACACTATTTGATTGATTTTACCCTCATGTTTATTCATTTCTAAACTTGAAAATTTGCCACGAATTTAAGATTCTGATTCTATACAAAGTGGAGTGGATATCAATGTTTCTACATTAGGAATAAGAGTGCCCATTAGCCATCGATAAGCCTTATTCCTTCCAAAAGCAAATGATTAAGGAAAATTTAACACTTAAAACCCACAAGAGGTAATAAAGTAGATTTTTGGCTTATTTGATTTGATTACATCTGCATTCTAAAGTTATGCTCCCAATCTCCATAAGCCTTATTGTTATGTTTAATCTATTTCCATATAGAAATAGTCGTCTTCCCTTTAGAATTTTACGACTTAATTAGAATCCCTTATTTTTTCTCCATTTTCATTAATTAAAAAAAGAGAGAAACTTTCTCTGGGAATTTGGGCATCTACCAATAGATATTATTTATTGGTAGGTCTCAATTGGCGTGGAAATTCAGAATTACTCAGAAATTCGCCAATGCTGGGGAAGACTCCATCCTGTAAAGACCAAACAACCATCTTACCTTATTTAGTAAATGTAAATAATCGTTTTTCATAACTTACGCATTCTCCTAAAAATAATTCAACTGGAGATTTAAAATATTTTTAATGAGTAATTTTAAGTTCATTGACAGTCTCTGGAGAACTCACAATACTGATATGGCTGCCTTACGCAATCAGGACTCCATCTTCCATTTACAACACACTATTGACTTGTTAATTTGAGTTTAGACTGATGTTTGGACCTCTTTCAAGTGAGTCAATTGCTAAAGTATGTAATACTCCATCGAGTCCTCCAAAAATCAAATAATGTTGATCCAACTATATAATCTATAAAATGGGTTATCCACCACTGAGATATCCCTTGATTTCCTTATATTTAATGAGTGTTCCACTCAAAGGTTAATCTAATGATTTTTCAATCTTATAAATGAAAATGGATTTGTTATTATCACATAAGATGGCTATTTGATCATTTGTGATGGAAACCACCTTATTGATTGGATCAACAGTTTAGGCGGAAGATTCAACTACGATGATTGCATCAATAGACAATCGCAATTACCTCAAGTCAACTTTAACCAGAACTAATTGCCCAACAACAGTTCCCAAAGCCAGTCCTTCAGCTCCTACTTTACACATAGAATTGGTTTTCCTGTTGATACTAAGTGAAGCTAATAATTTAAACTGCTGGGTTTCATCATCCTTCTTCAACCAGACTAGTTAGCCACTATTGTCGGAGACAAATACGTTTTCTTCATCCCAAATGATAAGGGTGTTGACGAGATCAGAGAATACACTTTAAATTGTACAATCAACTATGCAAGTATCCAAGTTCCAAAAATTAATGTTACCATTTCGATTGGCTGCCGCTATGAGGTTGGGTGGTTGAAATACACATTATACAACTTCTTACGAGTCTTTGAGTGATTTGGTATGATTGGGATAAGCTTTCAGTTGGGATGTATTGATAATTTAATTCACGACATCAAATGTCTCATATGGTCCTTTCAATGAGCCTAGTATCCAGAAGTAAGGGTATAATGCACATTGTTCAGATGGCAATTAAGGTAATTAATACTGTTGTATTTGATCTGGAGTCAAGACATAAATTTCTTTAATAAAATCCATCTTTAATTTAGGCAGACAGGCAACCAATTATAGGATGTCCCTCTTATTTTATAGATTAGAAAATCTAATTAATTGAATTCCGTATTCTAAGTCTTCAATATATTAAATATCTTAATCATATTAAATGGCTTAATTAGATTGAATGACTTATTTGTCTAAAGTGATTGGATGCATAAATTACTTTCAAAAATAATATAGAAATTCAAGAAACCTCCATTAGGCTGATTCACAAGTAAGACTTCCAATTGGGAATGTTGTGGTTTGCGAATAATATAATAGTTGTTGATAGCATTTAAGGACAATGGATATTGTTCATCAATTTCTTTGATTACATCATAATATTCAACATTCTATATAAAGATTTTACCTTTTGTAACTAGTAGATTATCAAAAATATAAAATACTTTTATTCTGCAAAAGAGCCTTACAAATTCCTCTCTCATTTGAACGATAGCTGTATAATTTATTATTGGTTTAATCTTCAACTTTAATATAAACATTCGGGACAGGATTCTTACTAAGCATATCTATAAATTGAAATTAAATAAGATGAATATGTTGTAAATTAGCAGATGGAGGTTGCAAGTATCTAGGTTTCTTTATCGTCAAATCACTAGACGATCTAAAGGCAAGTCTTTTGTTTATTGCATCCTGCACAGGATCATACCCTTCTTCTTCATCTCTAGCCTTTGTCAATTCGAATTTAAATTCGCAAACTCCAGCATTCGAGGTAATTTAATCTTTATAAACTTAGTATCCTGTTTTTTTCACATATACTGTAAAATTACCAGGCTCTACTACAATTTCATACTTTCCACTCTCTGGAGGTGACTCCTTTAATACAGCTTCCTTTCCACCTCTTATCGGGACTATCTCTACTCTGCAATCTATAACTGGTGCCTATTAACAATGCACAATAACTAAAATGCAAGAATGCGTTTGTTTCTATAATTCAATAGTTTGATCAAGCGAATCCTTACCTTCGAATGAAAACAAATCAATTTTCTACTTTTATTTTTCAAAATTTACATAATTTTTACTAAGATAATCATTGGTCTCCTCTATAATCACCTCATAAACATCCAGAGGCACATTTTTTAGGGTGATTTGACCATCCTAATTTGTTCGCTCTATCCTATAATAGGGATTATCCTCTGCCTCTTTCTAGCTTCTTTGAGTTTACCCCGTTTTATCAGACAATGCTGACTTAGGTCTAGTTTAGGCACTATGTGGTCGTAACGTTCTATGGGATCTCGAGGTTGTTGCTAAATTTAAATAGGGAGCCCATTTTACACATAATGCTTTGAGATTTCGATAGAACAGGACGATATGGTTGTATTTTGACTTTGATGTCTTTTAATTTCTGATCAGAATCAGCGAATTTCAAATTTATAGTGAAGGAAACCTTCTTAAAATATTGAGGCAACGCATTTATGATTACTGATATCTATGGCCATTTCTTATCGTTTAGTTTGGATCCAATTACAGCCTTCTTGATTTATTCTTTTTGTTTGGACATTACTTAGACTTCGAAACATCCTAAGACGAATTTTAATAGGGAATACCTAATCGACGCTGTAGAAACATAGTTTCTATACTGTGATCGAAATGATCATAGATTAATGGCTTGAGAATGACTTTAACAATTGGAAAACGTGAGATAATCTCATTCTTAAGGACTTGGGCATATTTTTGATAGCTTGCCTCATCATGCTTTGTTGAATTCAAGTGTTCATGACAATTAGTACTGCAATTAATTTAGTGTGTTACCAATATTCAATTGTAACAATGACATCTTCTTCAGAAATATCTTTGAACTCCCTAAATTCCCTAAAGCCTTTATGTTACTCACTTTTATTGCGAATCTCCTCATTCTTCTCCCATAACTCTTAAAATGTTCGTAACTTTTTAATCTTGAAATTAGTGTAAGACAATCCAGTATCTGAATGTTAATACTTAATCATCTGACTGCACTTAATAACATTCTTATAAGTACTGATGAGGGAATATTCCTAAAGAAATCCATGGTTTCTCATGCATATTCCTGTCGTAATGATTGGCAAGTTATCTACTCTCTAAATTGTGATTACCTTGACATCCCATCCTTTGAATTCTACGAATATTTTTTATTTCTCTTAGTTGGTTAGGCAAGTTGGGATATTCTGATTGACCCATGATATCTCTTCATTAATTTCTATATATATATATTTATTAGATAATAATAATAATAAGTTTCAAAATGAATGGCGTTTGTAATGAGGATTTTACATTTCCTCATCTTCTTCCTCCTCCTCCTCATCCTCATATTCCATCCCTTAGACAGCTTCGAATCCTCCCATTTTTTGTATTTCCTCCATTTATTCCTCAGTCAATCCATACTATTTGGCTACGACTTAATTGTAAACAGATACCTATTGCATCCTTCTACAGTTTTTCCAGCAACTTCGGATCCAGATTATCGATGTCAATCTAATCATCATAATCTCCATCGATCTCCTATCCATCATACTCTCTCAAAGATTACTCTGCTTGTTCTCCTACTTAATCAACGCCTTCTGGATCCTGTTGGGAAATTCTCTCTGACTCCTCCACTTCCTATTCACCAATAGGGTTCATGTAATCAAACTACTCCTATTGCTCTTGTTCTTCCTGAGGCTATTATTGACTCTTGGCTGCTTCCACTTCCATCAACAAAGGTCTCTAATAAACCCTGACAAAGATCTCCTTCATCATATTATTGAAATCCTCCTCCTCTTGTCTCCTCTTCTAATATTGCTCTATGAACTTCTATTGTTGTCTTTCATATTGAACTTGGTTATGATCTTGAATTGCCCAAGATTGGTGTACTCTTGGTCTAAATAACTACTTTTTATCTTCCCTCTATTTTTACTCCTCATCATTCTGTTAATCGAGAGCGAGTTGATTCTACTTCATTGTAAATATGTAATCCACATAGGCATTAAATTTATCCGTTGATCTAGGTTAGATCTTGGGTTTCTTTGATGTAGCCTTCTTGGCTTTTTTCAAGGGATCTTCCTTTTAGACTGGTTTCTCATCCAAATAGTCTCGTTGAGCTTTCTTTTTACTTTCATGGAATGTAGGTCCAACAGGAACAGTGGGTTTCTATTTCTTTTTCTTTTGTTCCAATTACTTTTAGAATTGATCATGCAATTTATTAAAATTAGGAATGGATTTGGCTCTGACCTTCCTTGGAGAATCATGATGAGATCTCAATAATAATTCCTATTATTTCTCTTATTCTTGTAACTTCATCTTGTCAATCCATTCCTACATTCTAGGTGGCAATTTGGAATTCTCTTGCAACCAAAACTTTCTTATCTTCTTTCTATTCTCACTTTTGATCTTCTACTCTTGCATATTACGTTCATACAATTTCAATGAACAATACCAAGGAATAGGATTGGCTCTAAATTTATATGGTTCCTCCACCTCCTCTGGCATTTTAATGGGATTTTCTCTTTTCCTGTCCTCAAAATTAAATGGTCTCTGCAATGATTGAGTCTTCTCCTTGCATCTCTCCTTCAATTCTCTCCTTCGTATTTCCTCCCTTTCCAACAATTCATTATAATAATTCCTATCCTTCACCTTGTATGGAATCGCCTTTGCCTTAAATGGTTTAAATTTATAGGCCTCCTCAATCTCCTCCTACTTCTGCCTAACTTACTCCATCACCCACTTCTCCCTGATGCTGGGTTGCTTATTGACATCTCTCTTCTCCTACCCAGTCTTCTTGGGTACAGTAAATTGCATCCTCTCCACATTGATCTCTTGAAATGGTTTTCTGGGAATTGATCTCTTCCTTACTTTCTTCTTCTCAGGTTCTGGAGGTGGAGGGATCTCCTACTTTGCCGTCATCTAATAGAAATAATCATCGGATGACTCCGATGAAACCTCCTCTTCCTACTCTTATACCTGTGGTTCTTCCTCCTGATCCTTTGGGAGATTGTCAAGGAAATACATAAACTAATTCCACGAGATTTATTCATCAGGATTATTGAGATATCCAATCTCTATTTGTTATAGCACACTCTCCAAGAGCAAGTTCAAACCAAAAACAACCACATGAACAGCATAGACAAACAACTCACAATTTTAACGAATTGCTTTAATCGCATCATCAACAGTAGCCAAACCATTCTCACTGACCGAATCAAAGGCCTCCTTCATAATTGAGATGTCTTCCAACAGGAGGATTCGAGGAGTGTTCTCAAATAAATTGACTTATTTGTGAATTGGATCGAATAAATGCACGTACTCTCGGAACCCTTTCTCTGGTTTCACCTTCTGATACTTCTATAAAAACTATATGAATTCCTCTTGGTTTAAGTGAAATCTCTCCTTGACAGGGAATGAGTCTAAGGCCATTGAGAGCGATTGTCTATCAAATTGGAAGAGGGTCATTATTAGTGGGTTGTCGTACATAAAGTTTTTGATCTGTAAATGATGGACTTACCCTTTACGATGGGGATCTATTTGAGTGTAAAAGAAATCAAACATTTCTAAGTCATTTGGATCCTTGGTCACCCACTTCTAAAGAGCCTCTGTTTGTTGGTCCAATAACTTCAGAAGTTTGAATTCTTGCTCTCTCTACAGTCGTTCCCTTGAGTAGAATGAAGTTGAGAGTACCTTTTTCGACGCAAATACATTTTGAATTAGAATATGTAATGTCTCCTTTGCAGGACTTCCTCGTTATATTTGCTTTGATATGGTTTTTTCTCTTCAGGAATGTTGCAATCCTATGACTCTTCACTTTCTTCAGTCTAAACCTTTGGCCTTCTTCCTTGCACTCTCCGGAGGATTTCACATATCTTATCTCTGGAGCGTTGCTAATTAGATCAACCTACTATGTACTATTTTGGCATTGATGGTGTTGTCTTTGATACTGCGCAGTAGGTCATACTCGGTTTTCAATTCTCCCACCTTCTGCTACAATTAACCGACAAATAGTTAATCTGTCATTTATTTTTATTTATGCAAAAACTCAACACCTACGAGGCAACTCCTTGGGTGGCTGGATATCAATGTTGCATCGTCATCTACACTTTCATAAGCTTTGGACTTATTTTGGTTTCAGTGTTCAATCAATCAATACTCATGGATTCAGTATGTTAAAATCACATATAATCAAGGCACCTCAATTTTATTCAGATTGGGATAATAAATTTGTAGAAGACCTAAACATCAGAGAATCCTGCCAAGAAGGCTATGTTAACTTGTTAAATTTCACATGGCCTGGTACTGAACTTGGATGTGATTGTACATAATCTAATGGAACAGGCGCATACAAATATTCTAAGTAAAAAAAAAATAACAATAAAGCTATTATTATATGGAATGCAGCGAGTTTATGCTAGCTGATAATTGCCAATCAGTTGAACCAATCTATGAAAAGCAATTCTAGCATTGGCCGATTAATGATTAATCTTCAGTTAAAGGTTGTATCATTTGATCTATCCCAAGCTTTCAAACTATGTGCCAAACAAAGCACTGAAACTGCAATAGAAGCATTTTAAATTGAGGAGGCCAGCGAAGGCTACAAAAAGTGTGGCAATGTCTATCAAGTTCCATCTAATGAATCATGTCCAATAAGCGATTTTTCTATAACGACAGATTCAACTGGAGAGGCAATCGGAACTACTGGATTGTATCTGAATATTAAGAGAGTGTAAAAAGAAGAAGTGCCATTGACTGCATTTACAATAGGATTTAGTAAATACCATTTAAACTATTACTAGATTCAATATGTTTTTCAGTTTCAGAAATTTAATAGTTTCAGTATTTAGATAAGATGATCAATTATAATTGCTATGATAATGATGAGAGATATGTACGATTTACTAGTGATATGCCTTATAGTGATTTGCTAATGGTAAATGAAATAAAAAACGAGTATAATCTATTATATAAAAATGCGATTGTTGAAAGCAGAAGTATTTTATAAAATAATGTAGATGTGAATCTGTTTTACAAGTACCTCACTCAATTTTATTACAACTCATCATAATTGTGTTAGGCAGAAGATCTAGATTATATTTACAATTTGAATGCATACATAAAAGACAATGTAATGGATGTTTAATTGGCTGCTTAAGTGATTGTAGGAATACAAGCAGGAGTGTTTGGATTCTTAATTCCATTAATGTCAGCAATATCTTTGGTTGGTTGCAGTTTTAAATATACCAATTTGAACAGAAAAAGCTCACTTTATAAGGACTTATTTGGATTCTGGTTGGGAGTCAAGATGATAGGTGAGACCCTGTGCACCATCATCTTGGCTGCCGATATGGGGTATTAGTAATAAATGATGAACCACTTCAATGATTTCATAAATGCTGATTGTTCTGATAAATACTCTTTACAGGAAATGAGTGATTTCTATAACGAATACGAAATCAAGGTTTACAATTATGTGCTTCTGAATTTCATCCTTTGCATAATCGCCAATGTCTTTGATATCTATGTCACTTATCTGATGTGCAGAGACAAACACAAGGAAGGGATTTTTCTGAAGAATAGCGAGACTTCTCACCTTAAAAACCTCAGTTCTACTCATCCGGATGAATTGCTCAACAGAACCAAGGTAAGACCTTAATCAGAAATAAAATAACAACAACGAGACAGTCTACAGAAACGACAATTTGAAGATGTCGAAATACCAGGCGATGACATGCCCAAACCACATAAACCTGAGAATTGAACATGAGATTATAATTTATCATGTATCATATTTTTCTAAACACATCTCACTTGTGATATTGCTAGGTAGTTATTTACGCAATCTATTTAACCTTTCAGTCACTCTGTCTTGAATGGTATCTCCCTATTATTGCAAAGATTGTCTAATGATGTTGTCTACGAACATATTATTCAAGTATAATACCTTTCCTTTCTACTTCATCATCCCAATGCTTAATCAAATCAACTTAGAATTTTTATTCATTTTATGATTAGTATATCTTCTCTGTCATTGTCAACTTCTTCGAACGAACTTCCCTAATTACTTTATGCGATATCTTCTTGTTTTCTATGTTAATCTCCTGTATTTGTTATTGTTCCTCTTCCTTGACAGGGGTCTGAAACTTTGGTTTAGGTGGTTTTTCTGGGCGTTTGAGAGGATCATATTTCACTAATCCTTCCTTAATGATTGGTTTGATTTACATCTGCTTCTCTCTTTTCTCCCTCGCCAACATTTCATCCTTTAACATTATTTCAAATGCCTCCTTCTCTGCAATTGTATTCGAAATCTTTTCCATAAAGTAATACTTGGCAGGATTTCCTACCGTATCGAAGAATTCAACACACATGGCATACATATTGAGTAAATCCAAAATTTGTTACATTGATTCAATCTTTGTGATAAACTGAATTAAAGAATGCACTTTACTTTTCTTTCCTTCTCTAATAATTAAATGAAAAATTTCTTCCCTATGCCAAATTTACTATCATCCTCATCAGATGAATCGCAATGCATTCGAATTTTTAAAATAAAAATATTTATTTTCCTAAACCAACTCAATTCTTAATTATATGATCAATTTTATCTCCATTATTCCTCATCCCTCCTTAATTCCTAAGGGATTGATATAGATGCTTCACAAATATTCTATTTTACACTCTGAGTCATAACAACACATTACTGTGTTATTTTGGTAATAAACTTGCTTAAATTCACTATACTTATTGTCTAGATTAGCCGTATGTGGTTTTATTCTTCTTTAAAAGCAACATATTGTAGGTTCTGTGAGTTTTTCTATTTGTATTGTATTATTAAGGGAATAAATTTGATTGAAGCCTCATTGCAAGCATTTCCTTCATTAGTTGTTATTACTTCAATATAAAACTGATATTCATTCATACTATATAACATTCCTAAGAGAATTCGAAGACATGAACAAGGATCTGGATCTATCAGCTATGATTACAAAAGATGATGTCGACAGGAGGAGAAGATAAATTAATATTCTGCAGATTAGCTAATTTGAATGATCTTGTTTTGTGATTGATCGGTGTAATTTTGTAGATATCTAATTAAGAGGGAATTCTCATTGATTACCCTGGATTAGACAATGATTTCAGTGAGAAAACAATACAGAGTGAAAAGAGAAGGCGGGATGGGTGTGTGTTTGCTGTTGGATTAGGATATTTTGGTATGGGATGTAAATTTATGGGATTTGAGACAATTGCACTTTGATTTAAGAGAATGTGTTATTGATTGTAATTATAATTAATAGGAATTTGGGTTGTTTTTAATGGCTGAAGAAGATTGAAACGAAATCGGTGGAAATGATTAAGAAGTATGGGGATAATTAAATATATAAATGGAATGAAAATAAAGATATTTATTTTTTAATTTAAAATGTCTGTGGACAACAGCTTCGATAATTTTGAGTAGTTGATGTTTCCTTCCTATGATGATATAGAAAACAGAGAGAAAATAGAGGAGTAATACATTTTAGATCCGATTCCATAAGAATAGGAGGACAAGCCAATTCTCTAAAATCCAGCTAATAATGGGAAAACTTACTAACAATTATTCGAAATAGTTTAACGATTAAATGACATTAATTGGGTGGAACCATTATCAAAAATCACTCCTATCAAGTACTTGACTCCAATTACTTACTGGTTCATCGTATGTTCCCAATACTTTCAAAACGATGCTGATCCTAAAATCATCAAGTATACACCACTCTTTACACTTTAGAATCAAGTAGGAATGCCAACAAGTCCAAGAAGAAACTGCTCGTCCATACACTTACTTTGACGATTGGTTCATCATGGAGATGAGAAACATAGTAAACTATAATCTAAGATAGATGGTTAAAAGAATTACCACCCAGAAATGATTTGGAATTATTGTAGACTCAACTAGAATAACAATTACTCGAAACTCAACTCCAAGTAAATACTCAAATAGATGCAATACAAATAGAAAAGCCCACTTTGAATATCCAAAATCCCCCAGATTACATCCTCAAAGATCTTGTTGGCCTAACTGAAATCGAGAACCAATATCTAACATATCTGGAAAGTCAACAAAAGTATCATATCTTACAATTTCTAGATATTACGATGAATAAATTATCAATTAAACTAAGTCCTCCAATTTGGCTGGAACTGCAAGAAAACTACAGAATGTTTATAATAATTGTTAGATTTGCAATCAAGGGGTTAGATCTGAGGATCCACTTACATGTTGTCAGAAATGTTAGATTATTGTTCATTAAAAATGTTATGGATTAGAGAATGTACTAAGTAATTGGATTTGTGATGTTTGCTTGAATTTTGGCAATAAAGGGAAGTTCTTGAAATGTCCTCTCTGTCCAAAATTAGGAGGAGCTATGAGACCAACTGCTATGGCAATGAAAGATTCCATATTTGAATTAATTAACCCATCCTTTCATACATACGCTATCAATTCCAAAGTTGATAGACAAAGTATTAAATAGATCTATTTTAGAGCCTCCTCCTGATGGAGAAGAGAATTATAATTTCATGATACTTTAATATCAACTTGAAAATATGACTGGCGAACCACCAAAAGCTGAAAAGATATGGACTCATGTTTCTTGTTCTCTGTGGTTAGATTTTGATTTAGTTAAGATTGACAAAAGAAAATTCAATACTTTATGCAGTATATGTAAACAGAAAAAGAATGGAGCATGTGTATCTTGCTCAAAATCCAAGTGTGCCATATCATTTCATCCTGAATGTGCCAGAAGATCGTAAATTTATATGGAATCAGATAACATCTATTGCTTTAAACATTAACCCTTGAAAATCAAGAGAATATTCGATGATTAACACAAGTAATGGAAAGAGGAGATCTATTCTTTTTTTAAACAATATGAAAAATTAGAATATTAATTAGCAAATAGACCGAAAATAAATGAAGTAGAATTCTTAAAGTTTGAACTTAAAGCCTAGCAAGAAGAAATTGAAGCTGATATCAAATAAGAAAATGAATTATTATTTCAAAGAATTGCTGAAATTCTGGAAAAGGATGAAAAATTCATAGTCACTTTCCAATAGAACCATGTTATAGACATTTAATTGCCTTATAAGAGACAATCTATCTATGACATTGAAGAAGGCGACAGAATTTGGTAATAGTTGGCTAATGAAAAATACTCTTCTGAATAGGTGTATATCCTATATTAGAGAGCTATTAGAATGAGAAAAAAGAAGAAGTAAGGAAATGCCATTATATAATTGCAAATGCCCTCTATTTAGGAATTACCTAATAGAAAGAGACAATCAATTTATTCTAGACCTAAATACTTCAAATATCACAAGAAATAAAAATAAAATGGGTCATCTAATAAGAAGAATAATAGCAACAACAATAATAAAAATATTAGTAATAATAACAATAATATTAGTAATAATAACAATAATATTAGCAATAATAACAATAATATTAGTAATAATAATAATAATAATAATAATAATAATAATAATAATAATAATAATAATAATAATAATAATAATAATAATAATAATAATAATAGTATTAACAATATTAACAATAATAGTATTAACAATATTAACAATAATATATCTCTAAAAATCAAAATACCAAAAGAGGCTATCAATATACAACAATAGTATTGTATTTGCAAATAATAAAATGATGAGGAGATGATGTGTATTATTATTTTTTATACGTTTAGAGTGTGAAATTTGCTCAGAATGGTATCATCTCAAATGTTTAGGATTCTTGAGCACTGTTGAAGATGCGCAGAATCTGTATTTCTATTGTTTTAGATGCGAATAAAAATTAAATCGAGAATAAACCAAATACATCAAGAGATATAAATAATATTTTGCAGATGCTACATTTCGAGATTTAAAATTGAAGATAGGAATGTCCCCCCATGAGTTAAGAGCTCATGAAAAAAAGAACTATAAATAGTTGTCTAAATGATCAATAGAATTACATAACATATAGATTATATTACATTTATATCAATTCAATTGAATATACTAAATAGATAATCAATAAAATCAGATACGTAAATTCATTAAATATTTCAATCTCTTGATTTGTGTCTAATAAATTCAAGTAAGGATTTTGAATAGCATTGAAATGAAAGAAACTCTTCATAGTTTGACTAGGATTATTGTTATCGATTACTTCTAAAGGTGTATTTGATAAATCCACAACTCCAGGGGGTGTCTCATAATTAATATTGAGCTCATAGAAACCAACAGCATATTGAATGGCTGGCAAGATGTCTTGTAAGGCAAATCCAAAGGTAGTTTGTACAAACTGTCCAAAAATTACATTAAATTAATTATCTTCTGAATGATAAATGGATAGTTATACTATTTAATAGAAACATCGAAGTTTATGACATTATTTCAAGCATGTCCTAGTCATATACGTTAAGTTAAAAGGAAATGATTAAGTACATGAATGACGCAACAATAGTTCTTGGCATATACTGCAAAGTTTAGATGTCCATCAATGTGCAATCTACCAATTAGCATAGCTTTCTAAACACTTTTAATTAAATTAGAATTACATTGATAAGATTCTTCATTTGGTTTTCTAAATTAAACATTCAACCCATAGTTCTCTGCATAAATATCCCATTGATCTGTAAACCAATTTATCCAGTATGTATAAGAAGGAGGATTTACATGCCATTTCAAAGTCTAATAAATTAATAAATTCAATTACAAATAGAATGGTTAATTCCATACTTAGGATTTCATCCTTGGTATAACCATAATTAGCAGCCTTCTCAAATTGCTTAACTCCAATCGGGATAACTTCCTCAACCTTGTTTGCTATCAATAAACTAGTTAAACCAATTAGTTATAAATTTTATTTATTAACCTATCTCTTCGATAGATATGAATCTAAATAGAAGATTGCCAGATGAAAAGTTTATCTCTTCAATCTGAATTCCATAGCTACTTCCATCATCCAATCGATAAGAATAGCCCTCATTAGCTAATTGATATCACTCTACTCAGTTAAGTAATATGGATCCGTCAGATATTCCCTCTCTTGTTAAATTAGAGGGTCAGGCTCTGTTTTGATTCTCTCCTCTATATTCACATTACTAATCACTATTTCATTCTCATCACAAGTCAAATCTAAGTCTTTTGGATTTGAATTAGCCTAAGTAGAACCAAGAAATCTAGATTCTTTATGATCTATAGAGGAAGATCTAGATTTTTCAAAGGGACTTTTCGAAAGTAATTAAAGATCAGCAGATACGCATCTTTAAGAGCTTTTTCTAAAATGAGAATCTTTATTTTTCAAATCATCTTTCATTTCAATTAATAAGTTTTGATACTCTTAAGAACAACGATACATATTTTCGATAACTCCATTGAATCGTAACTTATCGTTATTTTACATTTATGAAGTTTGAGCTATGGACTGTAATTTTAAAGTTAATTTATCATTGCAATCTCCTTAATTCAAATACATGCTGTCCTTGATACGAGTTCTGCTATTTGTATTGCTTAGAAGAACCGTATTTGGGAAACTGATTTATCTAACTTTTTGGGAAGGCTTATTAATATTATTAAATGAATTTTCCTTATTTTGTTTATTTTGATTTCTGAACTCTTGCAACAATTAATGGAAGGTTATTGAATTATCTCTACTTTCAGTAGGTCTTGAGGTAACTTGAGCATGAATAACTTAGTTTGGCATCGATTTTTCTTAGGGTTTGTATTGTCTTTCAGTGTGTCTGTCTTTCGAGCTTTTAATCAATTAGGTGATTTATTTAATGATTTGAGGTTCAACAGGTTTTGCTTAGTATTTTGGAGATCTACTTTGAGTAAGACATTTAGGATGACTAACTTGCTTATTATATTATACATACTTAAATCCGTTTAACTAAAGTTGCTTCTTTTGCATATATTGTTATATTAATTCAAATTTAATTTATGAAATGCTATTAATAATGAAATCAAATTTCGCGTTTGAACTCTTCCCTAAAGAAACCATATAGTACTTAAATAAGAAAATCCAGCAATACAAAATAGCCCACATGAAAATGAAGATAATTATTATTGTATTCTAGAATTATAAAATCAAAATAGAATATCTATGTACATGTAATTGTTCTTTTTATTATATTATTGTGGTAATCTGAGTTGAGACTAACATGTGATCAAAGAAGTATAAGTAAATAAATCAATCAGAAGATGTGTATAAAAAACTATCGAAGTTCCCTACCCGACAGAACTAAAAGGTTCTTTGCTATCGATATATATTCATTAATTATATATATTCACAATGGTAAAAAGGTTTTTTTTAAGAATATTCCTTTGAGTTGGCCTTTTAATAATTTAAAAGCAGCATGCATACCTGTCCTTCCTCCTGGAAAAAGGGATACTGTCAAATATATTAATGTTGAGATCTTGATTAATTGAAGATATTACTTGAAGCGATAGTAATCCTAGAGTATAAAAGTACCCCATATAGAACATTCCGGTGTAGAGACAAGCTATTAGAGATACTAGGTAAATCAAGGTAGCAGCTGAGGAAGAAATTTTATTGAAAAGCGTTTTTAGTTCAATAATCTGAAGCATGGATATCAAGATGACGAAGGAGCCGGCTGAAAAAAGTAAACAGAATGGTTTAGGATTGAGTATTAGAAAAGAGGCAAATGGAATTGATATTATGATGAGGATGAGTCCAGCAATAAACAGGATTGCAAACACTCCCCAATTCTTTTAGGTTTCAGTTTTTCTATAATTTACTATCATTAATACTTTGGTTGAAAGCTCGATACGAGTGATCCTAATAAAGTTTCCTCCTCTGCAAAAAACTGCATGATTAATAATCCTAATCTAATTTAATTTTTAAATAAAAGATGAGCGAAAAGTAAAGTGTAAAGCAATACATCTAAGGGAAATTGGATCTTCTTGAATTTATGATTGCTGAAAAATAAGCAAATGTGAAGAGACAGGAAGCATAGAGAAACGAGTTAAATAGTTTGGGTAATTTTGAATTTGTTATTAGAGTGAGGTAAGTTAAGGAGGAATTGTAAGCCATGCAGGAGCCTCATTCTTATGTTGGTGATGTTGTCAAATAGATGGGGAAAGATAAAGTCTTAGTGAAAGTGAATCCAGAAGGGAAATATGTTGTTACATTAGACAAGTCCATTAAGATTGAAGATTGCAAACCTAATACCAGAGTTGCCTTGAAGAGTGATTCATATGTTTTGCATAAGATTCTACCAACAAAGGTGGATCCTTTAGTTTCATTGATGAAAGTGGAAAAGGTGCCGGATTCAACCTATGACATGATTGGTGGTTTGGACCAATAAGTAAAGGAAGTTAAGGAGGTCATTGAATTACCTATCAAACATCCAGAAATATTTGAAAGTCTGGGAATTGCTTAACCAAAAGGTGTATTATTATATGGACCACCAGGGACCGGAAAGACCTTATTGGCTAGAGCCATTGCACATCATACTGTATTGAATTATATTAATGCTTAGGATTGCACATTTATTAGAGTAAGTGGATCAGAGTTGGTACAAAAGTATATTGGAGAAGGAGCTAGAATGGTCAGAGAATTGTTTGTTATGGCTCGTCAGCATTCACCATGCTTAATCTTTATTGATGAAGTAGATTCAATTGGAGGGGCTAGAATGGAAGGAGAAAGAGGCGGAGATTCAGAAGTGTAAAGAACCATGTTGGAATTATTGAATTAAGTAAATTTACCTATGTATTTAGCTTGATGGCTTTGAATCAACTCAGACAATCAAAATTATTATGGCTACCAATAGAATTGATATATTGGACTCAGCTCTATTAAGACCTGGAAGAATTGATAGGAAGGTTGAATTTCCTAATCCAGGAGTTGATGCCAGATTGGAGATCTTAAAAATTCATTCAAAAAAGATGAATCTCATGAGGGGAATCGATTTAAGAAAGATTGCAGAAGTGATGCCAGGTGCTTCTGGTGCTGAATCTAAGGCAGTTTGCACAGAAGCTGGGATGTTTGCATTAAGAGAACGAAGGATCCATGTCACATAAGAGGACTTCGAGATGTCAGTGGCTAAGGTTATGAAAAAGGATATTGAGAAGAATATGGCTATCAATAAAATGCTTAAGTGACTTATGTATACAAATTATAATTATATATTTAATGATTCAACCTAAAGTCTTAACGCAGTTATTGACTCAATGTCAGAATGAATTCAAGGTCTAATCAATTTTTGTTGCAGCCACAATTGATGGATAAATGATAGCTTAAGTAGGCTAAACCTAACACCAATTACCTCAATTTTCTACATTGAGCATATTTTTCGATGATTGCAAATAAATTGGGAGCATTTAGTTATGTACTCTGTTTTCTAAACTCAATAGCTTAAAACATTAAGTTGAATTATGTATTTGTCGAAATAGAAGATTAAAGCATTGTATTATCCAACTTTTAGAATTTGTTTACTTTGGGAATAGCATCTTCTCAAAATGTGGGAATGTTGGTTTTGTATATGAATAAATTGCATCGTCAATTAGAAAAGATCATTAAGTGATTGTCTTTTATATATGATAATCAAATATTCATTAGATTTTTAGCTATTGAATTTTATTCTTTACATATGCTTTTTTCTAACTATTATTAGGAATTTTGTTATCAATATAATCCATAAGAATTTATTTAGCTTCTTTATCGTTTTTTTTACTTATCTCCATTATGAATTTAATGAATTCAACATATTACTTTATTCCATAGTATTTTTTTTCTTAATTTAGTCCTTCAAAATCAGGGAGTTTGGATAACTATTTTGCAATAATTTCAAGGTAATGCTTTTCTGGTCTCTTCTTTTAAACTTAAAAGCAACCCGAATAATATTTGTTTTTTTTTTTTTCTACATAATTTAGCAAATAGTCAAGTTCTTTAAAGTAACTCACTTTATGTTTGATTTTTTTTCCACTTAAAATAATTCTCGGCATCTGATAAAACAAAAATGTTGTGAATTTTGTTCCATTTATATTGTCTAAAGCCAAATCCAAATCCAATTTCGTATATTTACCTTTTCTTTTTTCTTTATTTTTATAAAATTTTCCTAAAACACAATTCAAAAATGAATTCCTCTGATTTCGAGAATCATTTTCAGATTGTTAGACCATTGAAAAATTTTTAAAATATTATTATAAATATTTTATGAAAGAAAGCTCACATCTTTTCTCGAAATATTAATTAGAGTACATACAAAAAATAGGGGAAGGAGCTTTTGGCAAAGTGTACAAAGCATTCGATTTAACCACAAAAAAAGTGGTTGCAGTCAAAGTATTTATACATCTGTAGAACAACAACAGATTCTTAATACAGATGAAGAATAGGAATTGCTATCATCCTTGAATCACAAAAATATTGTAAAGCACTTCCGAGGGTAATTCAGTTAAGTTCTAATTGCTTAGATCAACTTAGTTGCTGGTGATGGAATATATGGAAGGAGGATCACTAAAGAATTATATGATTTAAAATCCGAATTTGAATGAAGAACAATGTATATAAATAATGAAATCCATTCTTGCTGGATTGAGTTATTTACATCAGCATAATGTCATTCACCGTGACATCAAACCTGGTAATCATTTTTTATATCTCTAAAGATAACATCCTATTAACCAAAGATCTTGTGCCAAAGATAGGTGACTTTGGTCTCAGCATCCAATTCGAGAACTTTGACTTCTCCACTTGTAAGTGCGGCACTTATCTATATATGGCTCCTGAAATCCTACTAAACAAACTATATTCTAAAGTATCGGTCTTATTTAAAGATAGCCAGTTGACGTTTGGGCTACTGGCATCATTATGTATTAATTACTCTAAGGAATTCATCCCTACTATAAATCAGAATCAACTAAGCAACAATACCTTTAAAACATCCTGGAAAGGCCTTTATATTTTAAAAAGCAAATCTCCCCCCAGGCCAAGGACTTGCTAATTCGACTACTAAAGTTAGATATTACCGATCGATACACAGCTAGTCAAGCTCTGCAACATCCTTGGTTAACTAAATAGGAAAGTATGCCTCTAAGTCTTTTTGAGTAATTTAAATTGTTTGATTGCAAGAGCAAATTCATCAATGTATTGAAATCATCACATTTAGATCATCAAATTGTTGATGTTCATTCAATAATTAAAGATACCCAAATTCTCATATGGATATATTCTAGGCCAATAAGGCTTTCACATTAAGCAAGTTCAATACATTTTAGGTTAAATACAATCTCCTCTCAAATTTGAATCTCCAACCATTTCAAGTTCCAACACTCTTAAAAAAAAAGGTAAAATTGACAATTCAGAAGACAACACACCAATGAGTCTACAAAATTCAACATTCTATTAGAAAAATAAAAAATTACAAGTAATTAATTGTATGCAATTAGAAATTATCCAATTTTTATGAACAGGCTTATAAATCAAATGAAAACTCAGTTGCTTAATTAAGTCCTTAGAAACCTAAAAGAAGTAGTATGAACTTTTCTCAAGCCTCTAGAGAATATGCAGAAATTATGTTAGGGTACTCTGCCATAAAAGAAAAGCGAAAACCCTCTTCATAAATAAAACTGGAACCTTTAGATAGAAGAGCAAAGAGAACATCTTCTGTAATAGTAATTTCAAATAAACAATGAGAATTCTAATTCATATCCTATATTTATAGATATATTCATTTAAAAAGAAGCATTTTAGTGGAAAAAGATTGTAAAATAAGGCAAATGAATTTGAATTTAAATTATTTTAAATTAAGTATGCGAAGATACAATAATTATAATTGATGTGCTTTTGATTACAAAATGAAAATGATAATTATAAGAAGGATTCAAATAAAATCACATTTTTCTCTTTCCGCATCCTGATCTACCTCCAGATCTTTATCCAGACCTTTACCCAGATCTGCATCCGGATCTGCTTGACCTAGCCTTATACTATTTCTTATTTGTTTTATGTTCCCCGTCTTCATTGACTTTATCTTAATTCTCCTCATCATCCTCTTAATCTTCTTTTTCCGACATTTTTTATTTACCCTATTTTGAATGATGTGCACTCTTGTTTTTATGATCTTCTTTTTCATCATCCTCGTCATCCTCCTTGTCATCATGTTTATCACTCTTCATGTCATGGTTTTTTTTTTTATTATGTGATTTTTCTTCATGAATTTTCATATTTTAAACACTTTTCTAAACATCTTCCATATCATCCTCATGCTTTTCATTTTAATGATGACTCTTATGTGATTTTTTTGATTTTTCTTTTTCTTTCTTTTCCTTTTAAATATGCTCTCTAATTTCTTCTTCCTTCTCTTAAAATCCTTTCTTCTCTTCTGAAGATAATTTATTCCATTGGTTAATTATTTTTTCTTATTATTCAAGACTCTTTTTTTTATGAGCCGATTGGAACAGTTATTCATTTAAATATGCGTTAAAGCCACTGCATTTTTGTTCATCACTCATAACGTTTAATTGATATTTTAAGAGCTCAGAGGGTTCCATAAAATCAATATATATAATACTATTTTGAATTTAATAATTACAAATCTGTTAATTTGCAAAACCTAAAAACAGCAAAATTAATCAGAAATAATTAAGTTGCTGATCATTTGAACTAAAATGATCTTCTACATTACATCAATTTCTCTAAAGTAGATTCCTTATAATCCGAATCTTAGTCTGTGGTTAAAGAATTCTCTGATCGATCATTACTCTTCTTATAACCTTTCTGCCAATTCTAAACATTCTCTTTGTTTCTCTATGTATCCAATTCTTTCAATCTTTACTCATATTCAATCAAGTACTACTACTTCTTTTTCAGATCCTCTTCTCTTTGTTAAAGCAATAGGGAATTTTCTTTTAGTCTTTTTTCCCTCAAACGAATTGAAATCCTTGGCAAATTCAACAAATCATCAACACTTGGTCTCTAATCCTGATTCACACTCAAACACCAACTGATTACTCGCTTCATTTCGGATGTATATTGTTATGGTACATTATCAAATTATGCCTATTTGATTTTCATCGCCAATGCTAGATAGTTTTGGGCTTGGAAAGGTGGTTGCAGGGAACACATTTCATATAGTAAACAACCACAAGCCCAAATATCAGACTTTTCATTGTATTTATGATCTTCTATCAATTCTGGACTCATGTAGTAAGGAGTACCAACTTAAGTATGAGCAAACTCACTGTTTATGTTTAACATTCTTGCCAAACCGAAATCTCCAAGTTTCACAGTTTTATCTAAAAATATATTTGCTGGCTTGATGTCTCTATGTAATATTTTATTTTGTCTTTTGTGTATTTCACACAAAGCCTATACTATTTGAGAGAATATTTTCCAAACTGATTCTTCGGGTAAGTATTCTTTGTCTTTTTTTAGTTTCTTCAGAAATTGTGCCAAATCTCCGCCCTCACAATATTCCATTATTATATATAACTTTTATGTCTACTTATCGACGATGCGATCATAATATTTGATTATGTTTGGATGTTTGAGTTCTCTCAAAATATTAACTTCATTTACCTATTTTGAAATTTAAATTTAAAATACTAATTGTTATTTTTCTTTCTCGCTCATCCTACCATATTCCATCTCTTTTGCAACAAATACCTTTTGATCGGCCTTCCTAAGAACTTTGTAAACTTTTGCAAATGATCCTTTACCAATATTGTCCAAAAATTAATATGCTTCCATTTTTATAATTTATGATAAAATTTATCTGATTGTTTAATACAATTAAAACTTTCCAACACTTGGCACTCTAAATAATATTACAGTATTGAAAAAATCAATAAGTACCCTCCTTATTCTTAATGCTCTTGTTATTGAACAGACTGATATTATGTAACTCCATATTAATTTCAATTTTCATTCAATTATTAATTCTAAAATAATACAATAATCAATCAATAAACAAAATCAAAGATTTTCAATTTAATATTTGAATTATTGAAATATGGGACATTCGAATTAGATGGAATTTTATTCAGCACTATTTTTGGTATTCAAAACATTTAAGGTTTATAATTTTTTACTTTTATTGCAAAAAACCTTAACGACTTATTTCAGTTTAAATGCTTTAACTTGAGGGCAAATGTCAATTAAATTTGAATGGCATTGAGGGAAATTGGTTGCAATACTTTTTAGCATAATACAAGGTTTGTTTAATGTTAAATTGAATTGAGAATTTCGTAAATATCTTATATTTAATAAACAACCACTTATTGTTAGTATGATTAATTATAAATATTATGATTTGTAAAACAAAACACTATTTTTTTGATCATCAGTATAAAGTGTTTATAGAAAACGATCAAATACTTATTGGAAAGGTATTGTTGTACAATTAATATTGTAGTAAAAAGAATCTATCAAGTACAGGGTTTCCTTCTCGCATAAAATGTTGATATTATGGTTGTTTTAGAAAGGGAAATTCACTGGGTTTAAAATTTTGCTAAAAGAGAAATGGAAGTAATTTGACATGAATCATGAGGATTGTCTAAAATTCAAAAAGAGTGTGGATGGGAGAATAGGGTACGGCAAAATAGAATCTTTCTATAAATTCTTGGGCACAGTAGGCTTGGGGAGCTATAGTGAAGTACTCAAACTTTTAAAAACTAGGTATTTTTGATCGAAAGCTATCTCGATAATTCAAAATACATCGCCAAGAAAATGGGAATCAATTCAAAAGATGTGTTTAGCGTAAAGCGTTATTAATAATTTATAGCTTTTCAATAATGAATTAAAGGCCTTGTAGAACCTCAAGCACCCACATATAATAGAGTTGAAAGAGTTTTATATGAACTACGCTGATTGTTACATAATAACTAATTATATAGAAGGAGAATCCCTTGCTAAATTTTTGAGATACAATAAAAAAATAAGTTCGAAGGAAATCATAAGTATCCTGAAAGTATGCACATTCAATTAATACGAAAGCAATCATTCGAAGCACTATCTTACATCCATGAAAAAGGCTTCATTCATAGAGACATAAAACCAGAGAACATTATTTATGACAAAGATCATAAATTTATTACTTTGATAGATTTCGGATTTGCAACAAGAATCGGATAACAAGAGTATATAGCAGGGACTCCCGGTTATACTGCCCCTGAATTATTTGATAATGTCGTTTCAAATGAGAAATGCGACATTTTCAGTTTGGGGTGTATTTTGTATGAATTGTAGAGAAATTATTATTATGATTAGAATTTATGGGAAGAAACTATTCTAAGGATAGTCTCTTTTTGACATTCAATTGGCAAACATGGAGTGTCAGTATATTCTCAACCTGACTGATCACCCGTTACATGATTTGCTAAGGGGAATGCTCGAAAAAGACTTAAACAAAAGGATAGTTGCTAAGGAAGGATTGAATTTTTTACTATAGTTTGAATAAAACATTCAAATTTGATATTCATCATTAAGCAAATGTATTTGATATAATAATAATAAATAATGACTTCAACTTGAATATTTTATTGTTAATAGGATGCTGCAAATAGCAATCATAATAACTAGTATTATAATGCATCGTTTTGCTAAAGGAGAGTTCTAGTAATCTTCAGCCTATTTGATAATAATAATAATGGTGGAGTACTTTTTTCAATTCTTCGTTGGCTTTCTTGACATTGAATACAGCTTAATCAATATTGTAATCGATTCTATCTAAAATAGTGCCTTGATCAATCACCAATTAATTTAATGATTTGAACACTTCAGCCAACTCATTAATCATAGTAACAAGTTTATTGATTTCCTGGTCTCTAAATACATAAATTAAAAAAGTGAACCTCTCGCAAATGATGTCATCGTACATCTACTCTTCTGCTTGGGTAAGCTCGTCATCAGCAACTTTCATTTCTTGTTGTTTTTGTTCGCTTAATTTCAAGAAATTTGCTAATTCCTATTATGAGATTGATACCTCCATCGTCCTTGTTAATTTACTTGATCATAGTAACCATTCTCTTCTATTGATTTCTTAACGCATTAGTTAATTCCTAGATTTATTATGCCAACGCCCTATTGATATTCATTCGGACTATTGATAAGGAGAGTACAATACTTCTCTGATCACTTGGTGTTTCCTTTTCACTACTATAATTGGCAATTAATTCTGTGTTTTTCTCACATTCCATAATTTTCTACTTTAGAGAAGAGGAATACTTATGTCGCTTTCTAATTGTTTTCGTAGATCAGTTTCTCCAAAGCTGTGGCATCTCCAAATTGCATCTTCAATCTTTTCGATCCCAGTATTTGAAGTTCCTTAACTATTCGTATTAAGATTTAATAATATACGTATCTCCTGTACTTGTTTGATTTTGTCAAGACAATCCTCGTAGTGACTGGCCCATTCAGATGGCAAACCCTTATTGTGAGCCTGCATTTCAATTGAGAAATTGCTGGCTGTGGACTCGCCAGAACTATCTAACAACAATGTATTTGGTTCTATATGGGATAAAACAAATTAAAAACTTGATATGTGAATATCATTGGCTTTCTTGAATCTATTGGCTTGTTGCTTCTGTTCCTCTTTGTACTTGAATAGTAAATGAGTTTTATTCCTCATCACTCCAACACTTTGTCTCATTTATTATATTTTAATTATTGAATAAATGTTTCAAACCCTATAAAAATTAAGGGTCATGTGCTTTATGTTTGCCACAACTGCCGAAAGGAAAGTCCCACCTACACCCTCCAATATGCCTTTCACCTTGAATAATCTTTGGGACAACCCAGGAGCCAGAAAAATTCAAAAGAGATGGGGAAGAAGTGGCACCAGAGGAAATGCATGCGGAAGAGGACAAAGAGGACAAGGAGCCCGATCTGGAGCAGGAGTCCCTCCAAAATTCGAAGGAGGATAAACACCCTTGACCAGAAGACTTCCCAAATGGGGTGCCAAACCAAGGTACTCCAAAATTAAGCATTTTTAGTTTGGAAATTTATCGAGAAGTCAACATCTGTCAAATCGTTGATAGAATCAAATAAGGAAGAATCGATGCCACATAGCCTATCCAAATAAAGGACATGTTGGAATCAAGAATTTTTAGCAAATGCAAATATGGAGTCAAACTATTGGCTAGAGGAGCTGAAAGATTGAGTGAATTGAATACTCCTTTAACTATTGAAGTATCAGACGCTTCAAAAACTGCCATAGAAGCAATAAAGAAGGCTGGAGGTGAAGTCAAAGTTGTTTACTTTACACCCCTTTTATTGAGATAACATTTGTTCCCAGATAAATACCCATTAGAATTAAGACCTGCTCTACCTCCTTCAAGAGCAGTTGAAGCCATCCAAAGAACGGAAGAGAGAGGAGCTGTGGCCGATTACATCAAACCTAAGTGGGTTATTGAGGATGAAATTGAAAAGAAGAAATTGGAAGAGATGGCCAAACTGGAAGTAGATACTCTCAAAGTTCAATTGTAAGGAGCTGAAACTGTTGAGACTGCAAAGAAAGAGAAGAAGAAGAAGGTTTAAATTATAATCCATATCGTAGAAATAAAAATAATAGGAAGAAAAATAAGTTAGCACTCTGGATTTAACAAACTTCAAATATCCAGCCAGTAGAGAACCTGGATGTGGCAAAGACAAAATCAAATAGCGTAAACCAGTAGTGTATAAAAAGTTATCGTTAAACTTGGATTGAGTTATTCATATAATTTCATAGTAAATAAAATGCATATTATTATGAACAAATAAGAGCATGCTTTGTAGGTTGAAGTGTGTTTTATAGTATTTGAAGAGTCTCCTGGTGCTTCTTCTCAATGAAATATTTATCTTCCTGTCTATTTCTAAAAAATTATATGTTTCTCATAATTTGATCTCCAACTATAAAATGCATTCCCGTAATTCTATTCGTAGTACGACTCTTTATGTATTCAATTACACAATCCCTCAAGCTAAATTCTTAATAATATCATACTTTTCTGCTCTGTCTTCTGGAGAGTCAATGGGAATTTGTTCCTTTTTAAATTGCTATTTAAACTTATTCTTTATATCAACTACTTTTTGAAGATATGTTAATTTAGATTAAATTTAGAGACAATTTTCAGAGCATTCTTACAGAATCTTCTTAAGATTTAATTATATCAAATCCTATTGATCATACTTAAAAATATGACAAAGGGCATAATATAACTTCTAGAGATTAGGTTTCGCCTTTTAAAGAAAGAGATGAACCATCTTACAATTTCCTGCATACAATATTTTATTTTTTAAATCTTCTAGCCCGAAGATATTATTTTCGTTAACAACTTCTTCCATCATGATGATTTGCTCTGGCTATTTAAATGTATGTATCAAGTGATTCACATTGATCCAAATCTAATTTACATTCCGTTAATAACTCAAAACATCATTGGGATGAATGTGAGGGGGTTAAATTATGCAATCATACTAATCATCTATCTAAGATAAGTTATTAGTTAACAAGACTAATATGCATTCAGATTTTATTTTTTAGATTAACTATTTATTAAGTGAGACTGATTAGCCTATTATGGCAATCCTTTATAGATGAGTTGTATCTCTATTACCTTTATATAGTATTTTTGGTTAGGCTATATTTAATTAATAGATATCAATGATCTCATATTTAATATCTGCAAACTTTGGTTTACTTATTAATGTTATATTCTTACATGATGAGACTGGGCTGAGTTTACAGACCAATTAATCTTCTTGAAGATTTCTTCTTATTTTATATGGTGTTGACTGAGATTTGTTTCTCCTTCAAAGGCTCACTATGGAAATGCGCATCATGAACTGATATTGTTCTACTCGTTAACTATTGAGACTATAAATTTTAATTGGTAGGCAATCTTCTAACAATTTAAGAGTGTTTCGAAGACCGAGTTGCTATTCATATTTATTTGTAGACATTACATATGGAAAGCTAACGAATTGGAGTATTCTTTGCAATAAGTAGAGTGCTAAAATCATTTTCTGAGGGAGGTTTCATATTCATTCTCTTAGTCAATCTCGTTATATTTAATCTCATCATTTATAAATTATTAAATTTGCAAAGGAATTTTAATATTATTTTAATACAGTTTAGTTAGAATAAAGTAATACCTTAATAAACTCTATCAGATTGTAAGTATTTAATAATATTACAAAGTATATTTAATAATTTTATACTCTCAAACCCCCAAAACGTATAAAAAACATATAATCACAAAACTCCAAATTTCTTCATAACTTTTATTAGATCCTCCATGTTTAATGGCTTTTCCAAATGATAATCTGCTCCACACTTTAGGGATCTCAGTTAATCATCAGATCCTGAAAAGGCTGTAACTATTACAATAATCGATCGAGATAGCTTTTAGATTAGTTCAAATTTCCTTATCTCAGATGTACATTAATACCCATCCATTTCTGGCATATTAACATCCATAAAGATTATATTCATTTACTCCTTAGAGTATAAGTCGAATGCTTATTTTCCATTAAAGGCTTTGAACAACTTGCAATTAATCACCACTTAATTCAGCATGGCACTTAGAGCAATTATGTTAAAGGGAGTATCATCAACAATAAGAATCTTAAAGGAATCCTCTGGAGTAGTTTCTAATTTGTAATAGGTTTGAGCCTTCTTTAATTAAACTCTTTTCTATATTTTAGAATTTATGTTATTAAAAGATGGAAATCGAGGAACAACCTACTTTTGATGCAAATCCTATTCTTGTATGGAACTCTCAAGCTGCTGCTATAATATCCTATAGATCTTAAATCTAAAGGTAGATCCCTTGCCTACTTGCGATTTGAGTTCAATTTTATCTGATGGACCCAAAAGAGAAACCAATTGCTAACTAATTGTTAAGCCCAAACCAACTCCGTGTCTGTTATTTTTACCTATATCATAGGTACTGTATAATCTAAATAGATTCTTCTAGATTTCTTCTGGAATTCCATACCCAGTATCCGAAACGGATAAATCTATTAAATCTCCTTCAATTTGATGAGTAGCTAAAATTGAGATTTCACCTTGCATAGTAAACTTAATGGCGTTGGCGACTAAATTGATTAGAACCTGTTTTAATCTGGTTTCATCTGTTAGCAAGGTACTGTTTTTCTCATCGATGTTATTTTGCCAAATTAGTTTGACTCCTTTCTCAAGAGATTGCTTATTCAACAATTAGTTTATAAATTTAAAGGTGTTATTCAAATTAAAGGTTTTAGGTACCAATCTCAACTAGCCTTTATTGATTTGACTATAATCTAGTAGATCATTTATCATCGACAATAATAATTAACCAGACTAACTGAATTCATCCAAGTGCGTACATAATTATTCAATGTTACTCAAAGTAATAGAGGATTTTTATTATAAAATATGCTACATTATTTCGATGTCAATCATCATTCCATTCAAAGGAGTCTTTAAATCATGAGAGACTGTTGCCAATAATCTATCTTTGTATTGATCCATTTCTTTTAGATGTTTCAATCTAATCTTTTCTGAGATATCATTCATTATAACCAAAATTGAATTTCTATTTTCCCAGATGCAATTCAATACACGTATTTCAAAATGAGACTTGATTTTTACTTGTGATTTTGCAGATAGGGCTACTTTGCATTAGGAATCAAGCTTGAAACATAAGTAGTAATCACTCACATCTGATATATCATATTCATTGTTTATTACGGATGATCTATCACTTGTGGTTTATTGGAATTACCCCTCCACTTAATTTAGTTTTTATTAGAGAATATCATAGATGCTAATACAGGTGTTATATGTCTCTTGTTCAGTTTCTTATTCAGTTTAGATGAATATACACTTTAATTTCCGAATGATTTCATTTTCTTCAGAAACTTAAAGGTATTTTATTGCAAAATCATTCGTGTAAATCAGTTTCATTTCTTTACCTGACAGTGTGCAATCCTGCAAATCATCACTTTATCCAGTTAAGATTAAAATTGAATTCAAAACTGTCTTATCAAATATGTTCTTGCAGGCGTTCAAATTTGATGTCTGTTAACATATCTTATAAAAATCTAACCTCTTGTAATATTCCAAAGAACGAAAGAATATAAACAACATAATCAATAACACATAAAAAGTCCAATAGATTGAACCAATAATTCCCACTAAACCTACCAATAAGATTGTTGCTGCAACTAAAATTAATCCTTGACAAAACCATAATGGACAAACTATTAAATAGCTAATTATAATTATTCCAGTTTATATTCCACTACTTAAAGCTTAAGCAGTGGTTTGCTAATTACATTATTTATTTAATAATTATGCTTATATATAAACATTTGTTATTAATATTGTCGAAAAAGCACTAATTATCTCCGATATTGAAATAAAGTATTTATAATGTATTTTCTGTATATTTGCTTATGAAATTAAGCATAATATATGCCAAAAACTAAATCCAATTCTTAAATATGCCACTGTTTAATTTTTCAAAACAAACTGATTATTAATAAAGTAGATAAAATTGATAAAGAAATGGATCACATAGGATAGCCTAAATAGAACAATTATTCTTTTTTTCTCCTTATTTGAATATTTTACTTCTATATCTGAATTTCTAAATTGTAACGTCCATAGATTCATTATTTTTTTTGGCTCCAAATCAGTCGAGGCTTCCTCTGGATGCAAAAAGAACTTTACAATGAATTAATAAACTTTTAACATTAATAAATAAGAATAAAATATTGATAAGTGAAATCCAATTAAATTTAAATTATACAAATGGTAATTAATATTAGCAGTAGTAAATAATGAGGTTATTTTCCATTATCAAAAATCTTTCATAAAAGTCAGAATTAATACTAATCAAATACATTTTTTTATTTTACAAACAATAACAAATCAATTGAATAGATAAAACCAAATTTTTTTTCTTCTTCATAAATTTCTTTTTACTTATTCTATTTTCTAAGGAACTAAGCTTAAGAGGTGATAACTACTGCATTACCCCATTTCAGATCTAATTTCTATGTCTCTATTATTAATAATATCAGCCTTAAAATGAATTAAAGCAAACTTATTTAAAAAACTTTCTTAAATTAATATTTTTTGTTTACTTGATCAATTAATTAATTATTTATTCCGATAAATTTTTATACATAATCCATTATAATTCATATAGACTAAATATTTAGCATATTAGATAGTATATGGAGTTCATAGTCAAAGAGGATAGATTTGGTAACATTAACCTAAAAATACTTTCATATAAATTTATACTTAAATAAATAAAATTTAATAGAATTATTTTCTTATTATCAAATTAATTAAGGATATAACGATTCACACGGGAATAGATAACAATGCATACAGTTTCAGATTAGCCAAAAATCTAATAACTAACATAAAAGAATTGATATTATTTTTTCAAATTTTTGAATATTAATAAGATAATTTGAATTTGAAATGCATATTAATAGATTACTATATTACAATATATCAATAAATTGAATCATTTTCTTGGAGAACTCTTAAAAATAAGTAATTTTAATTTAAGGTAGAGAAGTAAATGTCAAAAACTAAAGTAAAACCGAAAGTTACTTACTTATATGTCAATGTAAATTCAATTAACTTAACTCTAGGAGGACTAGAGTTTGTAGATATGGATAGATTTAGGACTTTAAATTTAAATTAAGGTTGTTAATGTAGAAGATTGGTAGGAGCACAAACTTAATAGGTTACTATGGCTTAGATCTAAGATAAAAGTATAAGATTGGAAGAAATAGTCTATTGAGGATAGTAAATATCAAATAAATTAATATAAATAATGTCCAAATTTTAATAAGATGGTATAACCATCTGTCTACTGGGGGGGTTCCAGAAGTGGCCTTCCAGTGCTCAACATTCCTTCACTCCTCACAAATGTGGATTAAGGGTATAAATTTTCACATTACTATTTTCAAGTTTGTTAAATAATTTACATGGCATTATAAGGATTATTTATAGAAATTGAACGGCAAACCAATTTAGGTGCCACTGAGGATTTTCACTTCTCCGAAAGAAGGTAAGAATTAAGTCGATTTTGGTAGGGAAATATAATGATGGTTATGATAATGAAAACCATGATCTTATAATCAGAAAAAATGACAAATTATACAACAGCAAAAAGAATATGTAAGTCATGTGAGATTTATTGTTAAGAACATATATTTGCGAGGCTCTGTTAGGCGCAGGAACATTCGGCTAAGTCATAAAATGTAGTGTAGTAGGTACGTAACAATTAGTTGCAATAAAGGTATGGCATTGAGAGGATTATTAGATCATAAAAAATTAACATGCATTTCAAAAATAACAAAAAATAGAAATAAATGTGCTAAGAACTCTCTAAACATTCTCAAAGGAACAAAACATTTAAAAAAATCATATAATCTAACTAAATGATCAATTTCTACACAAGAAACACGCGTGCCTAGTTTTCCCTTTGTTGGCATAGAACTTATTTGAGATGATGAAAACAAATCGGTAAGAAGCATTTAGTGTATCGCTGGTCCGAAAATTTCTCAATCAAATAGTGACTGGACTGACAGTGGCTGAACAATGTGGAGTTGTTCACGCTGATCTGAAACCAGAGAATATAATGATCGAATAAAAGCAGCTTTATATGGATGATTGTTCTCTTTAAATCATAGATTTTGGATCCAGTTGCTTTATGAATGATAAACACCCTTATATCTACATTCAAAGTCGTTTCTATAGGGCTCCAGAGATAATTTTAGAGAATCACTATTACAACAGTATGAATATGGAACTATGAATTATTAGCTAAAATTGATATCTGGAGTTTGGGTTGTATAGCAGTGGAATTATTATAAGGTAATCCCCTTTTTCCATGTGGGGACCAATACTCCTGTTTGGAGCGAATCATTCAAGTGACCAGACCTACCATAAGTAATTAGTTCGAATATGATGTTTTAGCTATGCAGGGATATGTGAAAACTGCCCCTGCCTCAAAAAAATACTTTAACTTACTTCAAAATGATACTTTTCAATTAAAATCTAGGGAACAATTCACAGCTGAGTTTCCTCATTTAAAAACTAAAGAGGGGTACAATGCTATGCATCCTATAAAGAAACTTACAGATCTAGCCCAATATTACAATTAGCAATCTTCAAAAGGTATGACAAATGCATGTGATATTTGCGTAGATCAACCTACATTCAATTAATTTCTGGATTTCGTGTAGAAATGTCTTGAGTGGGAGCCAAGTGCTAGGATGTCTGCCTAGGATGCTAGTTAACACCCATTTTTGACTGGATAAAATTAAGGATTTGAAATCAACATAGATTTAGAGGACTTGTTTGCAAAATTGGATACGTAATCTAATTAAAGTAGTACTTCCTCTTTTTATGAAGACCAACCAGAGTTTTGAGATATTTCCCATTCCTCAGATTAAAATGTTCATTCAAATAACAATAAGTAAAAAAAAAAATAAAAATTCCATTTGAATGATGTTTTAATCATAAAGAGGCAATTAATTAAAACAAATAATAATTTTTCACAATATATAACTTATATTAGAACTCATCGATTCAGTAAATTAAATTCTGCTATATAATTCAATCAATTGTTGGATTTCATTTCATTATTAAATAATAATAAAACTCAAATGGGTCTTTGCCAATCTACCTAATCTACTCTTAAACTCCCTCGTATTCCTGCCCAAAAGCACATCCAGATCAACTTTGAAAAGATTAAAGAATACGAAACCCAATATGCTCGTCAACAACGATTTACAAAAAAGCAATCTACTGAGGGATCCTCACCTCTCAGCAATGAGGACAAATGAATCTGAACATGATTTCCTTATTTTCATAATCTCCAATCTATTATATGTGTATATACCCTAAATTTAGCATTACATCTCGTCTCATCAATTGTGAATAATTGAGGTCAGATGTTTTCTTCTCATAATTAATATCGCTGAAAAAAATGAAATTTCTAGAAATCAACATTGAATTCCTTTAATTGAAGTTGATAGATAAAATTATTAAGTTTTAACAGTATGATCACCATAAATGCCATTCAATCATTGGGACCACAATTCGCATGAAAATTTAAAACAATACTGGTTAGTCATTTAATTAACTATCATTAAAAAAATGATAAAATAATCCAATTATAACATATTACTTGATTACAATAAAATAAATATTATAAAAGAATAAATCGGTCACTTTCGTATTATGAAGATTGGAATTAGAAAATATTATTTTTATATAATATTTATCGATAAAAATGGATTAGAGTAAATAACAAATAAAGAATGAACTCTTAAATTTGAGTTTTACAGAAGAACAAATAGCTCAAGTATTACCGAGTGCTGATAGTGTAGAATAAGCTGTCGAGTTACTATTAGCATTATAAGAAGGACAACACACGATGAAATAAAATGTCGGGTTATTTGCAGAAATTGATGCCATAGAATTTGATAATCATATGCAATCAGAAATCGATTTTAATAAGAGATATAAAATGGTATGTGTGGTGAGAATGGATTTAAAAATGGGCATAGGGAAAATAGCAGCATAGACAGGACATGCAGGTATACTATGATAGTTATTTATAGTATTGGGAGCATATAAATAAGTATTAAATAGTAAGTATGAATTATTATAAAAATGGGAAGGAAGTGGTTAAGCAAAGGTAGTACTGAAATGCGAGAGTCAAAATGAATTGCTTGATATAGAAGCGAAGGCAAGACAGAATGGACTCAACACCTATTTAGTAACAGATGCAGGTAGAACATAAGTAAGAATGAATCCCCCAATCTTAGGTTTAACCTGGAAGTTAAACTGTTTGTGCAATCGGACCTGCTGATTGTGATCTCATAGATTAAGTGACTGGCCATTTAAAATTGTTGTGATATCAAAAAGATATTTAATAGTAGAAACAATGTCAATTAGTTGATCGAAAATTTTTGCCTATCCGCTTTAGATCCAATTGGTTGATTAGAGGAGTTGATTATATTGCCTATTCTTGTTGCTTTTCTTCATTTCGTTATTCTGATTCATTATTGAAGTCCTTCATAAGATGTTGGGTTTCTTCTATCATTTTTAATTGCAACATCTATTACTTTTTGGATTGAACAGTCTTCCATAAACTAGTCCGAGATCGTTATTTGATGAGAGGCATTGGAGCAAATGACTTTATACCCTTGAATGATAGTAATTCAATCTATTCTCTAAGTTTGAGTAGTCTTTCCTATTCATCTTGCACTTTCTATCTCTCCTTCATCTTTTCATGTTTTGTAGTATCCATATTCGATAACTTTTCTCTCTAGGTCTTTACTTGAATACTCTAATCAAGTTCTAACCATACGATATCAGCCTTCACGAATCCATTCTCATTATAGCCTCCAAAGATGAGCAATCTATTTTCATCCTAAGCAGCACAATGACCTGCTCGACCATCTCTATATTCCATTTAAATAGTACACCAGGTTTAGGAATCCACTTTGAAAATGTGACAGTCGTTTAAGAATATCGAGTCAACATTGATACCCCCAAAGAGGACAATCATTTATTATTTCTCAAAATAATTACAAGTATGTTTATATCTAGCACAAGGAGGAACTCCTTTGGCCTTGACTTCAGCCCAGTACATGGGTCTTTGATATGTATTTAACATATATAAGCCAGAATACAATTACCCCTATTTGTTCTCACCACCAAATAAATATATTCCTTCAACTTTCTATTTCATATCCTTCAAATCCTCAGGATCTAAATTTGATTTATACAGTTATATTAATCTATTGCTAGTATAAACAGAAACTATAGTATGAAATGCGATTCCATTCTAAAAATAATTGCATGTATCAATATTAGCAGGAGCTTATTTGGCTGTTGTGACATCAAAATGAAAGGCATCTGATAAGTACTTCCCTTTTGTATTTATGCCTCCCATAATAAAAATATGCTTCCCTACGAATGCACTAGCCTAACCTCTTCTTACTTCCACTCCTTCTCCACTGGTCCTCACAATTTTGAACTCGTTGGTTTCAGTATTGAACACTCTGAAGTCATTCAAACTTTCTCTAATTTTCTATGCATTATCATATGGTTTTTCTCCACCAAAATAAAATATAGACCTTCTATAAACACCAGCTATATGGTTAGTCCTTCCAAAAGGAGGCTTATCTATTATTTCAATTTGAGACCACTCGTTTCCATTCCAAACATTCATATCATTGAATGGAGTTGCACTTATTCCACCATACAAATAGAACTTGTTTTGAATTACACTTAAGGTTGCTCCTTCTCTCATTGCAGGTCTCCATTTCCCATAGAATTTCTCAACCCAATTCAAACAATAGTTCGGAATAGAAGCATCTTAAATTACTTCAATTACTTTTGGTTGATGCTTATTTTAGATCTAACCATCATCATTTAATCGAGAAGGATAACACTTAATCCTCGGTAATCTTCCTACTGATTGACTCTTACTTATCGAATATTATTCAATTAGTTAGGACAGTTACTCATTCTAATGCTTTATTTATGCTTTATTATGTCCCAATTGGAAAGCGATTTCATCCAAAGGGCCATAGCCAGTGTATATTTTGCTAGAACTTTTATCATTGAGACTCCTTAAACTATGTTGAGAATTGTTTTTAAAGAGTCTATCTCTATAGGGTTACCATTTTTGTTCCTTCTCTAATTTATCCACCAATGTCTTATCCACCTAAAGCAATTCTTGCGAACTCACGAATTTACTCAGTTTGCTTTTAGTATTTTGGATTGGCAAAGGTGGATGAATCTAAATTATTCAAACATTTTACCATCTGCAATCCTCTTTATACTAAGTATTTGTATTTGGTCATCGACAGATCACTTATTCCTTGACTCTAGTATTCCTTTACCAAATGATCCATGGCGTCATCTTCGTCATTGAAATTGAGGATGGGTTGGAGTGGAGAAGGCGAATCATAATTGCTCATTTTTATAAAGTAAATATAAATTTTGAAATAAATATTATTATTTTTAATCTGACAGTAAGTAAATAATACAAAATCGTAATGTTCTTGGAAATCTGTTAAGAATAAGGACGTCCCCCACATAAGTAATGGACTTTAATTTATAAGTGTGTCATTATTGTTAGTCTCTTAAGTTCTCCAAACTGATATAACGTCTTGAATTAGACTTTCAGTTTTTCAAGCTTAAGTTTCAATTCCAACAATTAACAGACTAGTATTATTAAAGGTTGATTAAAAAATAAATATTTTTATTTATTAATATTTTTATACATAGAATAGCCTCCAAAATAAGGTTTTTTAATAGCCTAGCTTTGGTCTTTGCAAAATTATTTAAATACATCGATATTTACATATTATTAAATACTTGAATTTACTTATAATTTATCGATAGAAATATTAATTTTAAGCTGTTGCGTTAATATGTTTTAGATCCTCATATATAAAACTAATATTATCAAATAAATTAATGGGATTGTGTCATACCAAAAAGGCAGAACAGAGGAAAAATCCGGCCATCCTCAATAAAAGGCAACCCAGAGCTAAAATTCCTTAGACAACCGAACAAATACTAGAGTTTGCTATCACAGAGCCCTTTGAAGATAGCAGTCTCATCTATATTTCTCCATAAATCAAACACAAAACATTATCATCTAAGCAACCAAGTCCTACCTACTCATTGAACCTCTCGAATTACAAATATCGTTTTTCTTCCAAATATGTTCACCAAGAATTCAAACCCAATGAGAGTATCATCCCTATTAATCACTTAGAATAGCTGATCATTCATAGAGAGAGCGGGTTACCTTACTACCTTGAGATTTTGGAGTCCAACTCTGAGAACAGAGGATTGATCAGAAAATTGTTTAAACCCACCACTCCAGAAAACCAATACGACCCTTCAAACCTCTTCGACATTGTTGAGATATGCTTATAAAATAGATTAATCTTGGTTGTAAGACAGTACAAAGAGGCCAAAAGCCTCGAATCACAATTATAAATTCTCAAATCGAATGTAAAAACTTTATCAATTTCTGTCAATAAGATAATTAAAATCATAACGACTCTCCATTCATTAGATATAATTCATTTTAATTTGAGTATCAAATCGTTCTAGTATTAATAACTATCAGGAGAAATATATCTTAACAATTTATCTGATTTATATAATAGTGAGGAAGTTAATTTTTAGTACATATCTCCAGAACAATTAAATTACATTCCCTACTTTACAAAAGAATGCAACATCTGGGCTTTGGGAATGATCATTTGTTAGTTGATGGATTGTCCAAAGCTTCCCATTTATAATGACAATTTGAGTAAGTTTAAAAGAATAGTGGAGAAATGGCAACCAAAATCATCATTACTACATATTAAGGATTAAGAGCTATAGGAATCTCTTATTAAAATGTTATAAAAAGATCCCAGTCAAAGAGCACTATGAATTTCTCTTTTTATATTATAAATAATTTGAATTTATAAATAAAGAAAAACTAGGCTTATTTTACGGTGAAAATAAATTGTATTCGAAATGAAACCAAAAATTCATAATATATTTGTTATGGCAGCTGAGTATCGTTATCCAATTATTACTATTGTCTTTGATCTTATAAGGGCTCAGGTTAGCTATAAAACAACACCTCCTAAGAACAACCCTAAATTAATACTATTTGAAATTTATGATAGTTTGAAAAAGTACCCTACCATCTACCCTTTTCCTACATAATTACAGAGAATAAAGTTAAGTCAATAGAAAAAGTATATTCTTTATAAAATCACAAAATGCATTTATATTATAAATAAAAAATGGAAAAAATCTTTTTGTGAATTTGGATAAGCATGCAATATTGACTGTGATTGACTAAGCTGCTAATTTCAAATTGCTCCAATACTATCAAAAATCCATGGACATGAGGATCTAATCTAAGAAAACAGTTTGTTTGAATACTGTGAATGTTATCTTAAAAAGTAATGATGTTCATTTTTGTGCAATTAATTTCATTTATATAATCAGAGAGATTCAAGATGACTGTAGAATGGTGATGATTACTAACTAAATAACTTACAAATAATTGGAATTTTATAAAATAATTTAATCTCATTTAAATAATTGAATTGGCCTTCTTAGCCTATAATACTGTGATGGAATATTGTAGATGAAATTAGTAATGGTATAGTACACCAGATAATGTGGTTTCATTCTAAACTTTCCCTTTTGCCTTAATTCATAGTATAGTTGATCCCTCACAAAATGATGATCTGTGATTGAAACCCATTTCAATTTTTAGGAACAAGTAGTGAGATCTCTATTTATTTAAATCGATGACTGCATTACCTGATAACTTCGTTCCCATTCTGATATTTATTGGCTTCGTCTTGGTTCATGGAGACAGTCAGATGCATGAGCAATTCATTAGCCATTTTTGTTCTAAAATCTCCCTTGGGGAAGGCGACATCTAGGTAGTTTGGAATGCACACCAACTCAGGTGCATGTTTCTTGTAGATGTATTCCATCATGACTTTAGCAATCTTCTAATTGTGAGCCTACCTCTTCTTAAAGATTATGCGTCCATCAAACCATTCATTTATTACTATTTTATATAAATACTTGTATATATACTTCCAGCCATCATGATGTATCTAATGGGCAATATACAAATAACACAGTAAAGTGAGAACAAGGCATAGAGGAACCAAAGAGTTCTATGGTACTCTTGCCAAGTGAACAAATTAATCACTTTTTCTGCAAAGTTACTCAAATAGGTTAGGTACAATTAAACAATAAAGAACGTCTTCTTGATAGCTCTGATTTTTTGATAGAAGGATTCCTTTGGTTCATTTTCATCATCCACTTCCAATTTGATTTCATTTCCTTCGAATTTAATGACTTTATCCAAGGATTGGGTATTCTTTTTGAGATCCTTCTCCTCCTAAGTGAACAATTGAGGAGTCTTATAATAATGATTCAATTCACATAGAATATACTTATCTAAAAACAACCCTACATAATGGTGTATGGTTGGATGCTAGTAAGTCAAAATGAATAGCAATATGAATCCAAAGTATTATAGGATGTTGTTTAAATCTGCATTGTAAATGAAGATGAACATAAATGTAAAAACTATTAGGGTTAATCTTGGATACTTTTGATCTACAACATCTTCCAAAGAGAGTTAAAATTAAATCATCAACGAGATTATTCGCTTGAATCTGATGATGTTCATTTTGATAACAGTGAGATCTGGTTCCAATTGCTCATTCTCATATGAGAACACAGGACCAGGTCCAAAAAGAGACAAAGGACTCGACATATTCCTCAAGGTCACAATCAAGCAAGGCTACTGTTCATCTATGGTTTAAGCGTGTTTCTTAAGAAATTGAAACACGTCACTGTTGTTGCTCTCCTTATTCAGTGGTAACTGTATTCTCTAATTGGAATTAGGATATATCGAATTACCGAAAACTTAGTTCCTGAGTGATAACTCAATAAGTCGGCAACTTGTATTTCAGCCACACCTATTATTGATTGCTTGACCTTTCGCTTCAAAATACCATCCTACACTTCACTGATCAACTCCAATCTTATTACAGAAAAGGAATCTATTATAGGAAGTATGTAATCCTAACTCCACTAGGGGTTATTACTATAGACATGCTATTTAGTTTAACAAGTAAAGGGAGGAAATGAAATCTTAACAAACAAAAACGAATCCTAGATGATATTACTGAGATTAATGGCCTCCTTCACTTGAATCTAGACCTTCCCCAAGGAGTGGAAATCGTCATGCATTCCCTCATATTGCAAAACATCTTAGGATGCAAACTTCAACTGAGTGTACCACAATTTCAATAAGCCTGGATCAGTGACGGTTAATTAGATCTTCTAGTAATCGTACTCATGATACATCAACTATTATTATCTATTGTTGAATTTACAATCACATCGTCAGCTAATTCAATTTTGATCTGAAACAATATTATTTGACAACTGAAATAATTATAAGAGATGTGTTGATATAATTGCAATGTCCCCTCTTAAATCTTGCCATAGAATGTTTGCCAGGTCTCATCGTCTGAGAATCTCAATTAGACATTCGTAGCCAACTTCTTCTATTGGTCCAAACTATAGCTTCCCACTTGAGTGGCATCTTCAGTCGACAAATTGTGATATCGAAATTGCCAATCTGGTTCATCTTCATTTTAAGCATCTGTCGAGGCCAGTATGGTTTACTTCTGATTACCCAGCACTAGATTCGTTATGACTATTTAATATACAATCTCTTGTCAAAAAGTAATACAAGAATTTCAGAATATTGCCCTATATTTACGGATGTTGCATTGCTATCATCACCAACTTATTCAAAAAGAGATGGAATCCAGCTTTTCTTTTTTCAGTTTTAAAGAGCCATTCGTGTTTGGATGGAAATTAAGGCAAATCCAAATTACAATATTTCATTTTCAACTTAACTATTAATTGACTCCCTTACCACTTTGTGCAATGCATAGAACTCATTATAACGTCTGTTACAAATAAACGTTTGAATATTTGGATGTTTCACTTATATTTTATACAATGTGAAACTAAATCCATATTCGTTCTCTGTCCCAATAATATTGATCTAGAGTTATTTTAAGTCTAATTTCACAAAATCATCAAAAGTCAATTTGAAACCCTCCATCGTCGATTTCACACTCATTGGACTGCTTTGAGACATATTTACAAATAATTTATAATTCAATATTTTAAATATCATTTCCCCACAGTGTCCACATCCCCCCTCAATATCATCACAATATCCACATCTCTTTAAATTAATAACAATATATATTTCAATCTCATTCCCTATTTCAATCCTGAATAATTGTAGACCTTTCCCCTTACCTTATTTAATATAGATTATGAATCTAAAAATATCCTTAATTCCAATTTTTAAATAGAAGAACACCCCCAAACAAGTGAATATCCTATTGTTAAAGTCCATTATGGGTGAGTTGGAAAGTGGGGTCAACTCAATTAATTCCTGATTAACTATTAAGTATCACTTTTGAGAAGGTATAACAAGGATCAAGGTGTTTCCTCTGATCTGTGGCTCAAAAGGAAGTGACACAAGTCTTGGGGGGGCATGAATAAAAGAGATTTGTAATAATTTTATATTATATTCATAAAAATATAATGAATAATAGATTTGAGAATTCTTAAGACCACGACTTGGATATGTGTGGCATATCGAGATCGTACTCATAAACTAAATTGCCTAATCTTAACAATCATAATACAGATAAATTAAAAAATGAGTTTGTAAAATATATTTTAATCACAAGGTCGACAAAAAGTTATTGTAAAGAAAGGATTAAGAAGATCTTGGAGGTTCCATTCAACTTAATGATTTAAATATCTTGGGCTTGAAGGACTACTACTCTGGAGCATGTGATAATAATAATCAAGAAATTTAACTCAAACAAACAGAAGAAACCAATGATTGTACGCAAGTGGAAACTCAATAGAATGAACCCTACAATAACACTCTGGATCAATTGGGCCAAAAGTTGAATGAAGTGATAGGACAATATCTCTGTGAACTTACATCTCAGTCTAGATTATCTTTGGACTCCTTTTCCCTTCAGAACAGTGAAAATTTAGACGAGGAACAACAACAACAAATATTAGATCTTGAATTAAACGTCATCCGACAGCGCATATACAAGGTAAAATATTGCTATTTAAATCAGCAAATCGTTGATAAGATCAATCTTTCTGTCATTCAATCCGTCCAATCAATTGGAACTTCTAGTTAACTTACATCTTAATCCAATTATGTCTCCACATGCGTTTCCAAAGAACTTTTGAATAACAGTGCTACTCAATTTTCTTAAATTTCACAAAAATCACCCCCCAAATCCCTCACTCATTCTCTATTAGATTTACAATCATAACTTTATCAAAGTGCACAACAAGCTCAGGCCAGACCCAATAAAAAAGTTGAAGAATTGCCCTTCAACATTGTAGATTGCGAAGGCACGAAGGAGGAATTACAAAACAAACTCAAGATTTCCATTTAATTAAATTATCAATAGTCTCAAATCAACAGTCAATTGAGGGAAGAATTATCAAAATATGAAGTATACTATATTTTCATTAACCCCTTAGAAAATGAACTATCCAGATTCAATATAAGAGGATGAAATACTTACTTTATAATAAGAGATCCAAAACTTGAGACTGGAAAATGCTAAACTAAAAGAGTCTTAATCAAATAAACTTTGCGAAAAATGTAAAGATAGTATATGACTTTTTGAAATACAGTTCAAATCTATAATTGTCATTTATTCAATTTTTCTTATTTTATAAGAGGCAGTATTTTATCCAAAACTTGTTGGTATTGTTAAATGATATTCTTGACTTTTGTTTCTTCCTTTTGTGGTTGCTGCTGCAAACTCTTTTGTCTCTAGTAACCCTAATTTTATAATTTGAAATTCTAAATCGGCTTAACGTTCAAACTCTTCTCCTAGTTATTTAGATATTTAGGCAGGGTTTTTGCTGTCCGCGGGCTCGTTTTGCTACTCGACTTATTAAAAGTAGATGTTCTTTCTTACTACACATAAATTACATTTATTATAATTTTATATGCATCCTAGCATTTTCTTTCTTTCTATTTTCCTTGATTTCAATTGATCTTTTAGAGTTACAAGAACTTACACTCCGAATTGATTGCCTTGAATACAAATATATTTGTTGTTATTTTTACAGATTTTTGGAAAGTAGACTCCACATTATTTAATTTATGAAGTAGTTTTTTGTTCTATTACATGATCCCTTCCCATCGATTGATCTCCTATTTCCTGGCAGCTATATATCTGTTTTGCTTGTAAGCATCAAATGTTTTATCCAATTTTGGAAGGGAACTCTTCCTTGATTTTATGTCACTTAGCCTCCTCTAATGGATTTAATAAGCTCTAAAGAAATATTGATCTATTATACTGCTAATTCTAATGATGGATGTACCTCTGCATGTACTTATTTTTTAACTAATTTATATATATAAAATATATATAAAAAAAAACAATCAAACTATTTTGGAAGTAACTTAGACAAACTTTTTGAGATTTATTTATTTTTTACTCAATAAGTAGATTGCAGCTACAACACACAACCCAGTTGTAATGCTCAACTTCCAATACTACTCTTTTTTCTTTTTGTTCTGATTCTTATCAAATTATCATGTATAGTTACCACTTAGGCTTATTTCTTGATTATTTCAATTTCCTTTAGCACTTTTTATCTCCTCTGTCTCACTCTGTTCATGTCATAGAATGTAACAACCTTAATGTGTATCACTATTTACCTTGTCTGTAATGCACTCAGTCTTCTATTGATTGTTCACCTCTCTAAAGTGGCTAAACAAGGAGAGTTTACTGATGAAGTACACTTTAACTTTCAAGGCAAATTGTTTTCTATTGATGGTTATTTAGTTCATCTGGAGAAGTTTAGAGAAATCAATATTCACGTCTCCATTATATAATATTATTAACACAATTGTGGGATATTTGTACTCTTCCAAATATGGTATATATTCTGATCTAATAATCTGATGTTACCTAGTCTTCAAATTAATGTTTAGTTTACAGTTGATCTGAATAGGTTGTCAATTTTCTGTTTGATCTCGTAACACAGTTGTTTGGCCTTGGTAGCTGGATATTTAATTCTGGTCTCGAATATCACTATTTCTCCCTAAAGTATGTCTCCTTGGTCCTTCGCTAGTTTATTGGAATATAACTCGTAGAAGTTGTGCTGATTCTAATCTTACTTCTCTTAATTAAAAGAATTAGATGGATTATGCACAAATTGATGTCTTCGATTGGCTTAGTCTTGTCTACTCTATTATTTGAATTATACGTGGTTCTAATTGATCGAAAGTATTCCTCCTTAGTATAAACGTTAGTGTTTTCTAATTTCTGGTCAAACATCAAAGAAAATGAATTAAAAGTGAAATTTCTCAATGCAAAAAATACTTGACTCTCCGTGTTTTGATTCTACGTTTAAACTAGAGCAAATTACATTGATTTGTTGTGTCTTGTAATTAATCAATTGTTCACAACTCACTTTTTTTGAATCCAATATATGTAGCATATGAACAAATGAGGAAGTCAGAAAGGAATCAAATTCATCCCCAATCAAATAATGTGCATACCGCTATAAGAATTGACTCTCTATCTTTGAATGAATATCTTAAGCAGAGGCCTACGATTTTCCAGTGTGTGCTATATCGTTCATTTTAACAAAAACTTATATTAAATATATTAATAATCCTTATTATTCTAAATTCAACAAATGATAGAACAATTCATATTGTTCGCCATTCCCAATCTACCACTGAATTCGCTCATACACAGTTATCAAAAATGAGATTTTCGGTATCCTTCATCTGAATTTCTAATGTTCTTGAAATGTTGCAATCCCATTCTAAGATTGCACCTCTTCTACTCTTTAGAATATAGACGGATGGTTTAATTTTGTTCATTTAAAAAGGTTATTAGAAGAGGTTCAAATAAAAATATTTTTATTTACACTTAATAATGAATCAAAAACCTAAATTATAAGGTTGGTAAGATCTTACTAACACTTCAAAATTTACTAACCAATTGAGAATCTTAAGTGACTCATTAAATTAAAGTCCCAAATAGGCTAAACCTGCTAATTCTCCATTTAATAATGTGATCATAAAAAAATGTTTAACTCAACAATCACAATCTCCGAATTACAAAAGAAATCCCCATCGAGACTTATAATAATATACTTGTAACAAAAAGACTTTCTCTCCAGTATCCAGGGAATAACTATTTAATTTTAGTTCAGAGAAAACTCAAAAAGAAACTAATATTAAATTTAATGTGTCAAATTAAGCAAAATAATTAAAATAAAGTCCTGTTGTGCGATGCCTTCAAAGATATCAAAAATAATAACTCAGAAATAAGTTACTATTGATTTCAAAAGATTTAAACAATACATAAATTAACCATATAATTTAACTAATTTATAAATGAAAAATAAATGTATAAATTTTCAATATGTCAAACCTTTTTCCTTTAAGAATTAACCATGGCTACATTAATAAATCAATGATAAACAGCATCTTCAGTTGTTATTCTATTTTTCAGATCTAATTACTAGCATTTTTCCAATAAATCATTGAATTACAAAACATTTTTAATCTTCAACATTCAACCCTGATCCCTCCTTATTCTTCAAAAAGAGTCTCAATAGTCTTTTTAGGCTTATCCCCCAATATCACTGCCTTAAAAGTTACTTGATTAGTGATAAGATCGATTTCCCTGCACTTAAATTTAAGATGATAATCAAATATGTTTTGAGGTTAAAATAGATCGTTTCAACATTTTCATAGAGAACTTCCCTGTGTTTAATAGATGCTATTTCAACTTGTCCTTATTATTGCCTCTAGAGAACAAGAATTACCCTGTACACTATTCAAACAATGTGTGCTGTGGCCCAAACATTAATGTAGTATCTTAAGGGTAACCAATATAATTTGAGAGGCACGATAATATCTATTTACAAGATACTCAACATTGAAAGCAGTACCAAAATCGAATAATTTCAACAATTTGGTATCCGCTGATATTAATATATTATATGCCTTGATATCAGCATGAATGATATTGCATTTTTGAGATGATAATATGCTTTTTATTATTTGGATCAGCCTTATTTAATTACTTTAAGAATTGTCCTTCTCTATTTCCAGATCTAATGTACATATCTTCATCTCTGATAAATTTGTTAGCATATTTTTTTACAACATTGATTAATTATCCTGTAATCCTTTATCATTTCTCCAATTTGCAATTCTTTAATACTTATCATCATCTGCTTCATATGATTCATTTGCATTATTTCTCAACATAACATTTAAATCATCTTTTCTGATTCACTAAACATAACTAAAGTGATTATTTACTATGGTTATCCTGTTTATTCTTATTATTTTTCCTCTTTACTTTTACTTAAAACAAAAAGAATAATTGCTATAATTGCTTTATTAATCAACAATAAGAAAGTAACTCTGTTTATTTTCATCAATCTTTTATTGAGGTTGATTAGACATCAATCCTTTTTCATGATATTTTTCAGGGGATAAAAAATCTCATATTCAAACTATTTAAATGCTTCATCCCTCTAATTATCTTCTTCTTAAAATAGATCATCTTCATCATCAAAATCAAATTCATTAACATTTCTTCAACATCTTCTTGCGCAATTATACTCTCTTAATATTATTCATTTCCAAAGCATTATTCTTCCTAAGGTTATTTTGATTTCTATTGCTAATCTATTATTTTTTTTATCTTTTCTATTTATGTTTTTATTATATTTTTTTATCCCTATCTTTTTCCCTGGTTCTACTTCTATTTTATTTCTGATTTCTTAATTTTTGAAATTGATCTCTCTTGATCCCATTCTCATTCTGGAGCTCTCAGATTCCACTTTTTTTCCCCACCATTAGGAATTTTTTCTTTCTCCACCTGATAACTATTTGTTATAAATTATATAATTGAATTTATGTTATTTTCCATTGCAAATTTATTAGTATTATCTATCCATTTGAGTTATTCATACATGAACCAAATGACTCCATATTGATTTTATGATTGCTAAATTGAGATTACACACAGAATTAATGATAAAGACGTATGAGTCGTTATCTATAATCATATGATGAATTTGTTGATTTTTCTAATTAATATTAATACTATTATGACATTTTGAGATAATACGAAGTTATAAAATAAGCATATTTATGAAACTTAATTAAAAGTTAATTTTTATAATAAAATATTCAAATATTTTCAATTGCTGGTGTGATTGAATCTTTAAGATACGAATGAAATCTTTATGATTTGATTAAATAATTGAAAGAAATTCCAATTAATTCTAATATATATTAATTAAATGAAAAGCGTAATTCAAAAAATTTATATTAAGGAAAAGTAATCTTTAGTTTAATATTGGGATTATAACACAAACTTTAAAGATCTTTTTAAATCAATAATATCATTTATATGGTTAAATTCAACAAACGATCTCAAACTTACCCCAAGGACTCCAACGGCGACACATGTATAAAAAATTTTGAATTTAGAATCTCGAGAAAGCATAGAAAGTCTTAATTCTTGCTCAATTACAATAGAAGAAGGAGGGCCTCATTAAGAAAACTGCACCATTTGCTATAAGAAACTTTGCTCAAAATGCTTTAAATAATTAGAACTGTTCCCTTCCAAGAGAACTTAGACTTTCCAATGTCCACATTGTGAAGAAATAAAGGAATTAAAAAATACTATCCTATGCTATATCGTGAATACTCTCTAATTGCTTATTTTCCTTTCTCTCTCTCCTCTAGTGGCATTTGCACTGGCTCTTAATAAAACTGAAAAGTTCATACAAGAAATAGAAACAAAAATAGAAAGCATTTTCATAATTTTGATTGTTAACTTACTTTTCAGCATACCTATATACGTCGGAGAACTTATATATTGCATTTTAATTGCTCCTATCAAAATTTTCCTCGCTTTTCATGAAGCAATCGATCACAGGGACTTTGCAATTATGAAAAGAGTGTTCTCGTAATAATGAAATTTGATTTTATATGTGTTTATTGATTAGTACGTAATATATATCACAATCATTTCTATTGATTTGAGTAATTTATGGCAAAGATGATGCCAATTAATTATGCATTATTTAAAAACAATTGTTTTCAAAGGCCTTTTTCCTAAAATAATTCGCATCGATATAATTTGTTTTCAATAAATTCCATGTTCCTTATTGATAATCACATTATTGTGTTCCCAAAGAATATCCTGGCAATTCTCTTTACATTAAATATTTTCGATATCATTTTAGTCAAACATTAACTTAAATATTGATGTCAAATGTAATGTTTTTACGAACATGTAGGTTTTACACACTCATTCTTAACTAAAATCAGATAGACATTTGATTTTGGATGAGAATAAAACGAATTTACTAAGAAGAGTTAGATTACGAGAAAATCAATATTCACATTATGATTAAAGCATCAAATTTAAGTTAATTAAACAGATTTAGAGATTGTTATATATATTTTTTTCGATATTTTATTATATAAACCCTGTATTATTGTTAGTAGATTATTATCTTAAAATATATAGGATAATTTAGTATAATTGAATCTAAAACAAGTTAAATAGAATGTCAACACTTGATTTATGTCGACTATTACTTTTGGTCATATTGGAGCACTAAATTATATGAAAAATCTTAATGTATAAAAATACATAATTATTATAATTAAAATTGATAAAATAAATTATGTATTTGTAGTTTAATAAATAAAGTTGAATTCACTAACATTAATTAAATGAAGACTGAGGAGGAAGAATATTCATAGACTCTAACTATAATAGAGTTCTTTTAAAATGACTAGAATATAGAAATTGTAATTACACATGAACTGATTAGTTTTTGAGTTTTAGATATTTAACTTCTAAGGGGGAAGGACTCAATTCTCCGTTGTTTTCTTCATGCTCTTCTTAATTTAATTGTTCTTTTGTAACTTTACTCATGCTTTCTAGAGCCAAGGCCAGAAGATTATTATCTTCAAAAAAAGAAAGTTAGGACAAGTTATTTTGATGACTGGGCATGCCAATGACAGTTTAATTTGCACTTTAATTGCAACTACTAAAGGAATCATTAAAACTCGACTAGCTTTTTTACTTTGCAGGTGTCAAAGAGATCTTCCTACACTTCTATTCAGGAGTCTTTAGAAAGCTATGTCCAGATAATCCATCTACACCATTAAGAGTACTTGAGGAGGCTTGTTTTTTTCTATTTTACAATAAATCCTATGGTTCCTAATCTGTAGTTCTTCTGGATCGTTTCAAAACTGCAATTTCTGAACTCGGCACTTATAATGAGGATGGAGTGAAATCCCAATCATATCTTAATTGATCCTAGATGTTTTGTGAATGAGCTAATTTTTAAAACATTTGTCTTAAGAATTTATAATCTGGAGTTGCTCGGAAATCAAGCTTGCGTGCATAATCTATCATCCTCTCAAATTCATTAGGTAAACCGCTGCACAACTCATTCAGAGGTATTGTGTTTTTCATATCGCCTACAGCCTTAATTTTCTATTCATCCTATAATTTTAAAACTTGCCAAGGTAGGCTTCCTAAATCAAAATAAAAGACTTAACCTTTCAAGAGGTAGATCAATACATATCCCAAGGATTCTAAATCGTCTCTTCGGCTTAGTTCTTGTCCTTTATGAGCGCCCAAACTCGCATAACGAGACGTCCCTAGAAATGGTTTATTTTCTGAAAAGTTGCTTGGAATACTCTCAAATATCATACATGTGTCTGCCTTTCTTATCTCGGTAGAACTTGCTGATTCCGAAATCCACTAAGTATAAATTTGAATCATTATCTCTCCCAGTTAATATATTCTCTGGTTTGATGTCTCTATGCAGGACAGATCTCAAAGTGATAGAATATTTTACTTCAGATGGATATTCTCCAGAATACTCAGCATCTACTCTGCAATTAGTAGGACACATTTCAGGGAAAACTTTTTATATTGTCTTATATAATAAGTAAGATCTTTTCCCAAGAAACTTATTACCATTAGCATTTATTTCTTGTGCTCTCCAAAATAGTAAAGTCGAGGAATATTGAGAGTCCCATTCAAATGCTATAGAATTTTTGCCTATCGATAATTATTTACTTAAATATAGTTACTTCCTTCTCCAAACTGGATCCCTAGTCATTCTTTTCTATCTTAATTGCCACATACTAATTAGTTTAAGCATCCTATCCCACATATACCACGCCAAATGACCCTTGGGAAATTTTCTTCTTTATTAAGTATTAATCATTAATCATTAAAATAATGTCCTTATTACATTTTATTAGATTCCTAAACCAAAACGCAGCACTCCAAATAATTTACACAAACGATGTCTCTATAAATCTTAGATCCTAGAATCAAACTCAACTCATACTGTTCATTAGGTTAACTGAGAATCAAGCATTATTTCTTTGAAAATAAATCAATTCAATAACTCAGATAAAGGATGACGATCAATTGAGCCTAAGGATTTTGATAGATGAAATAAATACGATAAAGGGAATGAGAATAATTTAAAAACAATGATATTCACTTATAAATAATTGCTTCGACTCCTAAATATGCATTTAAATTGAAATATTAAAATCTGAAGGGAGAGCAACTAAACCCGTTATGTGAACATTTATAATATGTGATTTTCAATCCTCTCAAACATCTTTACTGGATTGTAATATGTTTCTACCATTTTTCATATAAATTTTAAAGATTGTTACTGACATTCCTATGGACAAGGAGAACTTATCAATTTGATACTGAATTTTGAGATATCAATATTGTAATTACTTATGTTGATAATATCATCTAATAAACAATATAATAATAAAAAAATGTCAATATCGAAATAATTTCACCTTTAATTCTCACAATCACCAAGATCTATCAATAAAACCTCTTTAAAATACGATCTTGCCTTGTTGGGTTAGAGTGAAAGATTGATAAAGTAGCCTTAAATTGCGCCGTAGAAACGTCAAAGAAGTATAATAAAACAGCAATTATTCCTTAAAACTTAAATCTCAAATTCATCATTAAATAAGTCAAACGAAGACTTTCTATTAAAGAAACAAAGCTAGAATTAAACTTCCTTTTAAGAATAGCTTATAATGAAAGATTTGATTATATAGGAGTACGAAAAAAAATATAGGGATCAGGTAATTTTAAATTTCGAAATTTAGATTAGTGTTTGTTAACAACTGAGTTGCCAAGTTGAATAATAGAAGGAGTTGATTGATTAATTGCAATTGCAAATTAATCATCTCAAACTCTACAATTTAGACCTCAAAAAATAGGTTGAAAACAGTGTTTTACATCAGCAATGCAATCAAAAGCAGCAAGAATACAAAGATTAATTAAGGAGATTTGATGAAATTCTCAGATAAACTATGGATCAAAATTACACAACTCAGTAAAAGATTAAAGATTTCGAACTAAAGTCCTAAAAACTGAAATAGTAATCAGTAAATATTTTAATAAAATTGAGAATGATTTAAAATACCATATCATATGTAGAAATTGCAATGCTCAAATCAAGAATGCCGTTACCTTGATTCCCTGTGCACATACGTTTTGCAACAGATGCATTAGTAACTTTAAGGGATAGTGTTTTGTCTGTTTAGATTAAGTAATTTTATTTCTTAATTGTAGAGCAAAGTCACTGCCACTTATGCCAATGATTACATAACAGATTTGGCTTAAATATACTAAACTTTAGAATCTCTAATTGGTGTAATATAATGATGATTATTAATTTTATATATATAATAATAAAAGGGTTGGTACTTTTTGTAGTGATTTACGAATATTAAATTATTGGTACATAGATTATAATTTACACTAAATCAAAGATTAAGTAGTCCTTAATAGTACTCATTGTAGCAATTATGCAGGTCTTGTTCGACCTTTTGGTGACATTGCTCATATTCTCTTTCATCTGATTGTGATTTGTAGCATTCCAAGGCTTGTCTTTCAATAAAGAGCAGGCGTGTTGACAAGAAATTAGCTATATTGTCGACTTTGCCTTCATATTTTTCCATGCCTAAGAAAATTAGATTCTTTCTTACATGTGGCAAATAATTCAAAATTAGTTGAATTATTGAGACAAGCTTCTTTATGTTTTGTGGCTGCTTCAAGAGACTTCAGCATTTACTCTTCAGATAGTTTTATATTATGTTTATAGGAATCGAAATCCTTTTCATATTACTATTTTCTTTACATAAAATTAATATTAATATAAATATAATTTTAGTGATTATCTAATTATATAAATAAATAATTAATGCATCATTAAAATTGTTTATTAGTAACAATAGGATCACACATTATGCTATTATAAACTTTTTCTCTGAGTAGTTTGATAAAAGTTTGTGTTTGATTTTCGATCAATTCTCCCAACAGCCTTGGTATATAAGCGTAGTATTTCCTATAGAGATCCTTTTCTGTGCTGGTGAGTTTTTCTTGCTTAACAAAATAGCAATAACTGATTTGATGGAATTTCTCTATGTATTCAATACTTGCATTATTCATAAAGTTCTTAAATACAATTAATATGAAAGGTTACTTTCAATTGATGCTGGGGTAATTGTTGTTTCATCAGTTACAAACAATTGACCATATGATTGGTTAGTTCATAATAATTTTTACCAGTTGTCATGAACTAATTATTCACTTGGTGCTGTATTTTATTTATATAATTATGGATCACAGGGTTGATTTCGATTTGCACTTTCCTACATAACTCATATTACATACTTATTCAAATTGATTCCATTTACATCAATATTTAGTTGATAATCATTCGTCATAGTATTGTAACCCTGTAGAATCATGGTGATTATTTTTAGAACTTCTTCTAGCAATTATTCTTTCTGAATTTCCCCTTCCTAATCATTCATTAATTTTTGGTCCTATTTTGATGTTATTTACGATTTGTAGTCATCCAAGATTAATTGATAATGAGCAATCAATTCATTTTTTTAATTGATTTCATTCAACTATTAAGTCTGAGTATTCAACTACTGATGATAGTTGTCCTCCATCTCACTTAATAGTTTCTCAAATTCTTTGATGGTTTCATCTTGCTCCAACAGTTTATTTTTATAAAATTGCAGCTCTTCAATCATTTCCTATTTTTCTTCTTAAATACTCTGGCATACCTGTTGATACTTATCCAATTAGATCATCATCTTCTGCACCTTATCAAAGGCAGTCTTCCCTTCCACCACACATACCTTATTGATGAATAACTCTAATTAGGACATCATTTTATTAGAATAGTTTTGATTAGTTTGTTATTTGATTTGATCCAATATTGGTTTGAAAGGCAGAGAATTTCCTTAGTGAAATGCATTGTCCAACAGTTTAATGACTTATTCGATTTACTGAGATTGGTCCATGTTAATAGTCCAACAGCCTTTCAAAGCTGACCTCAATCCTTAATGCTATTTCTAATATAACCTAGTAATATCCATATTGCATTGCAACAATTCAAAAAGAACCCTGCTCTTCTCCTTATAAAATAATAGTTCTTCCTCCTTTTTGATAAGTTACTCAACCATTTCTTCTTGTTTCTGTGTGGTCAATTGGAGTATCTCTTGATTCTTCTAGAGAATCTACTAATTCATTTAACTGCAATGCCTCATAAATATGTCTAAGATTTCCTTTTATTCTAATTCTCTGTTAATGGACTCTTGCAATTCCTATTAGTAATATGGTGTGGTTTCGATGTATTTAATTTGAACGTTGTCTTCCCCTTATTTCTCTTGGTCCAGAAACAAATTGAGAATCTCTTTGGCTGTAGTAGTCTGAACAGGTACTTTTAATTTTTGAACATCTTTTTGTTGTTAATTGTAGTCTTCACTCAATGATTGATACTTTTCTTTGAATCCTTCGTTGTCTCTAAGTTATTGTTCTAAGTAATGAATTTATTGGGACAACTCATCGATCAAATAATTCTATTATGATAACTCATCCCGCATTTGTTCAATCTCTCTGTCCTTCCTCATAAGCTGCGTAATGACAGGAGAGAATTGTTTATTCTTTGGAGGCAACGTACTTTGAGAGTCATAGGAAGAATTAAGTTAATAACTTCTATCGATCATTTGAAATTAATTTTACAATATTGCAGTAACTAATTACATTATCTAAGCAAATATATTTTGTATTCAATAGTATCTGATTTCATGTCATCAATTTTTCATTCGTTTATCGGGCAAATGATTCGAATATGTAGATATTTATTAACCAATATCAGCGTGTGAGGTCGAGCTTTTCTGGTTCATTTCATTCATTCTGCTCTTGAATAAGAGATAGTGATATTATTAAAAAGAGCACATTTCAAAAAAAAAGTAAAGTAATCTCTTGAATAACATATAAAACTAAGTAGAATGATCAATTAAACATAGAATTTATTTATTGGCTCTGGGAATAATATATTAATAATAAAATGGATTAATTACTGTTAGTTTAACCTGAAAGAATGCTAAAATTTGAATTGGAAAATAACTAATACGTTGCAAGAATAATTTTACAAAATGTTTCAGCAATCTTCGTAGCTTTTAAAGTTAGACTAAGCAATCAAAATGATTATATTGTAAAACCAAGTATAGGTGTATTGAGAGCGGGCAACAGTGTAACATTGCAATTAACTACGGAAAATGCAATTAGTATAAATGCGGATCGTGTTTAGATTTTGGCTGGACCCATTTCCAACAATGAGGTATGACTTGATAATATTGGCAGGATGTGATCCAGTTTTTCAAAAAATAGCAGAGATTAAATCAAAGGATCCTCAAATGCAGCATTGGTGAAGCTTCGTCTTTGTCATCTACTGTGTACAAATCTTCGATTTCTCCATAAGAAATTAATGATTTTAAAACAACTACAATTAAAACTGAATATGTGAAACCGCAAAAGAAATAATCGGCATCAAAAGATGTTTTGAGTTTGGAAGAATAAATCAAATTGATTGTATTTATACCACATCTATTTTGATTAGAGTGAAGATTTGAAACTTATCAAAGAAAAACAAAATGATGGCAAGATAACAGTGGGGATCAAATAATTCTTAATATCAATTTTTATTTCAATGATTGTTGGAGTATATATAACTTATAGATGATATTCATTCAAATAAAAACAAATCTCGTTCTTTGATTTATAAGTACGTTGGCAACGTTGATTTTTTTCATGCTTTTTATTTATTCTTGAGTGAACTCAAATTGCACCTTCTTATTCGAGATCAGTTGATAGGATACCGAATTCAGGTTTTAATTGGGTTGCCCTTCAAAAGAACATGTTTTCAGTATTCCTTGCGGGGATACATTTTTTATTTTTGTTGGAGTATTTTTACTATTACGAGGTTTTTTATTCGGCCCATCCTGAATTTAGCCTAAAATATTCTTATTTGGACTGTTCATTTTAATCTATTGCATACTGGTGATGTAAGGTTTATTGTTTCTTTTGTTCCTTTTATTTTCTCTTAAAATGCTCACACTTTTGCTGGCATTAATTGTACCAGATTAAATAACTCTATCTTGCTATCTTCTGTTATCCACCTACCTTAATATTGATTAATATTAAACAGATTCGTCGTTGCTATAACTTACTCCCATGAATTTATAATCAGGAGATGGAATTGGTTGATTCGCATGTTCATTTTATATATTATAGGTATTGTCATCATAGCAATATTAGAAGTGAGTTTAAAATGGGCATATTTTTACTTATTTAATTTCTTCATCTGAATTGATATCTACATTTGATTCGAAACTATATTCTGTAGTCATAATCAAAAAAATAATTATCTGAGCAGAAACATTTAAGAATAAGATTTTACTTCTTATAATATTAACACATAATTAATTTAACTAGTTATTCAAATGGATTCCTATTCACTCTCTTGTGAGAGGGGAATAATAATATCAAGAACATTTAAAACCACTTTCTTAAAGTAACATATTAAGATCTTGTGGAATTCCTAATCTGAAGGATTATCCTATTCTATGTTTTCTATTTTTAAATGATTCTATTCTAATGTAGAGATAGAGTGAGTATCAAATAATATAAACAAATTAGTTCTCATTCGGTATGATGTAACCTTATTTCATCCAGACATAAAGCAGAAATATTGTCTATAATATATCAAAAATATGGTCAATTATTATTTAATGAATCAGAATAAGAATATAAATAGGTTCAGTTGGAAAGTTTAATTTGTAATTTTTGGTTATTGCAGTTGAGAGAATTAGGTGTTAATTTAAGGAGAATTTATTTGAATTATATAATAAATAATATTATTAGGCCATCAATATCAGGATGAACTCATCAAATGACTCTTGAGATAATTTAAAAAATAAATTAATTTCGCATCGGAGTAATTGGTTTTTTGCTAGACTGTTGATTGGTTCTTGAATATGAAGGGATCAAATTGATGGGTTGTAATGATTTTGAATAATGAATACATGTTCAATATGTTGTACAATGATTTAATTGGTTGAATAATCATTCATTAATTACATTTATGGGTGGATAACAATCTTATGGACAAGCGATAAGTACTTTCAACGAGAAGAAGGCAGTTATCATCGGTCAAATGAATGTTCAGACTAGTGCTGATCATAGTAATAGTGTTATTTGAGTGTAGTGACTGAAATCATCGTGGCTTTGGGAAATGAGGTTCATCCCTAATTATGGAATGTGGCAATAATGGAGATGAGAAGCACGGATACTGATTTTCCATTGACATATCGCAGGTTCTGCATCTCAAACCAAGTTGATGAATATTAACTCTAATACATTCCTGAAAAAATAAGTAATGTTTAGCAAAAATGAAGATCAATTTATGAGTTCACAAAGACCCTAGAGTATTGAATTTCATGAGAAAAGAGGTCATTTCTGGACCATTCAAATTCCAAGCTATATTTAAGAACACCTGCATCATGATGAATCGAGTATGAATGCTCAAATAGTTTATCCATTTTGTGACAAAATGAAGCTGAATTTATTTAGAGAGTAATATCAATAGGCATATATTGATGTATTCAAAGCAATCGAATAAGAAATGAGGACCCATTCTGCCTACATCTCGGTTGGAATATTGGACATGAAATCCAATAATCCTATATTGGGAATAGACAACTATTCAATGACTTAAGACATCATAGACGCTTTCATTTCATGTACTCCCAAAATCCATAAATTAATATTCATATCTGAAGTTGAATCTCAGGCCTTCATAATGGGAATGGCATTGAAAGACAAGACTCGTCATCTACAGGAACTAACAAATGTATTTGTGGAACAAGAAAAGCAAAATCCAGAACAAGCAGAATAACCAGAACAAGCAGATCAAATTATAGAACAGAAGGATGTTCCCATTAAAGTTGAATTAGAAATACAATTTAAACAAGATGAGGACATCTAGCTCAATTCAAACAATATTTAGTTGGAAATTCAGAATTTGAATCCCCAAGTTCAGAGGATTCAGAAACCCACTGTAGTCAGTTATCACAATGGACACAAATGTATAGATAACCATGTTGACATTATTAGAAAACATTGCGTATTAATTCTTCAGAGAATTCAGTGTTCCTTTGAATTAATAAGTATTTCAAACCATCCTTCCAAGAGTGAATGATTCCAACCCACTGTGTCTGTGTGGTAGAAACATCAAGATCAGACTCGAAGGTAATTAATGTTGTTATTGTGGATTGCATAGATCCACTACATTATAATGTGAATAACGAGTAAGATTGTTAGTAATTTAGGCATGTGGAAGATAGTATTGTGCCAGTTGTATTAATCCGGCTAAAATTTTTAACATATGTTTTTAAGGTCATTAAATGAAATTTGTTTAAGAATTGGATGTTACCTAAAAATGTTTATATTGTCAATAATCCACTTTTCGTCTTGGCCACTTCAGATGTTAACCCTGTCACTTGAAGATATGCGCTTATTGCTATTATTCAAAGTATACGGAATGGCAATTCAAGAAAGTAAAATTTGGATATACCTAAATTAGATGAAAATCTACTTAAATTGTTTGAAAAAGATCAAGCCAAATTACAGATAAGAGGTTTACAATTAATTAATTACTGAGTATTTGCTTGATGCAAACTTAGAAAAATTACAATAGAGATGATCTATATATATATATCTAAATTTAATTGATGTTTACTTACATTCTTCAATTTCATAAATCTCCTTGAATATTTATTCTTAATATATTTTAATTAATAATCTATGTAAGATGTAATATAAATATCCTCTAACAAAAAATAAAAAAGAGTAAAATCAATTTTTATTTCTTTGACAATATATTCACATCTCATAAGCATTTACATTCTCAGAAGATCTATTGATAGATGATAGTAATTTTCGGTATAATTAATTTAATTCAGTTTAATTGATATATCAATCCTTTCTACTTTAGTATTTTGTAGCATATATATATGTGAGATATATTATAGTCCTGTAACATTCACAAAAGTGGATACTTTATTTCATAATAATCCTATTCTATTTTCTATTTACNAGACATCATAGACGCTTTCATTTCATGTACTCCCAAAATCCATAAATTAATATTCATATCTGAAGTTGAATCTCAGGCCTTCATAATGGGAATGGCATTGAAAGACAAGACTCGTCATCTACAGGAACTAACAAATGTATTTGTGGAACAAGAAAAGCAAAATCCAGAACAAGCAGAATAACCAGAACAAGCAGATCAAATTATAGAACAGAAGGATGTTCCCATTAAAGTTGAATTAGAAATACAATTTAAACAAGATGAGGACATCTAGCTCAATTCAAACAATATTTAGTTGGAAATTCAGAATTTGAATCCCCAAGTTCAGAGGATTCAGAAACCCACTGTAGTCAGTTATCACAATGGACACAAATGTATAGATAACCATGTTGACATTATTAGAAAACATTGCGTATTAATTCTTCAGAGAATTCAGTGTTCCTTTGAATTAATAAGTATTTCAAACCATCCTTCCAAGAGTGAATGATTCCAACCCACTGTGTCTGTGTGGTAGAAACATCAAGATCAGACTCGAAGGTAATTAATGTTGTTATTGTGGATTGCATAGATCCACTACATTATAATGTGAATAACGAGTAAGATTGTTAGTAATTTAGGCATGTGGAAGATAGTATTGTGCCAGTTGTATTAATCCGGCTAAAATTTTTAACATATGTTTTTAAGGTCATTAAATGAAATTTGTTTAAGAATTGGATGTTACCTAAAAATGTTTATATTGTCAATAATCCACTTTTCGTCTTGGCCACTTCAGATGTTAACCCTGTCACTTGAAGATATGCGCTTATTGCTATTATTCAAAGTATACGGAATGGCAATTCAAGAAAGTAAAATTTGGATATACCTAAATTAGATGAAAATCTACTTAAATTGTTTGAAAAAGATCAAGCCAAATTACAGATAAGAGGTTTACAATTAATTAATTACTGAGTATTTGCTTGATGCAAACTTAGAAAAATTACAATAGAGATGATCTATATATATATATCTAAATTTAATTGATGTTTACTTACATTCTTCAATTTCATAAATCTCCTTGAATATTTATTCTTAATATATTTTAATTAATAATCTATGTAAGATGTAATATAAATATCCTCTAACAAAAAATAAAAAAGAGTAAAATCAATTTTTATTTCTTTGACAATATATTCACATCTCATAAGCATTTACATTCTCAGAAGATCTATTGATAGATGATAGTAATTTTCGGTATAATTAATTTAATTCAGTTTAATTGATATATCAATCCTTTCTACTTTAGTATTTTGTAGCATATATATATGTGAGATATATTATAGTCCTGTAACATTCACAAAAGTGGATACTTTATTTCATAATAATCCTATTCTATTTTCTATTTACAGAATAAACTATTAATATTTTCTTTATAATTAAATTATTTGATAAGAAAAATGCAATAAAATTTTATTTATTTTTACATAACAAATGTTGAATCAAGGTAGAGCTCTTTGGTACGCTCTTAAAGTTGAAGATTATGATTTGGTTGAGTTTCTGATCAATCAAAAGACTGATGTCAGATAAACCTATGAATTTGAGCCAAAACGATATTTGTCTACTGCTAGTGTAAGAATGCTGAATTGTAATTCTATAGTTGTTAACTCTCCGTGTCTGTTAAGCTCGTTCAAAGGGGTTGAATAGTCATCATTACAAAAGGATGTATTAGATGCTTGATGCTTTTCTGTAATATGCAGAGGAATGCGATATTCGATGCCATTGTTCAAAGAACTATGAACATAGATGCCCGCTCTATATAGCACTGAAAACATTGGGAGTGAAAAAGGAAGATGACATGTTTAATAAGAAAAATGACATTCTGAAAGCCCTACTTGTCAAAGGAGCCAATTTAAAAGTTTTCGAGGGGTAGACTTCGATAATTGATGTGGAAGGATACAGACAATATCTGATATAAAGAATTCAATTCTAAAAAACAAATGGATTCAAGTAAACATAAGATGGATATGCTACTTTTAGTCAATGACATAATATTATAATATCAATCTTAGATTTGCTATTATTCTAATGAATCACAATATTCATGATGATATTGTACAAAAGAAAAGGTCTAGCTTTATTCTTTAGTCATTGAACTTTGTAATTGTAGTTTTAAGAGTTTATCAGTGGCACTTTAGAATTGATTTCTTAATTCAATGTTCTATTCCCGTAAATACAGATTCTCCTATTCCAACTGTTATAACTTATCCTTCATATCATTCAATTCTTCATTGTTGCAATTTTCATTCATTTCCTTCTCATTGCTACCATTCTAAACTTCGGCCTTCAGTTACTCGACCATACTTTCACTTGAACTCTCCTTCTGATTTTCTTAATATTCTTTGAGTAACTCTTGATATCTAGATTTCCATTTGTTTTTCTTTTTTAGCATACTCTCCAGGTGACTTGTTTGCTCTTTGGATGCAAGACTATCTTATTTGAATTGCATTAGTTCAGATTAGAGTTAATTCCTCTCAATTTCTAATTGTCTCTGTTTAGAATCCAATTTCTAGAATGCTTATGATTAATCAATGAATTGTCTATAATATTAATTTCTTTCTTCTTTGAGTTCTAAATAATTCTTGGATAAGACCAACTACGACTACTTTAATTCACTCAATTATTGTTTAAGTATTTCATTTTAAAACTACAATTATTTTCCTTACTGTTCTAAATTCTTCTCGTTTTCCAATCTCTTCTCCATAAATTCAAATTTCTTAGTCCATTCTAAGATGATTTGGTTTTTCTATCTGCTTTTAATAAATATTTACTATAATAATGTGTGCAATTTCGTAATGTCTTCCTGCTTTCTGCAATCCTGTACCTATCTCCTCAAAAGAGCATTCTCCAACTCGCATTCTTATAGAGCTTCTGACTTTTCAACATATTTATTGCTCAAATCATCCAATTCCATTATTAATAATTTCCTCTATTGATTAACTCGATGCAATTCTTATTCTAGTTGATTACTTTTGACTATTTATTCAGTCTGACTTGTGATGACTTCTTATAATGAAGTCCTGCCATCTCGCGAAGTATTTAGAGATATGTTCATCTTTTTTTTTAACGGACTTATTATTTGCATTTATATATATATTTTTGATTATATACAACTAACATTCTCAAATAAAGGGAAATTAAAGTGGAGTATTCTAGATTTCTGAAAACGGAGTCATTGGCTCACAAATTTCTTACAAAGGCTCTATTAGAATGGAACCATAATATGGTTAATAACCCTTCAGCAAATTCATCATCAAATCCCATGTTTGTTTGTAAGGCTTATAAATTTCAGGATTCTTTTTCTTCTGGCATTTCTAATTTGATTTCAATCAAATAAACTATTACCTTTAACAAATCATCTAATTTCATTAAAATTAATTCCTGTTTTTTAGATTAAATTCTTAAATGGTAAGACAAGAGTCCTTATTGTTCCTTCAATCTATCCAATTGTATTTTCAACTCAATATTTGATTACCTCATCTAATTTAGATTGCTCTCATCCACTGATACAGCTTATTATCTCTAATTGCGGACTACCTTATACAAATCCTAAATACTTCGAACTTTCAACCTTGAAATTCCCCTTCACAAAATACTAATGCTAATATTGTTTCTGGTTTCTCTCGTTTTTCTTCATGCTGAATCCATACATACTCAACTATCTCAAAAAAGATTAAAAGCATTTCGTGGTGAAGTTTTCAACCATCACTTTTTCAGAAAATTCTTCAATCCTAGGAATCACAAACCCATCCCCAGATGGTAACCAACGGATATATTTCCTATACTCATTTGACTTTAATTTAAACTCAATAACTCACTTCAAGAATCTCATAAAGTTTACTTATGAACTTCGTTGGCTTGCTCATTTGTTATTAGATTATAACAAAATTTTATATAGTTTTTTTATCAAGAGTTAATACTTTTACTTATAATACCTCTTATTTTAGAGAATAATTATCCTTCTATTGATTAATACATAAATTGTGATAAGGGCTGACCTTAGTTTAAAATGTTATCATCCAAGATTTTACATTTAATGCAATTTGTTTCTGTGGTCTTAAAAGGGTCAATAGAGTAAATTTAGAATTTCCAGGATGCCTTAGCAAATTTTATTGGTAAACATTTTCATTTTCAAATATATATTAATATGAAACTACATAAGAAATTTAGATATATCTTATTACTTAGTGAAATTAAATGCACTACAATTATTTTGTCTATATACTACTTCAAAAATGAATATAAAATTGTAAAATATAGGTTTCTCTGCTATTGTAATGGTCCCCACTTGGTATAGGCATATTTTATTTGGTGGTATAATAAACAGAACTTCAATCCCATTTAAATGATAAAAGAATTATCACCGTCACTTTGAATTCCCAAGGCAAGAGAAGATGTCAAAGCAATTGAAATTAAGTTAAAATGTGTTGTTCTAAATAAGGTATCCTCATTTATTGTAAAAATGAGATGATATAAAATAGAAAAATTATGCCCACGATTAAGAAAATGCGTATTAATATTGCATTATTTAATTGAACACACGCAATATGGAAAAGTTTGAAGAAATATTTAAATTAAAACGGAATTTCTTATGTGATTAGTCACTTCCAAATTGAATATTTATGTTATGTTATTATGATGAGAAAAAAAGACATATACAAATCTCATAAAATTAAGTAGTTTTGGGAATCATGCCTATTCCTCATCAGTCTCTTCATCGATGATTAAAAGTTCACTATTTTTGAATTCTAATTCTCTTCTGTATTGTTTAATTAAAAACAAAAAAAACATGGATAGCTAGTTAGTATCTAAATTCTCTGGAATTTGAAATTAGTTCTGCACTACTATTTCTTTGAGATACAATTTTTCTTAATTGGTAATTAGTTTTAAGTCGCCTAGAGTTTTTAAGGTTTAAAAGCAAATTCTATAAAAGGATTCATTCATCATTAATTTTAAATATAAATAATCCTTTTTTTAGCTAGATTTAAATTAATTAAACAAATTTTTATTTGTATGTGTATATTTTATCATTCCTTCTTGGCTTCCTTTTTGGGGGCATCCTTTTTTTATTAAGGAACATCCTTTTTCTAAACTTACTTGCCATCAACTTAAGCAATGGCCTTGATCTTGTCCTTCTCCTAAAGAGTAACAGTTCTATTCCAAATGAATTTTCCGTCCTTTGAATCGAAGTCCAAGTTGAAATAGCCCAATCTTTCAAATTAGACCTTGTCTTCTGGTTTGGAATTCAAGAGATCCCTAAATAATTAAATAAATAAATTTACTTGTGCATCAAAGCATTAGAGCAAACTATCTTTGAGTTTGGATTGATTCCCTTAATGTAGTCATCTAATTCATTAGGGTCGTAGGCTTCAAATAAGTAATCATACAATCTAGCAACGCAAGGAGTGGCCTCTTTAACAGACAACCAATGTAAAAATCCCTTAGGTTTGACATCCTTTCCTAGTCGTTCTAGGTGGACTTCATTGGCAGTGACACTGAGAACTTTGAAAGGACCACATTGTTTGAGTCCAATGATCTTGCCAGGAGCAACACCCCAGAAATCAGGATGGTCTTCAGTTCTTAGAAGGAGATAATGAAATAAGTATACCTGACATCGTTCTTATCCAAATAGATTTATTTAGTCAAAAGGATCTTTCTGTTACCCTTTTATGGATTTCTTGGGATGATGGCGACCTCTAATTCTTCTGAGAAGTCTTCTGCAACGTTGTCAATAATAGCTACGATTGGTTCTAAGATAGCCATGGTTCTTGGAGCCTTGATGTCTAAGTCTTTTCTGATGCAACTCTCAAGGACATGCATGCCGATGATATTTTCATTACCTTTTCTAGTAACACTGATTAGATCGCAGAATTTGTTGATGGAATCAGCAGTGTATCCTCTTCTTCTGAGACCGTTGAGTGTCAAGATTCTAGGATCATCCCAACCATCAACAATGTTGTTAAAGACTAAATGATGAAGTTTTCTCTTGCTCAACACTGTGTTGGAGACATTCAATCTGGAGAATTCCCAAACGAAAGGTCTGTAAAGATCTAATTCTTTCAAGAACCAATAATAGAGGTCTCTTCTGACTTCGAATTCAAGTGTGCAGCAGGAATGGGTGATACCTTCAATTGAATCGCAAATGCAATGAGTGAAGTCATAGAGAGGGTAGATGCACCATTTCTCCCCTTGATGAGGATGAGGAGTGAATCTGATTCTGAAAATGGCTGGGTCTCTAAGAGTGGGATTAGGATGAGTTGGATCAATCTTGGCTCTCAAACAAACCTCATTCTCTTTGTAGTAACCCATTTTCATTTTTCTGAAGATTTCCAGATTTTCAGCTGGTTGGGTGTCTCTGTATGGGGAAGGTTTTAGATCACTTCTTAATTTGGATGACTAAAGAGATAATAGAATATAAATAATACTTCTTCTTTGGTTAAGAAACAACAATAGGCCTTTCCTTTTTGAATCAATTAGACAGCATAATCATAGAGTTTACCGAAGTTGTCTGATGCGTGAGTGGTCTTAAAAGGAGTGTATCCAAGGAATCTTAAGTTTTCCTTGATGTTGTCAATAAATTCTTGGCATTCCTTTTCTGGATTGGTATCATCAAATCTCAGATAAGTGACTCCTTTGTAGTGTTAAGCCAACCTAAAGTTGAAATTGATTGATTTGGCATGACCAATGTGCAAGTAACCATTTGGTTCTGGGGGGAATCGTGTTAAGACTTCGTAAGGGAAATTCTACTTTCTCCAATTCAATAATTATTCACTGTTAACAGTGGTGGCAAGATCTCTTGCGACTAACTTTGAGATATCAAATTTGCAATCATCTTCCTCCTCTGCTTACTGTTAAACTTGTTATTATTATTATTGTTATTATTGTGGTTTCTTGACTTGTGTTTTGGCTGCCTTTAAATCTTCCTCGGTCTTAGGTCCAAGTATAGCTTCTATTTATTGATTGAGTTCTTAGGTCAATAACTTTCCTTCGGCAAAGGGTAGGAGTGATCTTACTTATTTTGTGTATTCAGAGAAATTATAAGTATATCGGATAGTCTTCAAGTCCTACTTAGTCTTAAGGAATTCAGCCACTGTGTTTTTTATTTATTCTGGAGTCACAACTATCCCTACACCAGCTGCCTTATCAAAGTCTTCGGCAGGAATTTATTCCAAATGAGTGTGTGTTCTTAAGTATTCTAGAGCACCTTCCAACTGCAATTTGTTGGTAATCTTTCCTTCAACTATATATTTAGCCAAAAGAGCTCTTCTATTGTCAAGGGCCTCTGTTAGATTTTAGGACATCTCATATAATAAATTTCCAATCTAAGTGAAAGAATTATAATACTTTCTTATCACATTCCTAAACCCCAATCAAATCAAGAGTCTAAAGAATTGATTTCAATGCATTTTTTCCTTTGATAGTGTTCTTGATTGTTGTTTCATCAAGTCCAATCTTCTAAAGTCGTGTTTAAGCTTCTTCCATTTTGAGAGGATTCACAAAAATATTTAATTAAATTTTAAATAAATCTTAAAATCATGAACACACTATATAATATGCCCTTCCTGTGCAAGTTAACGCATCAATAACTATCTTCCTAATTCTATATCTTTTTTGATGTTTCGATTAACTTACAATAAATGTAAATATCCAAAGTATGTGTATTCCACTAGTATATTTCTATTTATAATGTACAAAAAGACGTTGTTTTATCCTACCTAAGCATTCTTATTTATCCAAAGATTAACAAATTAATTGCTATTCAATAGTCTAAGTAAACTCGCTTTAGTGAATATTCCTGAATCCAATGGTGTAACGAAGAACCAAAATAAACTCTGAAATTGAATTTTTCTGGTAAACTTAATTAATCACATGTATCTATTACTATCTTAGTATTCCATTTCATCAAAATACACTAAACCATCCTTTCATAGACAAGTGGAATCCATTGGTTCTGCTGATACTATTTAGAGAGTCATCCCTGGAGTTAGGTTAATTTTTTATCTAATTGTCAATTTGATATCAGCATAATACAATTCTCCTGCAGCGCTGCACTTATTACCCTACTAGATGACCAAAGAACTCAACCTAGATCACATTGTTATGTAATATGTTATAGTCAGCAGTGATCCTTGTAATTAACTACTATGATAAATTTCAAAAAAATAAAGATTCAAAAAATTTAAAGTTCATCATCATTTTTAATAAGAACACTGCAAATTAGCATGCAGTTGATATTATGATAGATGCTCTTAATGCTATTAAAGATAAAAATATTTAATTCCATTTGGGTTATCTTTATTATTTATTTAACTATATTTTTAAATAACTTAAGCTATCAACTTTATTTTATGATATATTCGAAAGAATCTTTTAAATCAACCAATTTTCCATAACAAATTTATATGAATTATGTTATAAAATTACTTCCTCAAATATAATCATTAAATAAAAGGAAAAACATTAGGTGAAAATAGAAACTCAGACATCGGACTATTCATATCTATAAAGGTATCCTACAAAAACTCCATTGAAGGTTTATAGCCAAAAAGAACTGAAAGAAATGTGAATTTAAATCTTTATTAGGTTTCATTCTCGTGAAACTCTTTTAAAACCACAAAAAGCTTTTTATTAAACAAATAAATACATCAACTATCTTTCCAATTTTTTATGCTATTAATAGTTGGATTTAACATTGAATTCTCAACTGTTGCTAAATAATTTATTATTGCTCTTATAAATATTTCAATTTCTCTTAGAGAAGAAAGTTTTGTTCTGCAAATCCTGCTATGTTGAATTGCTAATCCGGATTTTAATTAGTATGGTTTCCTCTTTTTATTTTCAATAAGTCTTTACTAAAAGTTAAAATTATTATACAATCGCCCTTTCTTGAAATTCTGATGGTAATACTCTTTGCTATTCTTATCATTTTTCCTCATCTTGAATCCATACAAGCATAATTATCTTAAAAATGAATGTACATTTGTTGTTCTAAAATATTTTTAGAGAATTCTAGTTTCGAATTCGGAATTTCTTTAAAAAGAAAAAGCTTGTCCATTATCTACCCAATACACCAAATATTATAAATTAGGATCCTATGACTTAAATTTAAGATACTTCTAAGATTTCATACAAATTGAGAATAAATTTCTTTGGATTTTTCATTTTAAAAATTAATACTTTAGGAAATTAAGAATTTGAGGTAGTATATTGATAAGCTCAATAAATAATAATAGTAATCAATTGAAATTGATAATCTGTAATTCCCAAATTTCTAGGAGAATTAACACTTACAGAATCTAAACTATTTATTATAAAGTTTTAATCTTTTTATCGGAATGGTCAAATGATATTTTTTATATTATATAATTTTTGTCATCAAAATGGTTTTCAATAATAAATTAATAAATTCTTAAAATAATTTAACAATTTATTGTAATTTATTATGGTATTGCCCTTATGTTAAAATTTACATAATAAATTTAATTGAACTAGTCGAATCCAAATGATTTTATAGTATATGAGTAGGACACTACTTTTTGGAACATAATTTAAGCTTTAAATTATTTTCGATAAAGGTTCTTGAGAAAGATATTCCTTATCAACTAATTATTGAATAATTTCTTCCCCTTAAGTTTTAGTTTAATTACAAATATTCGATTTAGAAATAATCACTAAAATTGTCAAAACCTATCTTAAAATGTCAGATAGTCAATACATAAAAATGTTTTAATGTAGATGTTTAAAGAATTTAAACCTTGGAAATTAAAAATTGTTACATTATATTCGAAGTTAAAAATAATAAGTCAACAAAGAGGATTAAAGTATAAAAATGATAGAAGTAATATAACCATTAATTATAAAGTCATGTAAATTAAGAGAGAATAAGCTAAAACGATATCAGTTTAGGGATAAATATCATGATTGTGAGATGAATTGGAAACTATGATGAGATAAATTAAAACAATGAAATAGAATAAACTAAGAATTTGGAAGGAAATGGGTATTTATTATTGAACCCAAAAAAATATATTAAAACCTTGTTTCATCCAAAATCAAATTATGAATTAGAAGGATTGAATAAGATTAGGAAATAGTAATGTAATTATAAAGTTGATTATATTAAACAATAATTTTATGATCAAAATATCACCGGATCCAACTCTCTATAATACCATAAAGCAAGATAACGAATAATAAACAAAGCAGCACCCAAAGTCAAAACTGCAGGACTATTGAAATTAAGAAGACTAACATAAACAAGACTCAAAAATGAAATGACAGTGGCAGTTGACAAATCATACTTGCAAGCTTCTACCCAACCATAATACACAGCTGTTGCCAAAAATCCAATTGCCACACAAATAACACCCTCTTTGAACTTGGCCAAATATGTATTCTTTCTAAAATTACTCCAATGAGGCAACAATCCCCATATCTATAAAACTGAGGGCACAAAAATAGCAACCCAGCAACATACACCTCCATATATGCCCATACTGTGAGTACCTAAGAAAATAGCAAAATTTAAATAAGGGCCAGGCAAGGCTGCTGCTAAACCAAAGCCTAACCAAAATGCATCAGCATTTATATATAAAGGATTTAAAACGGTTTCTGCATACATAAAAGGTAAAGTAATAGGAGTACCTCCAATCATAAATGTCCCAATATTGTAAAATGAGAGAGACAAATCTAAGATCATGGATTAATATTATGAATTGAGATACAGCAATAATAAGAGTATAACAGAATACAAGTGGAAGGATTTATTCCCAAATAATTAACTTATTTTGTGACTATTTTTTTTATTAATTAATTTTGGATCATTAATAACTGCAGGAGTGGCAGAGTACTCTTTAACAAATGTTCTTCTGCCAATTGTATTTTCTGCATCATATTCAACCATAATTGTAATTATTCCCCCCATCATCATTGTTAAAATCAACACATACGGTTATTGATATGCAACAAATAATGCTGCACTTAAAACTGATAAAGCAATGTGCATCTTATTATTAATAGATTTTGCAGTCATTGATATCAACAATTGTAGAATCAATGCAACTGTACTTGATTTTATGCCCTGAATAGCCAGAAAGACAAGAATGTTGAGATCTCTAGGATCAGGATACTTACCATAACAATAACCTAAAATTGTTAGTATCATTGCTCCAGGCACTGTATATGCCACCAAAGCAGTGATTCCTCCCAGCCCATTTTTTTTTGAGATTGTTCCTAAAGCCACCATCAACTACGAAGTTGTTGCTCCTGGTATGAAATCAACCAACGATACAATCTCTTCAAATTAAGGTTCCTATTGGAATGATAATCCTTACTGAAACAGCCTTGGTTTGCGCTACAAAGACATTCCTGAATTCTTAATAATTACTGGCGCTTAGAGTTTGGACATCGATCAAGGCCAAGGTAGCAGCTTTTTTGAATAACTCTAGGTAGGTCAGAGTTTGGGAATCGTCAATCAACAAAGAAAATTTTGGTTGTGTATTTGGCACCCCCAAAGTTTACATTTCAATCATCTTAATAAATTAATTAATCAATTATTAAACATTTTGTGCATCATACCATATTTTATTAATTCTCTTTCAGCTCTCGTATATCCAAACAATGCAGCCAATACTTACAATGCTTCGACATTAAATCTATGATATTACATAATCAGTACCTTGCCAAATAATTCTTGTAATCAATTTCTTTAACTAACCTTTGCAATTCTGTTTCCTCAAATTTTCTAAATAGTCCCTCCTTAACCTCTATATCTTTTTGTATTTGTTGGTACTCCTTTATTAGTTTATCCTTTTCAAAATTGTTCAACTCAGTAAACACTATCGACTATTCTTAATTGGCCTCAGACTTGAACATCTTGGCTATTCTTCTTTAAGCTTCATTGTAAATGATATCATTTAATGTTTCTTTGCTTTAAAATATATGAGTAAGAGTAGTTTGGATCAGCTTATTTTCAGTCTCACTTAATCCTTGTATTAATAGAGATACTTAAGATTCTTACTGTGATTTAATCTATTCTATATGTTATTTCTTAATGTCTATTGAATCAATTTAAGAGAAATGATTTTTTGATAATAGAGACACTATGGAATTGTTCCCTGTGTCAATTGAAGAATCTCTGTAATTACTGAACAATTAATGGGCCTTTTTAAACAAATCATTCAATTCAATTGTCTTTCTTGTTTTAGTAATTAAGAAATCTCTTGCCTTGCTATCCAAATATGGTGGAAAATTTGCTTCGGCTATCTTCTCTCCTGAATCCCAAACTGCCTTAATTATCCAAGATAAACCTTGCGATCTACAATCCAAACCAATTTTAAGCAATTCTAATAAAAATCCTTAGATTGATTTCAATAGTGCTTTATTATTCTTATTCAATTTAGAGTTCTCCTATTCTAATTTTTCAATTTAAATTGCATTTAACTTCATTTATTATTAAAATTTGTTGTAATTATCTCTCATTTAATCAATTTGACTTTCCAATTCATTCTATTTAACTGCAATAACCATATAATTGTCAACTTAACTAGCATTATTTTTAATATTTGGTGAATTTGATGACTATTAAGGTTTCTTATTTATTCCTCTTAATTCCTCTTATCTTTCTTTGATCTAAAATTAAACCAAATATTTACGAAATCCTAAATGGCTCTTAACTTTTTATGAATTTCATGATTCTCCATTCTCAGTGTTTCAAGATCTTTCTCATTCTTTTTTACAGTGTTTTTTTATCTCTCTAACCTGGAATTAATTGATAATAAAATTTAGTTTGTTTATTTTTCATAAAACAACGCTCGATCACTTGCATTTTAAAATTAAGTTAATTGCATTTTTATTAAAGTATGTAGACTGTTCTTTAAACCTTCCACAGTATAGTCAAATATCAGAGTTCCATCGTGCTTATCCTCTCCTTGCTGTTTGGCTCTTGCTAATTCGATCTATGCCAATTCTTGTTGCGTCAAAGTTGAGCCCTATTACATATACTTATCCAATTATTTAGTCAGAGAATGATCTTGATGAAGCATTTCAATCTTCTTGATGGCTGATATCTTTTGCAAGGATCCCATCAATTTCTATTTGAATACACTTTGTTCTCCTTCGGACTTGGCAGACTCAACAATTAATTTTGGAAAGGCTGGAATTCCTTATATTGCTTTGGATCTGTCATTCAGTCCACCCCTTCTCAATAATTATAGCGATTGTGATTTTTCTTAGATTTATATTTTGGCAAGTCCTAATAATAATTCAACATCATTTATACTTTCTTTTTCCTATTCCTGCTTCAATTTCTCCTGTTCTTCCTTCCACCTCTTTTTTATCCCTTTGTACCAAGTATCCAAGTTGGCAACCAATTGATCATCACTTTCAGCTTTATATTATTAATTGGCTTTGAATTGCTCCTCCTGATGCAATTTCTTACGAACCGTCTTAGTATTGTTATCAGGGTCTTCTTCAAGTTTCTCATAACTTGAATATTAATATAATATAAATATACATTTCTTATAGTAACAATTTGGCACCAGGCTCATTTGACAAACGAGCTCTTAATTTATTTTCCAAATCAGTTCTCCTTACTTTCTGGTGTAATTTAACTGGTTTCTTTGTTGAATCCTTAAGCGAAGTAATCATCTCATCTTAATCGGGCATAACAATATCATAAAACTGTATGGTGTTCATTTCATCATTCAGTATTTTTTTACGCATATCTTGCATTACTAGACTTTCAATTTCCAGATGATTGGTAGGTCTATGTCTAGTCCTAATTACTTCAGGGGCTGATTAAAGATCATTCCTTTTTATTTTTTTTTTATGCATTTATTTATGCGAATTATAATACTTATACAATTTTATTCCCTCATTGGAATATATTATATACTAAATATATATATAAAGCCTATAAACAATTTATAGTTTTATAGATATCCAAATAATACAATGAGATATTTTGATTTCTTTTCCTTTAATACTAATATTTCAGTTTATTATTTTATTTATAAAATATTTATCCTCAGATATCATTATATTTGTATATATGCAAATATCTAAAATGGCTGCATGTTTGAATTAAATATATAAAATGTATTATTCATTGTTATGATCCACTAAATCTCACTAGTTCCTATTCGTCAACAGCTTCCTTTTATTTATAGATTCCAGCCCAAAATGAATCTTGTCTTGCAATCTTTTCCTAATTTTCTACCCACTTATTGAGATTGTGTTCAAACACCTTAACCTTGTTCAATATCTCTGTGGCTGGATCAGTAAAAAATTCCCTTATGATTTCTGCCTGGATGGCTTCCAATCCCCCTATTATAGCACCTATAAGTATTATGCTCAACCAGAAGTGAGGTGTGCCCACCATAGTGAATGGCGTGTATTCCATCATGGTTCCAGGCCAGAAATTAGAAATGATCACATAAATGATGTAGAGCAGAATGGACAGAAAGGTGATGCTAATAAAATTGAACCAGGTCCAGAATTTAGTATGGATGGCTATTTTGAGGTCAGCAATCTAAAATGATAACTAGAGTATACCAAGATGATGCAAGAATAGACTGTCAATGAGAATGGTGCCAAACTGCTTGATTCTCCAGTATTTTGTACGATCTCATAATCAGTAATCCAAAGTACAAAGAAAAAAATGATCATCCCATGAACTAAACCGTTGAAAGCCCAAAGCATGTAATTGGGAATAGTGAAGATAGTTTTGTTTTATCCGACATAATAGAGACTTGGAAATTTGAGTCTTAAATATTATTCTTGTTTCCTCTGCACATTAGCCACTTCCTCCTTCTAGTCATACTAACAATATTATCTATAATTGATGTCCTAATCAAATGTGCCCCTCATTATAAGTGGTAATGCTGTAAAGATAAGATTATAGAAAGTGATATACCAATCATCAAAGTAAGACTATCCTGAAAAGGCACAGAAATATGAAAAGAAGAATTGGGGCACAGTGAATATCATGTTTTTGTAAAAGAAATACAACACCATCTCTGCAATTCTAATGTAATTCCAATGTCCATGTACTAATAATAATCTCCATAAACATCTAAATTCTCCCAAAGCAAAATCGCTACTTTAAACTGCTCTCATTCCCTCATTTCCATAGAGTCCAACTCCAATATGAGCTGCCTAAATCATATTGACATCATTGGCTCCATCTCCAATAGCCAAAGTGATCTTGTTCAATCTGTCTTTAATCAATCTGACAACATCAGCTTTCTGTTTAGGAGTTACTCTGCAACAAACAATACTTTCACAATCTTTTGCCATACTAACAAATGCCTAGGCTAAATCTTCATTGTCTATTACAAACTGCAAGGACGATCCTTCAACTACTATTGACTACAATACTAAGTTTAAATACTTTTTTTCTATTCTCCTTTATACATAGATCATATGTGTCTTAGATATCTCCTAATTTCTTTTTACATTCCTCAACTGAAGGCACTGCCAATCTCATCACTGTAAAATCACCTTGAATCAACCTACAACTCTTGGCAATATTCTCTGCAGTCTCTAATTTATCTCCAGTCAACATCCACACTTTTATGTTTGCCTTTAACAAGTCAGCAATAGTCTCTGGAACTAAAGGCTATAGTTTATCTTCAACAGCAGAAGCACCCAATAAAGTTAGTTGTCTTTCTAAATTGCTAGTTAGTTTTTCTATTTTTAATTAACAAAAAAAATACCTAATTCACTTGCTCTGGTTTCATTGTCTGGTAAATTATTATAAGCATGATCAAATTCTTGATATTCTTCATGAGATAACACTCTTGTAGCCATGAGTAAGCATCTTAATCCAATTTTGCTGAAGTCATCTAAATAATTAATAATCTCATTTAGAAATAGCTGATCAGGTAATAGTCTATCTTTTATGATATTATCTGCTCCTTTGATATATAATTTGATGACTCCGTTATCGTTAATTATTACACTCATTCTCTTACGATTGGAATCAAATTCAAATGATTTGAGCAACTTCACCTTTTTTTCTTTGCCCAAGATCTTGAAATTCTACTCACTTGCAGATGCTCCAGTAAATTGAAATCCTAATCTGGCTGCTGCATCTACTAGAGTGATCTCGTCTGGAGATGGACCCTAATAGGAAGCATTCTGATTCTTATCATATTGAATGATGCATTCGTGAGCTGAAGAAAGCAAGAAAAAGTATTCTTCAATTAAGTTTCGCTGTTTAGAGAGAGTTACTTTTTGTTTACCATCTTAGGATGCAATATTAAGATTGATTGGCATATCACCTGTGGATCCTTCGCCTTTGAGAATGGCACTTAATTCAGCATCTTGGAAATTGAAGACTGAATGCTGGAACACCTCACTTTCAGGATGTACTTTAGTGGTTTGCTGTCTTTTTAGATCTACATTATATACTGGATTGTTTGTGTTTGATTGTTCCTTGCCGTAGAGTACGTTTCCAATAATACAATACTTGAATTCCATTTGATTGCAGGTCAAAGTGCCAGTTTTGTCAGAGAAGATATATTCCACTTGTCCTAACTCTTCATTAATGGTTGTAGTTTACACTTTAGCGAATTTGTTCCTTTGAGCTACATACATCTCCTCGTCTTATTCAATAAAGTAAGCTTGGAACACTTTAACGAATTCCAAACTAACTATCAATGATATAGGAATCATTGTATTATATAATAAAATATAACTGAAAAACGCATAAAAACTGAGCAAGTTCGGTTAAAAGTCAGTGTATTCCAAATACCAACTATCACCCCCATAATTATGGAGCCAAGCCGATGAAAAGGAAGCTGTGATGATCGACAAAGTGATTTGTACCACCAGAATTCCCAAAATAAGAATGTTCATAATTCTTTCGATTTCACTCGACTTTACTCTTGAGGCATCAGCATTCCTCATGATTTTAGTATCCTATCCTGTATAAACAACCAACCCTATAATCCATTCAGTATTTCTGAGGAATGCACCTCTTAACAATAACTACTTAGCTGTTAACTAAAACTTTTTCTACTAACCATTACCAATTGGCAAAAACAAAGAAGCATCCAATTCATACAGATTTTAAGTGGGAACCTATGCTTCAACGCGTATCGCATCTTCGCAATAAGTTTCAATTTCTTTATAGAGCTCCTGACTCTCTAAAATAGCACTCTTTGGTTTTAAATTTTTCTCACCATCCAATGAAGATGTCTCGATGTAGCAAGCCCCACTTTAAATTGAACTCGAAAGCACTATGAGATCTGCAGGAAAACTCTCGTCCTTCTTGACCAACACATAATCTCCCACCGACAACTCTGCCCATGTTGAACTATCTATTGTGTTATTTCATTACATTGTTGGCACTCTTGTTTTTAGAATTATGCATTCCGTTGAGTTTACTTCATTGTCCGAAACGTGTCGTCCATAGTCTTCCCAACCTAACAATTTATGTCATTTTATTTACCTTCACGAGCCATTGACAATCCCAGCACAAATACCAAAGGAGCTATCGCACTGAAAGGGTTGAGCGTTGAGAGCACTGGAATGCACTAAATTATTGCTATGCATAAAAAGTAAATGTTTGCGTATCGAGTAAACTGTAGGAGTAACGATTTCGGTAGAAAAGTTACCACATTATATCTACACTTCACAATATTACTTACCTTGATGTTTTAATGAAATTCGATGGAAATTCCTCTAACTCTTATAAAGTCCTCTCGCATTTAAAATTCCCTACAATCTGACGAGGAGTATTGAAAGTTTCGGGTCTCTTAGACCAAAACATTTAATTATATAGTTTATAATAATAATTAATTAGTCAAAAATTCTCACTTTCTCAATTTTCAATCATCTCTTGAAAACCTCATTCAGGTTCTCTCATTTTTTTACTCCTGTCGTAACGTTGCGTTAATTGTTAATTAATTAAATTCTTAAATTAGTGTTGCATATTTATGTATGTTTTGTTTATGCAACGTATAACTCAGAAGAGAACTCTTGTTGAGTAATGAATTTGTATTCCATGTACAAAAGTTGTGCCGTTTTTCAAACAATTAAATTATTAACGAAAGAAATTCCTTTGATTATTTCTAATTTGTATCAATAAATATAATTCATTTAGTTTTAGGTGAGTATCCAGCAGGACTTCTAACTCCTGTTAAATTTGGCTCATAATAACTATTTGATTCTTGCTTGTCAAAAGAGATATCCTTTGCTTGATAACTTTCCGTTTCAATTGTTTCCAATTTTCTTAATATTTTATCCTTCAAAATCGCCATCTTGCTTATCTGGGCATCTTGAGGCAACTTCTAAATTATAAGAATAAGTTTGTTGAGTTTTGTTAATGAGTAGTTTTTAATTTGATTTATTTTCTTAAAATATTTTCAGACGAACTTACATCAGTTATATCCTGAGTTTCTTTGAACAACTTCTGATTGCGATCCATTTAGAATCTAATCTCATCCAATATTCTCTGCTAATCTGATTGGATTTGGACCAGCTATTTCCTCATCTTGTCGTGTTCATTCAGATAGGATTCTGATTAGAATTCTTTGGTCAAGGTCTCCAAACTCTACTTTATGTCCTCCTGGTTGCGACGCTTGATTTTAACCAAGTTATTTCTACGATTAATAAGTTCATTCCTACTTAACTCCTTTTCTGAAGAGGGAATGTTGGAACTCATTCTTCCCCTGATTGTTTTTCAATTTCTTAAACCCATACATATTGAGCTGCCTATGATATGTAGATCTCAATATCAACCTCAAGAAACTTTAGAAATTACGATGTTTAAAGTATTAAGGCAGAATCTCATCTGTCAATTACACAGAGTCTTGGATCTAAAATGTCGTTCCCTCCTTGTTCCAACATATTGCCGCTTATTCAGACTCAAGAATAGCGGTTAATAAATTACTTCTAAAATCTCATACAATTTCATAAGAAAGGATGGGACTTATTTTATGTCTTCCATGATTTAATAATTTTTTTAGAATTATTATCATTCCAAAATTCAAGATTACATCAATCCCCACATTTAATCAAAATCTTTTATAGATTTATAAAATGTAAGTCTCTCAATACCCAACTCAAAGTTCTCAAAAGATTAGATAATATCTTTGAGATAGTCTTGAATATATTGTTGCTATTCATAAATCTCATCATTAAATCAAAATTCAATATAATTTATTCTAAGAATTTCACATTTTTCTTAAATTCAAAATGTTTCCTCTATCATCATTAAACTATCTAGACTCATCTACTTAAATGTTATTGAAGTGTTCTAACTCATTTTTATGGAATTTATTGTAACATTAGCCTTTCTTTGGAAATATCCTAGATTGACTATATTCTTAAAATTAACTAAATGATAATATATATTAACTATTTTTCATAAAAGTTTATCATCTTTTAATGTATGATTGATAAATTCAAAATTAATTTCAATTTCTTAAACCACTTCAACTTCTTAAATAAAAATAGATTATCCTTATGTTCAAAATAATTTCTACTCAATCAAATATGTTACATTCACAAAAAAGTCATTATAACACTATTTTGGGATGGTTCTGTAAATGGGTATAATAATATTTTACAATTTTTGCAATATTGGTTTTCAATATTATTGTATAATAGTATTTTTAATCAACTTAGAATTATTTTATAAAATAAACTAGAATTTTCTATGAAATTATCAATTTCTAAAGGAGACTTTATATGTATATAAAATAATTGCTTAAAAACTTTTAAATGCTTAACAAAATATTGGATGAAATAAATCCAATTGAAATTAAATACATAAAGAGTACTATCCAAATTCTAGAGATCAATCCTTTAATGTTAAATATTTTTACAATATAGTACATATAATTAGTGATAAAAGTTTTTAATATTTTATAATAAATGTTACCAGAGTTTTCCATCTAAGCTGTTAAATTGTAAGCTAACTCTAGACAACCTAAACCAGTAAAGGTAATTAAGTTAATTTATCAAACAGTATGTACCCCCTAAGCCTAAGAGTCCTGCTTAAAAAAGAAGCTGTATTTAAATATTAATAAGTTTAGCATCTTAGCAAAAACCCATAACAAAAGCCAAAACGTCAACAGATAAGCTTACTAGAAAAGGTTCGGAGGATTTCTAAGAACCCCAATAATCATAATAGGTGGTCACCATTGAAGCTCCATAATAAAAGATTATTATGAATATGGATGAAAGATATCAATATTATGAGAATGAAGCAAAAAAGCGATAAAATGTGATTGATGTATGTGACGGAGTGCAATTTTATAAGCCAGTCAAACCAGATGAAATGCCTAAGCCTCCTAAACCTAAAAAGTAAACATCCAAAATTGAAAATGCTAAATAAGTTTCACGAACTGAGAAATCAGAAAAATAATCTGTTTCCTCCGATTTACAACATTCTCTACATCAATCAAGATCTCTTTATAATCAAACAACTTCAAGAGAGCAGCAATAATCTACCTCTACTTTAATTGAAGAATGCTAAACACAACAGATAGCTGTGGATCCAAATTTCTTAGTTTAAGGAGAAGTGGATGGTTATTAAATCGATGAAAGTTAATCCTAAATGTTTGGTTTTGGGTTGACTGATTATATTAAAAATAATGTAAGATAATCTTTAAATCAATAGAACCATAAAAAAGAACTTGGAGAAAAAGATGTGACAAATGAAGTTAAACCCTAATCAGAATCTGTTTATACATATTATGATTACTATCCTCCTAATGCAAACGGAGAAATCCCAAAACCACTATTGGAAAGTGTGAATTATATGAATTACCTAAAAGAGTAATAGGCCTTATAAGCTCAACAAGCCTAGGAAGCGCAATAATAGTAATAATAATAATAATAATAATAATTCAAAAGTAAATGAATACAAATTTAACTATTAAATTTTACATACTTTTCTTAAGTAATTGTATATATTAAACATTCACAAAATAATTAAATTTATCAACATTCCTCCATAGACTCTGAATCTGCTATTATCTTAGCTAGAGGCTCGAGAAATTAAGAGGCTATCTTTTCAACAGATGGGTGTTTGAATACTTCTAGTATCAAAGTTGTCATATATTAATTTTCAGTTTCTAAATGTTTAACCTGATATTATTATATAATCTTACTTTTTTTTATAGTTTATTAAATTCATCCTATAATGGTCCTATTTTTTCCAATGCTTCTCTCTTCTTTTTTTATGATTCTTTTGCAGAATTTCTATTTCTTCTTATGCTACACAGATTAATGATATAGTTTACCACTAGCACTTTTTACAATTGCATTCCTCCTCGCCATTATAAACACACTTGTTTTTAAGTTTCTCAATCATTTTCAAATAGTAATTCGAACTATTCTTGAGTTGCATTTCAGAAAATCCATTTTTTATGATATGTTCTAGATATTAACTTTCTAATTGCAAAAGCATAGGCAACATGAATAGGATCTAACTATTCATTTACTTATGAACTTTGATTGTATTTGAACTAAATTACAGTAAATCTAATTCTTGAGTCTCTTCAAAAAATAATTAAGTTGCTCTTTTTAAGAAATCTTAAGTTGTAGCTTTAAAACTACCCATAATTAGTAAATACTAGATGGTTATCTGAAATAAATACTTCCTAGAATATCTGATCATTATGTAATTTAGCTGTCTATTTAACACTTTATGCAACTAGATCCATTATTAAGTTGCTTTTATTGAAAAAGTTATTCAATTATTGCGTGTATTGATTGAATTACAATAAAAATTAATCTTTAGATAGCTTCTGTTGTTATTGACTTAGCATTTTGAATGTGAATGTTGTCCACACTTCATCTTGTTACTTCTTTATCATCTGATGTATTTAAGTAAATCCAATCTGCTGACTTACTGTCTATCCTTACGATATTTTATAACTATAGAGAGCTTTGAAAAAAATATCGCAAAAGTCATCTCGAAAAAGCAAGAAATTTGCAAGATATTTTGTGCCTAATATAATAATATTGTAAAACTTTGATCATAAATGATGACTTCTGAACGGAAAAGGAGGGCTACTGTCTAGAATAGAGAATAGCTCATTGATATCTTTAATGGGTTGTCTTTATAAGAAGCCACCAAATCTGCTACAATTTATTTGTCTGCTTGACAATTCTCTAATCCATATATTATGAGGTTGCTCATGATTATCATAAAATATGGCAATTGAACTTCTAAGACATTTGTTAAATTGATGGTCTGTTTCTGAAGAATGATTTACTAAAAGTATGAGGTAACTTGATTTTGAACCTCAATTAAAGTTGAAGGCTTGCTTTTTGATTATTATAAAATATTACGAGACTTGTTAAGTTGGCTAGTTTTAGGTTTAACATTGTTGAATTATCTATAAAAGTTACTGTTTCTGTAAATACTAAACAGATATTGAATTTAAATACTTAAACATTTTCTTTCTAACAATATTCTTCTTGTTTCACTTGTTATGAAGATTCTTGATGAGATTGGTTAATCAAAGCTTGCAGATATATTTTTTGAAGAGGATTCATTAATAAATTAATAATCAAATCCATCTCGCCACTCTACTTTGATTTCGGAGTAGTGCGTAATACCATTAATGTTAATGAACATATTTGATTAAATATTAATACATTAATGCACTATTTTTACGTATTATTTATATATATTAATAATCCCCAAATTATTTTCAAATTAATAATATTAAATTTGATTATTGTCTTACATCTGTTTTATTATAAAGTAATTCTAATTGCCATATTTGGATTCATTCATTTTACAATTTTTGGACAATTTTAAAAATCATGATTGGAGTGATTATATAATAAAGCATAATCTAAATTAGGTGTATTTATATGAAATTCTAATTTTACACTTGTCTAAAATCAAAGATTATTGGAGCAAATTAATGAGTAGCTTTAACTATAGACCATTTAATTTTCTGTTTTCCTTATGCATTAACTTAAAGGTAATAGATTAGGTATCGATTGCATTGGGTTTTTGAAATTGAATGACATTTAACATTATGATAGGTATTTGATCAAAGTTATAGAGTAAATTAGAAGTAATCTAACAACTTAACGATAGGAGAAGATGAATTTTCAGTTTCTGTTTAAAATATATAATCTTAACTTATTAAAATGAAGAGATATAGAGAATTTAGAATTACAATAGAAATGTAAGATTATGTGTACAGAATTTAATTATGCATTATCAATGACTTTATTCCTTTAAGGCTTCTTAATATATTCCATAGAATAAGGAGGCAGGTTGGTTTAATAACTCTTTAGTGAATCCAAATTCCTTAACCTCTCCTTTGTCTAGAACGAGAATCCTTTTGAAAATAGAGAATATATGTACTTGTCACAATGAAGTATGGTATTGATTCTATGAGCAATGGTGATGACAGTGCAATCAGAAAAGGCATTTTGAATGGTATCTTGAATCTTATGTTCTGTATCAATATCTATATTGGCAGTGGCCTCATCAATTAGGACAATAGGACTTTTCTTGAGGACTGCTCTGGCAATACAAACAAGCTATTTCTCTCCAGCACTTAAATTGTCTCCGTGATCATTGATGTGAGTTTCTAATCCTTTTCTTGATTCAATCAATTCAGTCAAACAGCATTTGTTAATGGCTTATAAGACTTCTTCATCAGTTCTTAGATTCAATGGATCAATGTTATCTCTGATGGTACCACTGAACAAGGTTGGATCTTGCATAATCATTGTAATTGATTCTCTGAGTTGTCTTAAAGAGATGGTAGAGATATCATGGCCATCAATCAATAACTACCCATTCATTGCTTCTAAGATTCTCAAGATAGTCAAAGTAATGGTTGACTTTCCAGCTCCTGTTCTACCTACGATACCAACCTTTTCTCTTGGACTGATAACAATACTCATATTCTTTAGAGCCATAGGCAATCCTTCCCTGTATTGAACTGAATAATTTTTATATTCTATAATTCCATTCTTAGGCCATTATGGTATGTATTGATCTCTATAAGCCTAATTGTTTTGATATCTTTTAACTGCAGCCTCATATCCTTTTTCTGGTTTTACTCTAAAATACAATCAATAAATTAAAATACTTGGTATAAGCAACACATCTTTCGAAAGAAATTAATCCATTCTCCACATGTCCTAAGCATTGGACTGTTCCATTGATATTTTGATCCAAGGTGGATGCATAAGTCATTAATAAACCAGCATATGCAGGATTTTTAGTACTATAGAACATGCAAAATACAATAGCTGTGGTATTGACCATGAAACTCGATAAGCCAAGGACCAATCCAAACCAAGCATTTGCAGCGATCTGTTCTAAGAATATCTTACGATTTAGATCTTGATTGTTTCCGTGTTTATTCATGATCTAGGATTGTCTCTAGAAAGCTCTGATGGTAGTGATTCCCATGATTGATTCTGAGAAATAACTCAAAATTGGACTTTTGCTGATTGCTTCCAGTCTGAAGAGCTCTCTACTTGCAGCCATGTATATTCTCTAAATTTTCCAACATAAGAAAAAGTAGATTACCATGGGGATGGCAACCCAGGGGGAACTGGTATAGATATTTAAGAAAGTGTTGGCTAACAATAGAAATACTTGAACTAACATCCAATTGAATGTCCAGTGGAGTTCTGAATCTAGAACGTTCTAATCCTTTGTCAATCTGTTCATGATTCTACCCAAGGGAACTCTTTCAAAGAATTGACATTGTGGAGCATACATTAAACAACTAACCATTTTGTTATGCATATTGTTGGCCTGATTGCAACTGACGATCACAAAGGCCCATGATCTAAGGAATGCCAAGATTCCATAACTTAAAGAGAGCACTGAATAGATGGTCAAATAGAAGTAGTTATTGGTTTCTTATCCGGTGATAAGATCTTCACTAGCTTATTGAGTCCAATGAGCCATCCATAATGAAGAACCAACATAACACCCATCCCATAAGAGCATCATGAAGATCAAGAAAGCTGCGAAAAGGAAGCCTCCAGTCAATCGAATGTAGGTGGATAAGATTTCAATTGAAATCGAGCCTTTATTCCTATCTTCTAATAACATAAGTTCATCAACTTCATCTTTAGTTTAAGGAGAAATTGGTGTTTCTTTTTAAGAGGATTATTTTTTCTCCAATTTTAATTCTGCAGCCGGAGCTTGTTCTGCTTCATTTGCTTATTCTTAAGATTCCTCATCATTTTTGGCATCCTTGTAAAATTTCTGATAAACCTTCTTGAATTGCTCACTTTATTTGATTTCAGCAAAAGTGCCTTATTCAGCAATAGTACCACTGTCCATCAGATAGACATAGTCAGTGTATTGACAATAGTTGAGAGCATGAGTGACTAAGATTCTCGTCTTCTCTTTCAAATAGCCATTCAAACATTCATAGATGATAAATTTGCCAACATGCACATCAACTGCACTGATGGGATCATCTAATAAATAAATGTCGCAATTGCTATAAATGGCTCTAGCCAAAGAGACTCTTGCTTTTTGACCTCCTGACAAGTTGACTCCTTTTTCTCCAATCATGGTCTGATCTCCTTTGACTAGGATCTTGATGTCCTCTTTCAGACAAGAAAATTTGATGGCCTCATCATACTTGGTTTAATCGAAAGGTAATCCGAACAGAATGTTTTCCTTGACTGTGGCATTTTATATCCAAGCCTTTTAACTCACATACGCAAACGAACCATTTATTTGGATTCTTGGTTTGTCTTCTTTGTAAATCATTTCACCCAACAACGCTTGAATTAATGAGGATTTTCCAGAACCAACATCTCCCACTATTGCCACAAATTGTCCTTTTTCAATTCTGAGATTGATGCCTTTCAATATAGGTTCAGATTCAACTTATGGGAGTGGCTCGACCTTCTTCTATCCTTTGGCAGTAGGAGGTTAAGGAGGTTGTTAAGGTTATTCTTTGTATTTTGACCAGTAGAAGGTTCCTTAGTCTATTCTGATAGCAATATCATTATCAATTTCTGTTCTCATGACTTAGGAGTTCATTTGAGATCTGGAATCATTGACAGTCAATCCTTTTTGGTACATCAAATCTAAATGGGATTGACTAGAATTGGTGATGCAATCACTCATCAATTCATTTGTTAATAGGAAACTCTGCACTCTTTTAAAGGAGATGTTGGCTTCGATCAAAGCATTCAGAGCCATAGGTAAAAATAGAAGGGGTCCTTGAAGACTCTGGAACAAGCTGATGATGGCAAATGTGTTGGCTGGAGTAAGATCATTTCCAATGGCCACATAGATTACAAAGGTGGCATTTAAAATTAACATAGGACTCAACCAAACTGATAAGATATTCAGACAAGATGCGAAGAATCTAGTTTTCAGAGTCTTGATTTCTTGATTTCTGAATTTGGTTAATTTTGATCTGAAATACTCTTCATAAGCATTGACCTTGATGAATTTGATTTATTAAAAGATCTCATTAGCACAATTGGTCCTCTTATCTTTGTCTTTCATCATCAGAATTTGATACTCAAACATCTTCTTGCCTACAAAAATGTTAAAGAATGCAGTCAATAATATCACTCCCAATCCACCCAAGAATGCCACTCCTATAAATTTGAACATCATATAGATAGAAATTCCAATCTGTAAGGGCATCAACATAACTTATGACATGTACCATCCGAACCATTGGAGTTTCATCGCGTCCACTTGCATATAATTCAAGACCTATCCACTTGTGTGTTCTTTGTTGCTCTGATATGAAACATTCATGCTCTTACCCAACAATGCCATCGATAAAATACCCATCCAATCATACCCAACTAATCTCTAAAAATATATATCATGTATCATTACTATCTAATAAAACGAGTGCTGCTGACAGATCACTGATATTATTCTCACGCCTATAATGCTGAAAATCAGAATTATTCCTTGCTAAGTCTCTTTGTCCTCCTCCATCAAATATTGTATAGTCCATTTTATCAATAGAGGATTCAACAAAGAGGTCCCAACAGTAAACAACATCACTATGAATACGAAGATGCATTATCCCAAAGACACGCCAATCAATGACCAAATCAATCCATTCTTCTCGTTTTTTCTCTTTTCAAAGTGCTTCATGAATCTGTAATATAATTGTTCACTCGTGTCCTCAAATCTAAGATCCTCAATCATATCATTTTCCAAAGTCACTTTCGATGCAATCTAATTAAGAATTCAATTTTACATCTATGGTACCATAGACCCAAGCGAAGAACAACTGCGATATCACTCCCGCCCTATTTCGCCTTGATTTCTTGACCAATCTCGTAGCTTCTACCTCCCCTTCATTCAACAGAGGAGCCTTCAAACTTACACTGGATGAGACTTAATTCATATTAGAGAATTTCTTATTTCTTTAAATATAATGTTTCTCAAATTAAAATTTTCTTTTATAATCCCATATTCTGACTATATCTAAAAATATTTCTCCAGAAATTTATGGTCGGTATATATTGTGTGAATCTCCAATTCTCAGCAATCCCCTCCTTCCCATCTCCTCAATCTCTTCCTGAAACACACACACACCACACTTCATCATTCACATCCAACATTTTTGATGGTTAGAAATGACTTACAATATTCAACTTAGTTCAATAACAAATTAAGATTAAACTCAAACATTTATTCTGAGCAAAATAACCATTTGCCACAACATAAAAATTAAAAATATAGACTTTGCACTTTTCTAATTTAATAACATAAATTATTTTCATTTTCCATTTGTTTCACACTGTTTCCAATATTAAAAAATCTCGCACGTAAGGCTATTTAAAGAATTTCTAATTTTAGAAAAAATGAAATAACTTCAATATATATAATTTCAGAGGTAAATGAATTTATAATTTAAAAATTAGATTATTAATGATGAATATTGCTGTTAATAGATGAGGACGATATGTTTGACCTTCGGAATGGGACGAATTATAAATCATGATTTATTAGAATGATCTATTAATATATATATATCCACCTTATTAAAAAATAAATAAATACAAATATGACCTACAATATAAACAAATTAAGCTTTTGTTAAATTATCTGTATTTTTATTAAGTAATTTAAAGAAAAATGAAATAATAAACACTCTGTGCTACAAAAGGTATTGGCCAATTAAAATTAAGAACACAACTTGTTATTATCGTTTCTATACAAGTGGTAATAATTGTGTCCTATGTTCTTGCGCTCAATTTGATTCATCATTCTCTACTCCTTAATTACCTCTCGGAGGTGTCGGATTACCTGTTTGAGCAAAATTCAGATCATTTGCTATCCAACATGATGAGAGAGTACTACGAGCATTTCAATCAGGTCTTCAATTTAAGTAAACACCTTGTTAATATTTTAGATGGCAATGCTTTAGTTTCATTCCACAGATTGTATCATACATCCAAAAATCAGGTGCTACTCCATCCTCTCGACATCAATGAATATTATTAAATGAAATACGGAGGAACAACCAAAATCCCAGACCCACTCAGAATCATTAAGGGATATGGCAATTATGATATTTCCTATTCTTTTATGTGTTATTCTAATCTTTCATCCTACAATCAGCCAAAAACAATTGAAGAAATAGTGGGAATCAAATTACAAGAACAGCTCCAGGCAGCCGCATAAATTTTTTATCAAGGAAACTTAATTAATTAGTCCTTCCTATACTCTTACATCATCAAGGAAAAAATCAACTCCATATACCCGTGTCTAAATAGAGATAAGGCAATTTATCAATACGTTGCCGAAAAGCGCGATTGGTACATCGAATTAAAAAGAAATTATTAAAGTAAATCACTTTATGATCAGTACAACTACACATTCACTCAACCATATTTATGTATCAATTTCCTCACTAAATTGCCATAGTGTACACCGACAAAAAAATTGGGCTTTCCATGGCACTCCCAATTGTGGATCAAGATTTAAACTTAATCGGCGGAGTAGTCTCCAATTTCTTAGGCTCTTAAATAATAGAAATGCTCAAAGTGAACTCCTTCGGGTTTCAAATAATTTATCTTGTATCAGAAAAAGGCGTTATGATAATGCATCCTTACAAAGTGACTGTAGAATAACTGCCTCTTTACATATACAATGAAAGCATCACTGGATTCAATCAGACAGATTGGGAATATATCTTAAATTTGAATAATGATTCTACTTGTCCTTAATTTGATGAAATTTCATCCTTTCTTAGATGCAGATTCAATTCTTATTATAAACAAGAAATGATTATCGGCACAAGGGATTTTCCATAATTTAAGATGAAGCTGATTATGTAACCCAATTGAAAATCATATAACTTTAGGTTACTGAGTAGTTAGGAGTACTTGAAATTTTATGACGATTTCCAATCAACTTTGGAGTAGCAATTGCATTAAACAACTACTAGTCATATAATTTGGGTATTTGCCTTGTTTGTAGCTCTTTGCTTCATGATTGTTGTGGTTACACAAATATTGTTCAACCCAATTGATATAATAAAATAATAAGCCATACATTTAATTATCTAGCAAAGAAAAAAGAGATAGCAAATCTCATAATTTGCAGAGGTTTTAATGAGTGATGAAATATCATCCTTGGTTCAGGCTTATCAGATTGTGATTAATAAGTTGGAGTCATTGTCATTAACAAAAACTAGTCTCTGCAAATAGATTGAAGACATCCAATACCCAACAAAGTAGCTCTCCGTGACTCAGTCGGATATTAGGCAAAACATTTAAGAAACCAAAAAGTTCCAAGCCTTAAAATTTCAATATTTAAAAGATCTTGGTACCAATTAGTAATTTGAACGTTCTGCAATTTCAATTATTAGAACTGTGCTTAAATCAAAAAATACTAAATTCCTTTTATATTGAATCTTAAGAGTATTTTTTAATTAATCTTAAATTGCTAAGATTTCTTTCAATAACCTTAAATTTCTGAGGCTTGTATAAATGAATTTAACATTTCCTGGTAAAAGTAATTATTATCATGCCTAATTAATCTTTTGAGTGAAACGTATTCTGTATTCAATTAAAAGTAATCTAGTTTTATAATATCTGTAATTAACATAAATAATTTTGTTTAATTAGAGAAAATGTTAAAGCACAGAGGATTGTTTACTTTCTGCATGAATAATTTGAAATTGAGAACGTAATTGATAATATTGGTTTCATTAATTATCATTGTGATTGTCTCATATGTTCTTTCAGTAAATCTAATCCATTACTCTTTGTTAAAAAAGTATTTTTCCTTGATTTCAAATAAAATATTCGAAGATAACTCATCCAAAATATCAGAAAAAACAATCAGATCATACGAAGGTTATTTTGATAGGGTCTTTTACTTAAGTAAATGCAAATTTCATATTGTTAGATGGGAATAGCCTCGTTTCCTTCCATCGATTATATCATTTGACTAAAAATCAAGTAAAGAGACACTCTTTAGAATTAAATCCTGAGTATCAAATGCTCTATGGTGGAGTGAACTAAATCCCAGATCCAATAAGGATTATAAAAGGATATGGTAACTCCGACATCTCCTATTCGTGCATGTGCTACTCTAACATCACTGCATTTCAAAATCCGTTGAGTTTGGATGAGATAATCGGCATGAAGATTTAGGAGTAGACACAAGCATATGCATCAATCCTCTATCAGGGGAATATCTTAAGTCAGTCGTTCTTATACTCATACATAATAAAGGAAAAAACAAATGCAGTTTATCCATGTCTAAATAGGGGACAGGGAATCTATAATTATGACCCTGAAAAGAGAGAATGGTTCATTGAGGTTAGACATAACTTTAATAAAAAATAACCATACAATGAATATTCATAGTCATTCACTTAACCTTATTTGTGTAATATCGAAATATATTTATTTTAGTATTTACAGACAAAAAAATTGGATTATCTTTGGTACTCCCAATCGTGGATGAAAATCTAGAATTGATAGGAGGAGTAGGAACAAATTTCTTGGGAGCATAAATAGTTTAAACAATGAAGTCCTAAGAATTTGGGTTTCAAATTATTTATCTAGTATCTGCTTCTGGAATTATGATCATGCATCCCTATTAAGTTAGTGTTGAATAACTTCCTTTATACATTTATAATTAATCCATCACAGGATTTAATGTAAGTGATTGGGAAAAAATGAATACATAATCGGATAACAATTCATCCACTTGCCCATATCTAAACAAACATTCACTAACTTTGAATTGTCTCTATAATAGTCTGTATTAACAAGAAATGATAATAGCTATCTAGGACATTCCTGAATATTCAATGAAGTTAATTATGTAAAATATCGTGCTATCTCTAGGTTATTGAGTAGTCAAGAGTACTATTAGTTTTATCAACATTTCCAAGAAGAACTGGAAGCCAATTTGGTTAATCAACTTTGGCTTCAGATTTCCATTTTACTTGGCTTTTTTTTATTTATTTGCAGTCTCTTATACATATTCACTTATACTTTATTTTATCCAATTCAGTAGATCTAAGCCTTAACGATAAATAGGATATTTTCTAAAAATAAAAAGAAATTGTAGATGCCGTTATATGCCAACAAATTTATGAGCAAACAAATTGCTTTATTGTGTAAATCCTTTTAGTTTGTGTAAGACCAATTAGAATAGTTGTCATTTAATAAAACAAAATCATGCAGAGATCTTGAACACTATTAATATCCTCAAAAAAAGTTTTCTTTAAAAAAGTACATCTAAAAAGAAGACACTCTAAGCAAATATGGAGGTTTTAATAAAGAATAAAACAATGATACTGTTGAAACATTAACTTAAGAAAAAATCATTATGTTTCTCAAAATCTCCTCAAAGTATTCAGGGTGAGCGTTTCCTTAATACTTAATAATGATATTGATATTTATTATAGATATATGTTTTCTTTTCTACATAATATTCTGTGAAATGTGTAAAAAATCACATTTATTTTTTTGTCTTAAGAATATATTCTTCAATTTTACAACTTATTTCTAAGATATTTTTCGGATCTCTCACTTTTTTAATGGAAAGAGAGAAACATTTTTAAAATAGACTTATAGAATTAATTTATACAATAATGCAATTTTTATGTTTTAAAACTCAATAATATGAGTTTTGATTGAATTATTATTATTATTACTATAAGAATTCGTTTCTCTTGCCCTCTAAGTATTTGATTGCCTCATCACGGGTATAAGTTTGCTTAGGTATAATCATGATCTTATTTTCCTTAAAAAATTCAAGTTGCTTGTATTTTTCCTCCATTAAGTATAATTCTTACATATAGACCAAAAATCTATAATTAATTAATGATATTACAATAAAAGCTAGTCTTCCATTAGCGATAGCTCTTAGAACATTAATTCTAAAATTCTTTTTTATAAGTAGGAGTTATAGAATTTGCGAATAAATTCCCAATACTTATAATAATTTACGAAATTCTATTAATTTAAAAGAAGATCCCTCATCTCGCATAATGTTTGAAATCTAATTTTTTATTCATTAATTTTTGAGATCGTTTATGATGCAACCTATAATTAATAATATTTATTTACTTTCGTCCATCCATCAGACAATTGTGCATAGAGTTATTAACAATATTCAGCAATTCTGACATCATCCTCTGTTTTGAATTATTAAAACTCTCTTAATGCCTAAAGATTCTGATGTTCAATATCTTTCTATTCCTTAATATGTTCACTTATTTTATTATAATCTCCTTAGTGAATGGCATCAATATTTTTTAGCAGATTGCAATAGTAACCTTGAATAGAGCTTAAGAGTAGAAAATATTCAAGAATAGGAATTTAAAATTAAGCTTTCCTATTATAAATTATTAAAATACAAGATAAGGCCCTGAAAAGTGACCAAAGCATTATCGATGATGATTGCTTTACAATACTATAATCTAAGAAACTAACTTAATGGACTTCTTTTTCTTTCCTAGTTTGATTAGGGAATTAGGGAATTCAATTTAATACTACTATTCGCTTAATGCTAGTATAATTTTGTTGCCTCTTCTCTTTATTTTGCTTCTTTTATTAATTTATTTTAATATTTTTTCTCCAAATCTATTCTAGTATTAGTCATTTATTCATCAACATATTTGGATCTGAACTATTCGTAAACCACTTCTTTTCGAATTCTTTCGAATAATTATTCCCATGAAATTCTTTGATTTTCATCATGAACTAACATGTTTTCTATCAATAATTAAATTTCATCCTTCTCCCTCTGAGTGCCTTCACATGGAATCGGTAAATTGTTCAAAGTGTACCTCTATTTTTGAAGACCTAATATAAATCTTTATAATTCTTGCATGACAGGTCTAAAAGGAAATTCCAAGTAAGTTAAATGATATATGACCATACCAAATGAATAAATATCTGTTTAAGATGAAAATGGTTGTAATGATAATATCTAAGGTGAACTATAAATAGGAGATCCAATTTTTGTATAATCTCCTTTGGCCTTAACGTCTTCCAATATTCTACCAGCCCCCAAATCTCCAATCTAATTCTATTATATATTACTTACTTTATATTATAAATTTTAATCTACAAAGATATTTTGGGGTTTGATATCTCTGTGCATGATTTTGTTATCATACAATATTTAATATCCATCAATAAATTGATAAACGAAATCAAGAATCTGAATAGCTTTTAATTTTTGATTCATTTTCTTTTTTTCCTCTATTATATTCTTGAGTTCACCTCCTTAACATCGTTCCATAATGATAAAAAACTTATTTTAGGCTTCAAAAATATCATAAACAATAATCAAATGAGGATTCTTAATTTATTTAATCTTTTTTAAAATCTGTATTTCTTTCATCATTGACTCGTCTATGTTGGTGTTATTAGGCACAATCTAACATAATAAATTTAAATTCTACTTTGGCACAAAGTTGGATATCTTTATATTTAAACTTGTGGTAACACTCAACTACTATGCCAAATTAACCCTTTCCAATAATTTTTTCCGGCATGATAACGTAATCATAGAAGCAATAATAATCCATTTTCTATTATTTTATTTAATATTAGTATATTATTTGATGATAAAAAATCAATGTAAATTCTAAGTTTCGTTTAAATTATATATCATCTACAACACCCACATATGTACTCTTTTTGATCATAATCTGATTTAGTAACCCCAACGCAGTTCATATGGTACCATTTCTGGCATTTGTCGCACTATATAGTTATGAGTTAATACTTGGATAGAAGGCAAATCCGGATTCAAGGGTTATTTGCAAGTGCAATGGTTTGTCAATTTTGAATAACCTTCGAATCTATTTTTGCTTGGTATCCAACCTAATCTTGTGAAGAAAGTGCACTTATCCAAAGTCTATGCACTTTCGTACTCTTCTAAAGAGTAAATAATGCAAGGAGATTAAATCGCTGAGGCCAAAATATAGTCTGTACATGAAGTACTAAAAACCTCACTGTTGGAAATCCAAACCTTAGCTGAAGGTCGAAATTTAATCACCTCACTTTTGCGATAAAACCTATTATTCACTATCTTGGTTACCATCTGACTTCACAAAGACAAATGAATTTTGATGAGTTATTTTCATTTATTGTGATTATCTTCTATATTTTTCCAACATAATCCTCAGACGGATTATTGGCATTTTTAATTAATGCATTTTGTCCTACTTTCAAAGTTTGTGAATTCACCTTAATCTCATCATACTCATGAATGATAGTATTTGAAGAATCTTTCTCAGCCCAATTTACAATCTCCTTGAACTGTTACTTTTTAAACATCTCTCGTATTTTAGAAGACGTCGTAACCCCACCCTGATGCTTAGATTTCTAGATTTTCTTTCTGAGTTTGTCAGCTGAATCTTCAGAGTCTCCTGATTTATTACAGTATTTATCTTTAGACTCAGTCATTTTATAATAAAAATATTTATAATATTTCAATTGCATTTTGCAATAATAATAAACTCCTTAATCTCTACATAAATAAATTATCTCTACCTCATTTACAACTAGAACACCTTACTTAACTCAATCTCAGAATTAAGCCATGTACCTAACCTAGGATCAATGTTGCTGGTAATAGATCTTACAAGGCTCTTTTTCAATAATTACTGTCTAATAACTTATCATCCTTCTTCCATAAAGCACTACCATTCATTCCTACAATAAAATATCTATTTAATTATATTTAACTGAGAGTAGTAAATTAAGAATGATCTTTCTATTGATTGATCCTATAAAATCCTAGTCCAAATTCATATTGTCTATTATATTTTTTCATAGATTCTGTCTTTGATTTGATTTAAATCTAAATCCATCTCATATAATTTTGATTTGATGGCTTTTCAAACCACACCCATATTTTTATTCTGATAAATTGAGTGTAATTCTAAAAATATGTGATTTCTTCAATATTCTATTAATTATAAAGGAGGCACATTACATTCCATCTAAATTATTGTGAACAAGAATATTAACATCTTTATTAAAATGTTTATCACCTATATAAAACAATAGTCTTAGATATTAATTTTATAAATTAAAAGTTAATGTATTTATATACTATGATTATTTTTATACATTTAGTCTTTGAGTGAGTGAGTACTACGGATATGCATGCTATTCATATCGCATAATACTCATAAATTATACAACCATTATCACCAATATCATTGATATTTTTATACAGAATAATAATTATTTAGTATTAAGTGTTAAGTATTCTTCTATCGTCAAGATTGTTAAGAAAAACTTGATTTTCAGTTTCCCTTAGCGAACCTTCTGCCCATTACATAAATATAAATCAAAGAATAGTATAATTGTTAATGAATAGCTTGATATATATTTATCACTTATTATATAATAATTCTTTGAAACCCTGATATATTTATTATTTTTAGTATATTAATAATAATAATGGATCCTATAAAATTCTAGAATTTTAGACAATAATTGCCAATTCTTCTTCAAACTTGTGAGGAGATTAGTGAAGTATTTGGGTTTACTCTAAGTGAATCACTAATACTATTACATTATTATAAATGGAATGATTATGCATTAAATGAAGTCTTAGCAAGTCAAGAAGATTATGATCAGATATTAATTAAAAGTGGGGCTAAGTCGGCTATTCAGTATAATTCAGAGAGGATTTGTCCTATTTGTTACTCCAATTAATCAGAAATCAATTTAAGTTGTGGTCATTCTGCTTGCAGATCCTGCTTTGAATTATACTTAGGAGAAAAGTTAAAGATGAGTTCATTTATCAATTGCTTCTTTTTAGGTTGCGCCTTAAAAATACCATATTCTTTTTTTGAAGAACACAAGGTCTATTAATAAAGCTATCTATTGAGGCTGAGCAAAGATTTTAGAACCACTTTTAAATGCTGTAATAATTAAGATTGTGAATATTACATTCAAAATCAACCCTTGAATAATATTGTACAATGTTTGTGTGGGACTGTATTTTGTTTGAAATGTGAGTAAGGAGATCACCGACTTTTGAAGTGTTAGCAATGTGTTGAATGGGTCAAACTATACGAAGGATCCGTCAACATTCTAAATTTCATTAATCAAGGCAAATTCTGTCCGAAGTGTAATCAGTTCATCGAAAAGAATTTAGGATGCAATCATATGACTTGCAGAAAACCCTTAGGATGCGGATATGATTTTTGTTGGATATGCATGGATGCTTGGTCCTTACATTCCAAGGAAACTGGAGGCTATTACAAATGCAATAAGTATAATGATGAATAGATTGAAGAGAAGAATAAGTTGAAAGTAGATAAATCAGAAGAAAAACGATTAATATTCTATGCTATAAGATATGCTGGACATGAGAAGGGATAATAAATTGCATTAAAAAAGAAAAGAAGATTTTTAGACATGGTTCAAAAGTAGCAAGTGATCGACTCATTTAAAGTGCTTTTAAGGGATAGCTATAATTATATTATATAGGCAAGGATATCTTTAAAATGGACCTATGTCTATGCATATTTCTAAAAGAAGTAGATGCCTATGTTCGAATTTGGACAAGCAGATTTTGAGAGATACTGTGAAATATTGCATGACTTGCTTGAAAACGAGATTTACATAAAAATGAAATAAAAATAATCAATAGAATAATATCACTAAAAATTACTAAATAATTTCAATTTAGCAAAACAAGTATAAATATATTTATAATAATAATTAGTTTTAAACTCGATTTCTGTCTGAATTTTCAAACCAAAAATGAAATAATCAAAATATATCTTTAAATATCATTACCGATCTCATTTATTACTTTTTTCTTTATAACTGATTAAAATTTTCAAATATTTTATTTTAATCCTACAATCAAATACCTGGTAATGAGTATAAGTTAGAGAAATATAAATTATAGTAAGGGTATACTTTTGATTAGAAAGGAACTTTATCATAAATTGATATACAAACTTTATTTTTGAGGAGAGATTAATATATTACAATACTCTTGAGTAAAAGATTTAAATTCTTTAAAATGTTATTTATAATTAAATGATCATTTGAATGTTATTGCTTCTCTACATATCTCTTCTAAACCTTTAAAATAAATGAATTGTTATGATACTTAATATTTTCCATAATCATAAAATTAAAATAATAATTTTGTATTAGCCTTCACAAATTAATATCTTCTATATTTAGACAGAAAGCTTTCAATCTTTTGATCTTTATATATTTAAAGATTTTGTAGACAGGATATAATAATTCTAAAATTTCTTATTATTCAATAATTAAGCTAAGACTGAATAAATTGATAATGATTATTTATAGAAGCCTAAAAATGAAAAATATCGAACATCATTTACACGCAATATTTTTGATTACATATTTATATGCGTAATTGAAATTTTTAGATCTTAATACTAATTATTAGATTAAAATCAAATTCTGATCTGAAGTTGGAAGTTCAAAGATAATTAGTTATTTAAGAAAAATTATTTATTTTTATAATGAGGCTACAGAGAAATCACTAAGGAGCCATAAACCTGTTAAAAACGAAAATAGAATCTTATGAGCACCGACACAAATAACACATACTTTGTTAATTATTCCCAGACACTCCAATGTGATTAATTTTGACTAATTTAATAGAAAATGGATAAAACCCCACTTAGATAAAGTAATTTTCACATCTTATCATTTGAATTAAACTCTATTTTGTAAGAATCAAAAACCCACTCATGTTTATTTTATTATAGAAGGTGAAGTAAGATTGGAAGAAACATAAATCGAACGGAGAAAACCTTAAAATGCCATGTTTGCTTCGACTTGCATGGCAAAGAGTAGAACTCTGCTTATCATGTCAGCCGGCTCTTTAGTAGGGGTATGATTATCATGTAATTTTAGGAAATTGAAGCATTGCACGAAAAGCCTTATTAAACAACAGCTAAAAGCAATGTTCATTACAGTAAAATACTTTTAATCCCAGAGGAAATCTACATAGATTTAAAAAAACAAGATGAATTGTATTAAAGCACTGAAACACAGCATTTAAAGGATCAACTCATCTTGAAGAAGATAAACTAGCTAAAGAGTCGCTTAGAATTGTAAGAGGTGTCTCCAGAAAGAGATTCATCCCCTTAGACGAAGATTAGCAGAGAAGATTTCATAGTCTAACAAAATAAAAGAATATAGAGGAAACAAAATTTTGAATTCATAAATCTAACACCTGAAGCTCCATTGTTTTCTGTTAAAAAATTGAAACGAGTAGCTGCTCCTGATGATAAGCCAGAAAATAGAGCAAGATCTATATCAGCTCCTACTAAGGCTAAGATGCTTACTACAATGAAGAGCATCGAAAAAATATCAAAACCTGAAGAGATTACTCGATCTCGGGCAAATACCATAAATTTTGGAGAAAAATGTAGACCTGCTTCTCGAATCTTTTGGTAATAAATATTTCAGAAACTTTGATTTTATATTTATATAAATTTTATGTTTAATTTGGACGATTTATTGGCAGAAGATGAAAATGATGTGAATGATGCATCTAATTTAGAGATTGATGACATTCTAAATGAAAGTGATAATTCTGTCAAGGAATTGGATATTGAAAAAGTAAGAATATGTTTGAAAATTCAAGGCAAATTAAATTTTAAGCGAGAAAAAACAAAAATTAAAGGTGCAAACGAAATACGAATAAAAAGAATATGAAGATTTAATAAAAAAATACATTGAGCATGATTTCGAACAATAAACAGAAGAGTTTAAAATTGAAATATCCTCATCTAATGAAGAAGAAATTGAACCACAATCTTTAATCGATTAAATTGACAAGTAAGAAAGAATAATCAAGGAAACCTCTCTATAGAATGTAGAATTGATCAACAATAATGTTGAAATAGAAAATACAGAGATTCACGATTTATAATTAATTTCAAATCAATTGAAGAAATTATCAGGCCAACCGTGTATCATTACTTTCTAATTCAATATCTTATCAATAGGAACATCAGTTGGCGAAATACTGCTTTATTCTGCAGCTAATAATGATTTTAATGGTATTTATATTAACTAAGCGCAGTTCTGAAATACAATTCTAAAGTGAGTGCAATTGATAATACTTAAGCATTTTTAGTAGCTAGCTATGAAGATTGTGCAATCATTTTATGGGATCCCAATACAAAGGCTCAATTGAAAAATATTAAACATTAAGAACCTCTCTTATCGTTGAAATTCTTTAATGAAACTTAATTCATAATTTCTGATTATTTGGGTCAAACATCTATGTGTAAAATAACCAAAATGTTGTGGGCATATTAAGTTGAGATAGACAAATTATTGCCAAGGTATCAATTCATAAAATTCATTTAGACAAATCCATCCATTCTATCAAATTTCTATTTGGAAACAAGAATATATAGCTTTTTCATGTTTAGAGTAAGTCATAGTTTTGAAAATTGATTAGTAGTAAACATAAATTATTAAGCGAATCAAGAGATAAGTAGATGGTTATACATACCCTTGTACAAGTTGGGGATAATTTACCAATACTGAAGAATACACTGAAATGATTGAGATTGCATTAGCAGTATCGTGGGGAACACATATAGAAATATACGTTGTTGAAAAACAATAGCTGATTTAAAAATATTCCTTTATTTTAAACACTATTATTTCCTGTAATTGGTTATCAAGAGATATGCTAATAGTTTTTACAAGAGAATTTTAAATTGTTACTTTAAATGCATAGTTTTTTAATAAAGATATAATTACTGAAGAGTCTAGAAATACTTTAAGAAAATAAATGAACTATTTATCCAATAAAACTGAGAAAGCAATTTAATCAATGACACCTTTGGGAGATGTAATTAACTTTCCATTGTAAATTAATAATGGCTAATAAATGGTATCGGTGTATATGAATTGCATATCTGCGAATGCTAGATTCGTCTATCTTTTAACACTCCCAATAATCAAAAGAGTTAAACTACTGATCTGGTCAGATTATTTAAAAGTGATGATAGAAAAAGCAGAAACAAAATAGAATTGGTATGATATTTTATCTTTCGGAATTAAATTGTATTGGAATCAAGTTCATTGTTTTGCCATCCCTCAGACTAGCTATGATTAAAGAGTTGTATTTTCAGATATTTCAAAAGACATATGCAGTACATTTATAAATCTAGTGGGACAAAGTATTGAATCCTAAAAGGTCTCAGAGTAATTGAAATATGAATAATGGACTTAAACCATATATTCGGCTATTTAATATTGTATACATTGCAATCAATAGTAATATCTCTTCACAGGTTTGAAGACTCTTTTGATAAAGTTTCATCGTTATACATAATTATTAGCTTCATTAGAAGAGTTTATTTTAAATAAATAGATTAAATAGATACCTACAGATTTGCTTCTTTAGATATCTACTCACTACAAGGTGTTAAATAAATCAGATATTGTAGAATAATTGATATTGTCATTAGATCCAAAATGTTTGGATATGACAACCATTTTTCAAATTTGTCAGGAAAATGATTTGTATACTCCATTAATGGTAGTCTGTCCTCGTATTGATCATGATTATATTACACCATTATAAAAGATGTACTCTAACTTTTTGAAAACCCAGAATTAAAATATGCTACTAAAATCGTTGTGGTTTATTAAATTGACTTTTCAATAGATTTTATTCCCAAATGAAAGGATTCCTTAAGATAGATTTCAACATGCTTTTGGATAAGTGATTATGTGGTTGTTGATTGAAGATATTTTGAGGAACTTTGGAATTCATCTGCCAAAGGAGCTTTTCGAAATTCTAAAATCTGCTATGAATTATGCTTCTTTATTTAACTCAGAATAGTTACAAAAGTATTTTAATAATCAGAAACCAATTTTGGTTGCTTATATACATAAAATTTATAAAAGCTTGTCTTAATCAATTGTCACTCATGAGGCATTAGGAATTGAATTTAGTAAGTTCATAGGTTCAATAAAAGGGTTGGTTCTTGATGAAGAAGTTTATATAAAATCATTAAAACATCTAGTATCAGATAGAAAGAATTTCTAATTAATATTAAATATTTTGGAACAAATTGAGTTGAAACCACTTCTAAAGAATGAACTTTTTGAATAATCGAATGATAACTACATTAAATCTCTTTTTGCCTCAGATATCTATAAGCAAATAGACCTTTGCTTGATAAAAGTAAACAAGAAGTTTTTTTCTCTTTAGTTGTAAAGATAACTCAATTAAAAAAGAGAATAAACTTTGAAGGTTTTAGAGTTATACTTTGATACCCTACTGGAAAATCATTAAACTTTGCAGATCTTAAAATAGATAGTTCCAACATTAACATCCTAAGAACAGTATAAGTTGATGAAAAGAGAATAAATTACTAATGGATATATGGAATTATTTCAATCTTTGGGTCCTTAGAATAAGGATTTACGAGCTTTGTTTATTAGAGCTAGTTGCATTCATACTCCCCATCATGTATTGGATAAAATTCATCATTTCGCTTTAGATGACTTAGAGACAATATTTATAGAAACTAAACATAAAGAAGGATTAGGATACATATATGCAAGAGTTGGTAAGTTCAATATTGCTATGAAATTTTTTGTTTAAAACTTGCTTGATTATTTATAAGAATGCTTTACATAGTAATCCTTTTCAAATGAGATTTTAAACTTAAAATTTGATTTATTGTTCTAAACTTGCAAAGACAATTTATCTCATAATGACCAAAATCTATTCTTGGAACTGGGTCATCAACTTTTTAATTCCGAAACTCATTCTCAGATTTGGGTTTTATCTGAATAAATAAATTAAAACAATTATTAAAATATGATACCAATTTTACAGGTCATCAATTCAAGACTGTGTGAATATTACAATTTTTTGAGTATTGAAGATTTGATTAATTTGATGGAAGAACAAATAGATATCTTCAGAATGGTGTGGATTAAATGGAGTTTCAAGAACCTGATTTATGATTAAAGAGTGTAGTATAGAATCTGGTACAAAAGCTATTTTATTGAATTGTAAACCTACTTAGGATTCAAGTTTTAAATATTTCATTAAGATGTACATTTTAATATTGTTCTAGGCCAGTAGTCCTGAAATTCAGAATGTATGTAGTAATTGTAATGAATATATTACAGATGAATAACCGTAGCATGTGTTAATTAGAAAGTGTTCTCATTCAACACATCAGAATTGTTTATAATAGCCATTCTGCCATATTTGCAATCCAAAAGTCAAAATGCAATTAGAGAGTGTATTAGCCAATAGAAATATGAGTGATGGAGTTGATATGAAGAGAAGATAAATTTTGATTAAGGAAAACGAAATTATGAAAGTAAAAAATTATTGATTAATATAAAAATAGAATCATCGCAAATTGGAAGAATACATGGATGATTTGTAATTAACAGCAGAGGATATTCGAATTCAGGAGGAAGATCGAATAATCCATAATTTAGAACTTTTTGATAAATTTTTTAATTTATGAGTTAGAATACACAATACTGATCATTTTGATACTTCTAAGAGTTTCTTCTACTCTTCTTGACTTAACATTCCAAAAATTGCTTAAACATTTTGTCCTTGGGATTATTCAAATATTTTCAAGGCACTTGAAATCTTTAAATCAATAGCTTCACTAGATCTCTTTGTCTTGTAAGAATTAGCAAATACTTTGAGAATCTAAAAATATTAATTTAGTAGAGTACTTATAAAGCATTTTCTGGTTTTCCATTTATCAATTGATTGCAATCTGCAATGACAAAGTCTGCCAATTATTCGTGTTGAAGACGAGCTTCTGGTTTATCATATTTGAGAGGTAACAAATGTAACCAAGTTTGAATTCCTTAGGCAAGATCACCTCCTAAAGATTTTGATTAGTATTTTATGATTTTTCCTAAGGCTGCAATTGAATTGTCTCTGGCGTGTCCATGTTATTTTTCTGTGTCGTCTTGATTCTTGTCAACCTTTAAGGAATCAACTAAAGCCTTAGATAACATTGGAGCAACATTAATGTACAATTACTATAAATATATTTAAATTCAATACCTCTGGTGTATTAAGGGCCATTATACCAATTCCATAAACTGCAGCTTATCTTACAAAGCACACTTTATCAACGGCATAGACTGTCAAAGCTTAAGCGAAATCGTTGAGTTTGCCTTAAACATATGGGTATCCCAAATATTCAACCATGTCATCAATAAGGAAAATACCAAATTGGTGCATTTTTGGAGATTAGGTTGGGTCTAAGACCTTGGGTAAAATTTAATTGCAAATGACTTCATAGAGTGGTTATACTTAATCTTTGTGAGTCTTGAAGATGGATCCAATACATTCAGCAATTTTAACATGAAGTTCTTCTTCAGTTTCGGTTTCTTCCTTTATAACAGTCTTTTCATCTTCATCCACATCTTCTTCCTTTGACATTTTTTCATTCTCAGCCTTTCTCTTGTCTGATTCCAACAACAATTTAAAGACTTTGTCTGAAAGTTAAGTAACTTCCTCAGTTGTCATGAATGGTTATCCAACGATGTCAATAATTTCTTTGATGCAATCGACTTATTCAATAATGACCATGGGATCGAATTCTTTTTGAGCAGCTTCTAAGATGATTCCTAAGAAGTATTTAGCTCCATTAACCAATTGTTATACATTATTTGTAGCCTTAACATTTTCAATAAGACTGACTAAGCATTTGCATGCAGCACTTCTAATGTTTTCATCGGTATTGAAATTGCAAAGAGGTACAATCAATTAGGTGCATGAATCAAAGTAAGGGAAGAATGATTCTTTCAACTCTTCAATGAATACTGATAACATATGAATGGCCACTTCAGCTTCCTCGTTATCATAAGTATGGAATTCTTCATCTCCAGTTCCTGTATGTACTTTGAACACTTATTAAACTAATTGGAATAATGATGGGATGATTTCTGGTAGGTATACGGCAATTTATTATGGACATACCAAGGCTAATCTTTACCATCCAGAGAGTACATAAGATTTTTGAGGATCAACAGCTTCAAGTTGACTAGTTTGGACTTGAATTAAAATTCTAACTGTTTCAGCTAAAAATGGTTAAAATGCAAGTTAGCCAACAGCTGAAGCTATTAATGTGATAGTTTCAATAGTTTATCCTTTCAATTATCTATATTCTTTATTCTAATGATTCTAGAAGACTTGGAATAATAATGGTACAATTTCATTAACATAAGGAAGGAATTGTTATTTACTAGATTCTGCTGTAGCTGCCAAGGCACTCATTGCATTTTCTTTTACAATTGAAATTCCATTATTCAAATATTAGATTGTTAATTAGATAAGATTTTGTAAATATGATTCAATTCCTTTTTCAGTTCCTTCAACAAAATTAGTTAAAGCAGCTAATATGTGAGATGTAACTCTGGGAACATCTTCAACTTATAATCTGGTTAGGAATTATGGTACTATCAAATGTAAATAGTTTTCTTGGAATTTTGGTTTCATATCATCAGCAATTTGACCTATGGCATGACAAACTGCATATCTAATCATAGGATTTGAGTCACTCAACATTGGAGATACCAATTCAATTATGGGTTTCACTTCTGCTACTTCCTCTATATATTCACCAACTTATGATAATGCCAAAATTGCAGCATATTTATATCTCCAATCTTGATGTTGTAATAATTAATTAACTATTGGACTTAATACTGGTAACATTTCCTTATCACCAATTGATTCAATCAATCTATCAATTGAAGACATACCAAATCTTGTTGTTTCGCAATCTTCATCTTATTATATATCATCATTAAATCCTTCAGCTGGTTTCATCCATTCTTCAGATACTGTCTGACTAATTTGGATCATGTGGAAGAAAATCATTTCTACCAATTGACTCAAGTATTATTTATCTTATTTAAAGACTCTTGGGAATTTTTCAGCTAAACTTATTAAAGTTTCTGTTCCGATTCTCTTCAATCCTTATTCAATTTAAGATTCTCTGAAAATAGCTGCAATTCCATTGAAAAATACGTTGATTTGTTTTCTAAAGAACTTTGGTTCAGCATCAATTATATCAGAGAAGGTTTCCATAATTTCCTCACCTAAAGTTTGATCCTATACTGTAACAGCCAAAGCAGATTACATAAGGTTTGGAATGAGATCTTAGAATGCTCTGTATTATTTGGGTTCAGATGTTGTTACATAATTACCAATTGATTAGATTGTTGCTGTTTTAATCTTTTAATCTGGACTAGCAAGTCCTTGGATGAATAGAGTGTGAAGATCGGCTTAATGTTTATTGAATAGATCTATAGCATATGTGAAAAGATTGGCCAATATCTTAAATCCACATTCAATCAAGTCATTTTTTGGAGACAAGAACAATTACCATAATGTTTATAAGAGATTAGGCCATGAATTTTTTGTTTCATCTTCGAAGAGTGATCCTCCAAGTTCTCCTATAGTATCACACAATTAACTTCTCACATTAGAACTAGTTTCAAGTTCCAACAATTAGAAGAGAGACACCTTAACAATTTCCTAAGTCTCTGGAGTGAGAAGGCTCCATACATTTTTATGACTCTTGGGTGAATAATTACTCAGTGAGTTTCTCAAATACACTGGAGCAAATTATCTGATTTTTAATTCTTCATGTCTGCATAGATGGAGCATTGATGTGACAAATTCACTTGGCTAAGAATCTCTATATTAGGCTAGTAACTCCTCTGCCTTTTATCTGGTGGCATTATCTGGTGAGAACACACCATGGATCACATTAAGAAGCTATTCTTATAAACTCATTGTTTTTTTATCACAAATTTTGTATTTTTAAATATTAAAATCATCAAAATTATTTAAACATATAAATCTCGATTATTCGAATTTTCAAATATACTTAAATTCCCTCTCATTTCCAATCAATTACTAATTCCTATAGTTCTTCANCTACTTCCTCTATATATTCACCAACTTATGATAATGCCAAAATTGCAGCATATTTATATCTCCAATCTTGATGTTGTAATAATTAATTAACTATTGGACTTAATACTGGTAACATTTCCTTATCACCAATTGATTCAATCAATCTATCAATTGAAGACATACCAAATCTTGTTGTTTCGCAATCTTCATCTTATTATATATCATCATTAAATCCTTCAGCTGGTTTCATCCATTCTTCAGATACTGTCTGACTAATTTGGATCATGTGGAAGAAAATCATTTCTACCAATTGACTCAAGTATTATTTATCTTATTTAAAGACTCTTGGGAATTTTTCAGCTAAACTTATTAAAGTTTCTGTTCCGATTCTCTTCAATCCTTATTCAATTTAAGATTCTCTGAAAATAGCTGCAATTCCATTGAAAAATACGTTGATTTGTTTTCTAAAGAACTTTGGTTCAGCATCAATTATATCAGAGAAGGTTTCCATAATTTCCTCACCTAAAGTTTGATCCTATACTGTAACAGCCAAAGCAGATTACATAAGGTTTGGAATGAGATCTTAGAATGCTCTGTATTATTTGGGTTCAGATGTTGTTACATAATTACCAATTGATTAGATTGTTGCTGTTTTAATCTTTTAATCTGGACTAGCAAGTCCTTGGATGAATAGAGTGTGAAGATCGGCTTAATGTTTATTGAATAGATCTATAGCATATGTGAAAAGATTGGCCAATATCTTAAATCCACATTCAATCAAGTCATTTTTTGGAGACAAGAACAATTACCATAATGTTTATAAGAGATTAGGCCATGAATTTTTTGTTTCATCTTCGAAGAGTGATCCTCCAAGTTCTCCTATAGTATCACACAATTAACTTCTCACATTAGAACTAGTTTCAAGTTCCAACAATTAGAAGAGAGACACCTTAACAATTTCCTAAGTCTCTGGAGTGAGAAGGCTCCATACATTTTTATGACTCTTGGGTGAATAATTACTCAGTGAGTTTCTCAAATACACTGGAGCAAATTATCTGATTTTTAATTCTTCATGTCTGCATAGATGGAGCATTGATGTGACAAATTCACTTGGCTAAGAATCTCTATATTAGGCTAGTAACTCCTCTGCCTTTTATCTGGTGGCATTATCTGGTGAGAACACACCATGGATCACATTAAGAAGCTATTCTTATAAACTCATTGTTTTTTTATCACAAATTTTGTATTTTTAAATATTAAAATCATCAAAATTATTTAAACATATAAATCTCGATTATTCGAATTTTCAAATATACTTAAATTCCCTCTCATTTCCAATCAATTACTAATTCCTATAGTTCTTCATTTACAGGATCAATTATGATTTATTTTTACATATCACCAATTGATTTCATAATTAAACATCCTTAAATTTAGGAATTTATTATAAGGGATAATTAAAATAATGATTTATTTAATAATTCTAGTTAAATGAAAGGCATTCATCCAAATCAACAGTATTCTCTTTTGAATCAATCATGAGATTGATTCTAAATATTCAATTTAATTCACTAATATTTCATTCCTATGTACCTTTATTGCTATATTGAATTTTTTTTTAAAGCAATTTCCACAGCTTATCAATAAATAAATTTGAAAATATATAGAATTATTTCATATGTTCCAAATAGAATATATAAGCTCTGTTTGTATTAAGAAACCCTACTGAGATTATTATATAATGATAACTAAGATTCTTTTACAATCTGACGATGGCAAGTTAAATTAATGATTATTTTCTAAAGAATAATGAAACAACACCTAAAAAGGATAGTTGTCTTATTCAAATAATTAATGGAAAGTCAAATTTATACTTGAAATATCGAATTAATAATAAAGTAAAGAAATAACAAAAACGATTATCAAAAACGAAGGGTTAGCAATCAATGAGCAACTCATCATATATATTTTATCGTAAATCTCTTACTTCAAAATTTTATCAATAATTTGCTCTTAAAATCTGTAACTATTGAAACAAAAGCTGTGAAATAGCAACACTAAATGCTTTCGAAATATAGAGAATACTTGAAATTATTGAATAGAGAATATTAAGATCATTCATTTAGTTATTTTTGGTTTACATTGATATTAGATAGTTATATATTATCCTATTTCTAAATTAATTAGCTTTGATATAGGATTACTTCGATTATATTAATTAAATTTAGAGAATAAATTTATGTTATTGTTCAATCAATTATATGATTTCTTATAAAAATCTGATTTTTAATATGATTTTCTTTTTTCTTAGAATTACAAATTAATGTTATCTAAAATCTTTTCCTAATGCCTCTATTCTTTGAATAAAGTAATTTACTAACAATTATTTTGTAGGTATAAAATTCAAGCAAAATATTCATTAATATTTCTCAATTTATAATAATAATTTTTAAGTATAATCAAAATGATGGAAGAAATGGAATATCTACGACTGCCACCAATTTTGGCAAAATAAGTCTAACATCCTGGTAATTATAAAATAAATAGTAGAGGAATATATACGAAAAAATGATCCTAAAGAGCCTGTTAGAAGGATTTTTAAAAATGTTCCGATATCTCAAGACGAACGCAAGCTATTGCAATAGCTTAAAGATAATCTTGCAGCTTATAAAATTGAAATAAATCCTGAGTATAATGATTTATGAACTAGCTCATAAACAGACGAAGTGCTTTTACGTTATCTATACGCTAATAATTTCAATATTGAAAATACTAAAGACATGCTAAGAAGTCATTTAAGTTGGTTACGAGAACCAAAAAATTATGAATTTGATTAAGATGTTCTAGATATTTATGTAATTTCATGTATATAATAGAATAAAGGTATTGTCTACATTCTAGGAAGAGATAAATAATATAGACCTACGTTGATTATTAATTGTGATTAAATCACAACTGTTAATGTGGAACTCTTAAAACGGGCTCTTAGCATTTTATGTATAATAATGGAAGATTATTGCTTTTTTGATGGTAAAATTGAAAATTGGAATATTATTATCGATCTTAAGGAGAAATGTGTTTTAAATGTTAAATTATAAGAGTATTATTCTTTATTTTAATTAATGTATTAAAATTTTCCATGCACTGTAGATAAAATATTTATTTTACACCCTTCCTTAAGTATATAATTGGGATGGGCTGAATTTTTAGAGCACGTTTTTAACAAAAAGAAGATAATAATTGTATCTGACATTAATTAATTTAAAAAATATTATGAACCTACATAATTAGAAAGGAAATATGGAGGAAGAATAGAAGTAAAAAAGTATTTTCCACCTTTAAATACCATACCTGAAGGAAAATAATTAACTGAACCTTTAAAGCTTTTAGAATCTATGAATTAATAACAATAACAATAGATTTAAATATAGACTAAACAAAGCATTTAAGCTTAAAACACTTTCTAAGAAACTGTGACAAAATAAGTATAACCTACAGAGACCCTTAAAATGACAAAATCAAAAATTGAGAGAGATTTCTCTGTTTACCCATAACAAGAAGTTAATGACTTTAAAGTTTATAGACCAACAGAAATTTCAAAAGAACCTATAAAAAACATTTCTAAATATAATCGACTAACTTAAGCAGAAATAATGAAAAAAGAGTATGAATTTCAAGTACAATAAACCATTCTGTAACAGAAATAGGCAGAAGTAATGAAAAGTTATAAATATAAACAAAGCTAGATGATTTTTGAAGGAAATGAATAAGATGAAATCTTAAGTGAGTAAATTCGAACTTAAACTGTTAAGCCTTAATCTGTTTAAGGTCAACCCCAAAATGCAAAAGGAAGATTAACAGCTGAATAAGCAGAAGAAGATAATGCTGCTTGCATAATATTTTGAAATTAGTATAATTTTATTCATAGATATAAGAAATATCAAAATTTATGGATTTTTATTTTATCTTCCAAATTTGTTGATTTATAATCAAACTCAATTTCATTTGCTGACCCATTACAAATAGTGACAGCTCTTTTTCTATTAATACTTCCAAAAAACTATGAATATAAAGTTTCTACTTAATCTCTACCTTTTGTTTAAGGTTAAAAGGTATTTATTTCCTTTCCTTATTCTGAAATCATAAAGTATTTATTATCTTATAGAATTTTAATCTCAATAACTGTTTTAAGTCTGTTAGAGTGCAATCGAGATGTTATAGGTTTATTGATATCCTGTTTTTTGAATTCTACAGTATTTATTGGACATTGTACTGCAGACAATTGCAAAGGCGTTTTTTTTCGTTTAGAACTCTTAATTTACTTGTATTTCTTTTAAATTTAAGTAAAGGCAAAGGATAAGGGTTTGAGTAAGGGCAATCCAACTGATTTTTATTCTTAAAACCTTTGATTTAATTAATATTGTTATGTATGTTAAGATGGTAATTTGTTAATAGGAACTTTAAACTCCTCATAGTTATTTTTCTTTTTACACCAACTTTATATTGAATGCTTAATACTGAGATTTCGCATTGTCAAATCTGCTTGTAATTTATCCTGAAATTGACCTCTGGTTTTACAACAAAATGCTTAAATTTTTAGCCAGCTTATATCAATATTCAACAATAGTAGTGTTTGGTTTTATTCGTTGAATTAAAGGATGGAATTCATACTTCTTAATTTATTAGTTTGCTAAGGAATTTAATCCGAATTTAGTTTCTAAGTCATGGTTTAATTTAACATATTATCATTATATAATTAACAATAATTTATTCTTCTCCATTATAAATATAATAAATATTTCATGGGGCTGATTGAATTTAGAATGTAACTTCATTTCCTTAAACTACTTTTGCCAAACATATCATATTCTAAGAGTCCAATTAGACTTTGTGTTTTACTATATGAGAAATATCATTATTCTATAACAAAGCAAAAATATCCACTTAATTTTTAATAATTTGGGCATCTATTTTTTCAATCTTGAGGCTTTATTCGAATACAAACTTAACAGAAATAATGTTATCCAACCCTTTTTCAATCTATAATTTTATAATGTTCTTTACATCACAAAAATATATATTTGGTTTTCTGAATTATTCTAAATGGAATAAAATGTCATTTTTTTTTTCCTATTCTATATATCTCTATTGGAATGAACTTAGTTAATTTTGTAATCTATAAATTTCAAAATCTTAGGTGGTTCTGATATTATTTATATCTTATTGCTAGTTATTAATTTCCTATATTAATATATTATATAGACTTATTCTCTTTAACTCAATATCTCAATATTCTGTTGTTTTTCCCCTAATAATTACAGTTCGTAATTCCTCAATTCAGAAATTTCAGCAATTTTTTTTTCAGACTGTATTTTTTGTTAATCATTTTATTCTTTAATGATTTTATAAGTTTGATATTCCATCCTATTTAAACCCTAATCTGCTTCAGACATATTCTTTTATTTAATTAATCAATTAATAGAAATGAAAATAAATTTTTACAATTAAAAATTATTAGCAATTAGAAATAATAGGATTATAATTTAAACTTTATTAGAAATATTATTTGTATATAATTGTTTCAACTCATTCAGATAATTTTTGATTGATATATTCGATTAATCTGTCAACGATATCAATTTCGGTTTATCTATTTAATTTTTTGAAATTTAATACCTACTAACCTTTTGATTGCTGTATTCTGAGTCTTCCAATTCATTAATTTTAGTAGCATCTTAAATGTTTAATTAGGTGACTTCTACCAAAGCATTTGAAATATTAATTAATCCATCTAATTCATTCAATCTAGATTATATTTCCTTAAGTCTATTGTTTGCAGTGGCTAATGAAACTTGTAATGTTTATTTTTCGTTTTTTAAGTCATCACCTAATCTAGTCAAGTTTTCAATCTAAGAATTAAAAAAAACTGCATTTTACTTGTGTCTTGTGAGTTGCTTCAAGTTGATCTTGTCCTTCCTATAAGGCAGTAATCAAACGAGCAACCAAACTTAATACATTATTAAGGGTTTCTGGGTTAACTTTAGTTGTCATTTCAGCTAATCCTTCAATAATAGGCTGGAACAATGTTAAAGAACTCTTTTTAGTGTGAGCCTCCAAGATTTCCTTGATTTTTTAGAAATTCTCTTTGGTTTATAAGAGATTACTCTTGGTGTCTTAACTAAGAAGAATTATTGAAGGAATATTTACGTAAGCTAAATAAGGGATGCTCCTTCACCTCTTAAATTCATGAGCAATCTTTATGCTTCCTTACAAGCCAAAATGGCATCACTGTAGTCTTGATACTTAGCTGTAAAATCTGTATTTTCTGCTTCCAATCTAGATTAAGCATCACCACTTCCTCTACTATTTCTATCTAAAGCTGCCTAATCTGCAATAAATAATAAAGAAACAGTTTACCTTCTTTAACTCTAGTTTAAAGAGTTGTTAATTCATTGCTAAGGCTTGTTTGTTCTGATCTTTAATTGCCCAAATCGGCTTATGCTTATTCTAAAGTAGCTTATAATTTAGCCAAATCAACTTGGCTTCTACGAGTGAATGTGGCATTTTCTTGATCTTGTAACTAAGTGAGAGAAATGAGCTCATCCTTAATTTATTACAAGAGTTGCTTTAATTCATTGAGGGATCCTCCTGTCTTCATGTTGGCAGAAACTAAATTGATCATTGACTTTCCAAAAGGGTGATCACTATACGAGGCAAGTCTGTCATTCATTTCAGTTATAGATGTTGCATAAATGCATGTTATCAAGGCTAACAAAACAAAGTGTTTCATTATATTATATTTAATTATTATAAGCACTCCAAAAACGAATTATAATATTATGTTAAAATATAAACAGTAACGAATATCAGAAGATGATTCATAACCATATAAATTGCTGGTACTACATAAAATATAAATTAAATAAGATTTAGCAACATAAATTGCGTTCATCTGAAAAAAAGAGACCACCCAGTCGTCCCAGAACATCATCTGTAAACAAGCCTCAAGTTGACATATTACTTGAAATCTAAATTCAAAATGAAATACTATCTAAAGCTATAAATTCCTTAAGAAACACTATTGACTAGTTTAAGGAGTGAATTAATATATTATAATAGTTATAGTACTCAATCTAGAAGTGGTTTGTGTTATAGAAGCCCCTAATAACAGATTCTCTCACAAAAATTTATATATTAACAATATCTCTTCTTGTTTGATGCTTATTATTTGATTTATTGAATTATAAATGATAAGAATTTGCTATAATAATTTTAATATAAACATAATATTTATAGAACTTATTGGTGAGTAATCAATATATCAAAATATCCAAGATATTATAGAATACGTTGTATTTATTACTGGAGAATATATTCACTTAAAGCAGTTATAAAAACTAAGAGATCTTATTTTATTCTTAAAATTAAGTTATATTATTCAAAGAACAAAAGATAATATTTATTCAAATTACTAATTAAATAGTTAAAGTGATAATATCCATTGAAGTCATTTTTATATTCTTCGATTAAGAAATCAAATATTTGGATTGTTTTCAAATATCTATGGAACAATTTTAAAAAAGACTTGGAGATAGAGAATCCATCACTGCTTTAATCCTTTAATATTGATTTAATGTGTTTGAATATGTATTAAATGATCTCAAATTTGAAATTAGACCCTAAGTTTCAATTTATATAGTCATTATTTACAAAAATTGACTTTTTGATTGTGATAAATTATTTTGTTTTAAAATACTAAAATACTCATTTTCTCAATAATGAAATGGCTCCACTTACTTAGTAATCCCAAATCAAATAGGCCACCAAGGCTCCATATAATGCATAATTTATGATGTCATCTGAATGAATTTTCCACAAGAATAAATACGATTATTTTTTATACTCATTCCAACCTTACTTTTTGGCAAAGGAAATGTCTTTATTAATCATAAACCCATAAAATCCAACTATCCAGACTGTAATTAATATAGTATATGATAACCAATGTCCACTTAGAATTGCAAATGACAAATACAATATCATTTCACCTGTATAATTAGGATTCCTATTGTATTTAAACATTCCTTCTGTAATCAAACCTTATTTATATTTCAATGTATAGTATTTTTAGCAATCGCTCACAATCATTAACACAACTCCAAAAACATAAGCAAAAATAGCAGTCACTACACGAGCGTTGCTAGGATTTTGTATTCCACCTGATATTTATAACCAGGCAATAACCCAATATAAGCTTAATAATAAAGTAGTAAATATTAATGAACCAATTGTAATTTTATTTTGAAAAGTTCGATCTGGAAATGTAAAATCTTTGACAACCCAAATTATTCCATAGCTACCATGCAATGCCAACTAATATAAAAAATTTCATTATACGTATAGATAAGCACCTAAAGAAAAATTTTAATACCACCAAATCAGGAAAACAACGAAAAAGGCTGTTAATCCTTTTTAAGCATTAATTATATGGCATTATTTGATTACCTTAGGTCCTCCCAAAAAGTCATTTACGACAACTTTAGCAAACTCTTAATGTTACCTAAACATAAATTTAATTTTTGTTAATAATATTATGTTATTAATATGTAAATTCAAATAAAAAGTGAACTATTTAAGTATATTGATTGTTCTTCATCCGATAAACAGTCATCAAATTCTTCCTATAATGTTCTTTAGATTACTTTCTCTGATTATTCTTAATTGTATTCAAGGTTTAAAATATCTATTTTGCCATTTTCTATTCTAGGTAAATGTAAGCTTAACTCATCATCGGTGTCTTTGTGTTTATTAACATCATCATATTGTTCACACTTTTTAATTAAGAAGGGGATTTCATTATCGATATAATGCATTTCAAGGGAGTTAACTTGGGTGGCAACGAATTGATCCTCATACTAAGTGAATATTGAGTTTTTCATTGATTGAGTAGATCCAACATTTTTTATTTTCTTTGAATGAGCTAATTATCCAAATTTGTTGAGAAAATCAACCTTTTATTTTAATTGTTTTTATATTTTGCTATTTTAATGAGTTAACTCCTCACAAATCATTTGATGTAATTCCAGCTATTTTACTAATTGCTTTTTATGAAGTTTTAATTCTTCTGATTTTAGCATATTCTCTTTAAGTAGATGCTAAAATTATGTGTTTTTTATTTTAGCAAGCATGTATTCTTCATACAATTGCTAATACTCTTAGTTATCAAAAGACAAATGTTTTTAAATTTATAAATTTTGCTTCCTCTCAGTTTAACTCAATCTCGTCTCTATTTCATGTAATTCTAATAATTTTTGTGATATGGCTTTTTTTATATCCTTGAGTTATTCATACTAATTTCCAATTTAGTCACATTTATTTTCGATTACTTAAGTAATGTGTCTAATTGTAACATCCATTAAACAAATATTTTCATCATATGCTTAATTTTACATAATATATAGTTTAATATAAATTATATTTTCTCAAAGTATTTCTAGTCTCATCAGTAATTAATTCTATTTATTATAAAACTATGCATATAAAGTAACAATTCAAAATAATTCTATTAAACCTAATAGCATATCTCGACATAACCAATCATAAGTAATCATAATTTTTAAAATACAGGAATATTTTTTTAAATAAATTATTGTTTTTCAACAAAATATATTTCTATAAGTGTTCCCAAAGATACTTCTATTCAATATCTACCATTTCTGTGTATTTTCAGTATTGGCTAATTATCCTAAACTTGTTTATAATTGACTTTAAAACTATAACTACTCTAAATATTAAAAGCTAAATATTCCTATTTCCGATTAGAAGTATAATAGACTGGAAGCCAGCTGAAGGATTTATTGATGATATATGAATATTCACAAATAATTATATCTACAATGTAAAAGGAGGACTTAAGTAATAAATAATTAGTAAAAATTATCATTATCGCAACAATTGATTTCAAAAAATCTTTATTATGAGGCTTAAAAAAAATATTATTAAGAACAGTTATAATCCAAGATTGTTTCATATTCTCCTTTAAAATATCCAAAAAAAAACATTTCATACCCAAAAAAGGAGCTTTGAAGGAGAGATCTATGATTACGAAGTCAATAATGATCGAAACAAAAACATATCAATAATACTCCTATTATATTGGTGATACATCTTCATCTCAAATTAATTAGTAATTTGTTAAGAATTTATAAAGGATTTATTTTGAGAAAGTCTTAAATATAAATATCAAATATTATGGGCTGGAGTCCTTTTTTCAATAAAGTAAGCACTCTTTACTATGTAAAGGATAATATCTGCATTACATAGTTCTACGCCATTTAATTTCAGAGCTTATACTTATTAATAAGATTAACGCACAAATACTATCAAATCATAAATGTACAATTCGGAGATTAATTTTTCTAACCTCTTTTTTTATTCCTTCTTCACATTTTATTTCTTAATTCATAATATGTTGGAAAATAATTTACACTGGTTTTCGTTACAGATTTTGGAATATAATTTAATAAAGTTCTGAAATTATTGTGAATATGACTACATGTTAGAATTTAATTTTGTCTTAATTACATCTTGTAGTATACTAGTACGCTTTTTGATTAAAGTCTAAAGCTGCAGAAATAATAAGTAGGTAATTCATTTGGAAGACATTTGTTAAATCCTACTATCATATTGAAACTGCCCTATAAATCTTTTCTTGTTCTTTTGAAGATATTGTTTTTTATACTTTAGAGAGAAATCAAGGTGAATAACACAAGTTTACAAAAGAAGAAACTATTATTTCCAAGAAAACTATTTCGATATCAACCGATGGTTCACGATAATTTAATGTAAAGAAACTTTTAGATTATGAATATGCTATTTAATTTGTTTTCTGTGAATTTATTCAAAAAAAGCTATGTATTTATAATATTACTGAATAATTCATTATATCGCTAAGTATGAATAATTACTTATCAAGATTATCCACATTTTCTCTTGTTTATTCTAAGATTATATTATAAAGATTAAGTATCTGGAAGTATCATTTAGATGAATAATAATGGCATTATCAACACAAATTAGAAACAATGATAATTTAGTTTATTATATGAGTACTTTATTCAAAATTACTTTCAGATATAATGTGATATAGCGCAGTATTTTTTTCATAGTATCAATAAGAAAGTTTATTTGAATTAAGAATATCAATAGTAATAAAATACATTGAACCAGTACAATTTGATTGATTTCATAGTAGATATTTCAAATAGGTTGAAATTAATTACCTGACAATATAAATTATTTTCTTAAATAATAATGGATTGTTATATCAGATATTTATTATAGATAAATTGAAAATATCAAAAAAAAACAGTCAATACAGACAACCCTATTAATTGATTCTTCTCTTTATATTGTTGAAGTAAAAAAGTCAAGCAGAGAAATCAAGAACCACACTTATGAAAATCAGGTTAAAAATTAATATATATTATGTATTTGAATTGTAATAAATTTCACTTTTATAAGGATTCCAAAATGCAACTTCCTTCAGATTTGAATAATTATCATAAATCACCACCTTAATAATTTATTATATTCTCCATTTAATACTAAAGCTCCTTAGACTATAAAAAAGAAGTATTTTTCGATCAATTTTGCCTAAGTAATAATGAAACTAAATATGATTTTTGTCATGGATGACCTTTAAACTGGCAGAACTAAAAAAAGAATGAATTTGTAAAAATTATTTTGATTTAGAATTTAATTACTGTTTTAACATCCCATAAACGGATAGAGATTCGTATTCCTTAGGGCTTGAGAAAATATTCTTATTTCGGCCTAACTGGCTAGGAAATTCCCGATTCATATTCCGGCCGTCTTGCTCAGGAAATTCCAGCCTCCATATTCCGGCCGTAATGGCTAAGAAAATCCGATTGGTATTCAGCCTTACTAATGTTGCCTGATGGTAGCGCTTCTATATTGGAGAATTTGAAAATTTCCCAAAATATAAAGGAAAATGAAATTAAATTTTCATTCAATATAAGGAAACACGAACTGCCATAAGTAAAACTAACCTTTCAATGAGGCTAATCATCTGGTAGAGTTAAGAAGCCTTATTTTTTGTTGGCTAAATGAAGAGTATATATTTTGATAATATATATTAATTCTTTATTGTAAATGGTTATTATAATCTACACTTTAGGATCTATATCTAGTGAATAGTACGCTTTTTCTAAATTTCATTTTACTCAAGTTTTAACTTAATCAAGCTTGATATTTAAAACTACTCCCATTTTTGACAGATATAAATTGTATTTCTATAAGGTGAATATAATTGATCTTAATCCGTCTCTCTATAAAGTTACTGAAAATTAAAAATCTCTTTCTCAGCCAAAGCATTTTGCAATCAGATATTATCGATATTACTTTTACAATTAATTCAATAATTACAATAATTATCTAGCTCTCTAAACATTAACAATTAACAAAAAATTTTAATAATATTAAATTTTTATTTTATATTTTAAATGGATCAATTGTGTATAATTTTTAGTTCATTCTCTAAAATCAAACTACCTTTAGATTTAAATAATGATTTTAAATCTTATCCTTTCAAATCAGCAAATTCTCCTTTCAATATTAGAGCTCCTTAAGCTTCTAAATTTGGATTCTAGGAAATTTTTAGAATTGTAATATAAGGGGCAGCTAAGAATAGTGAAAAATAAATACTACTTTCTGGAAGAACATTATTTGAAATTGTTGAATGTTTTAAAGATGCTAAAATATCTTTATAACTATTATTTTAAGATGAGGTTTCTTCTTCTGTCTTAACATCCCATAAACGGATAGAGTTATCAGAACTACCAGATGCTAATGTAGTACCATCAGGAGAGTAACAAATTGAATTAACTGCACTTGAATGACCATCTAATTTGGCTTTTTATTATCCTATCTTAACATCCCATAAACGGATAGAGTTATCATAACTACCAGATGCTAATGTAGTACCATCAGGAGAGTAACAAATTGTTCTTACACAATCAGAATGACCATCTAATTTGGCTTTTTATTATCCTGTCTTAACATCCCATAAACGGATTGACTTGTCATCACTACCAGATGCTAATGTAGTACCATCAGGAGAGTAACAAATTGAATTAACTGCTTCTGAATGATCTAATTTGGCTTTTTATTATCCAGCCCTAACATCCCATAAACGGATAGAGTTATCATCACTCCCAGATGCTAATATAGTACCATCAGGAGAGAAACAGACATAATAAACATAATGATTTTGACCTTCTAGTTTGCATTTTTTTTATCCAAGTTTAACATCCCATAAACAAATAGAATTATCTTAACTCCCAGATGCTAATGTAGTACCATCAGGAGAGAAACAGACTGAATAAACTGGAGCATTATGATTTTGTAAATTGCCTTTTAATTAGCATGTCTAAACATCCCATAAACGGATAGAGTTATCATAACAACCAGATGCTAATGTAGTACCATCAGGTGAGAAACAGATTTAACAAACAAAAGGAGATTAATCATCACCATGACTATTTAATTTGGCTTATTATTATCCAGTTCTGACATCCCAAAAACGAATAGAGCCATCATAACTACCAGATGCTAATATAGTTCCATCAGGAGAGAAACAAACTGATTAAACATAACTTAAATGACCATCTAATTTTTTTTCCTCCTCATTAATTTTTATTTTTCTCCATTTACAATTGAATAATTAGGCTTAATTCAAGTTCACTCCACTAATTTCAACATTATCAAAATGGGACCCATTGAAATTGCATCTTAAAAAATTTCCACCTATCAAAGAACTATCCTTAATCCTGATATTTTCAAAGTTTTGTTCTTTCATATTTACTTTCATCTCTACTAATAAATTGAGTGAATTAGATCCAGATTGAATAAATTTCTCGTCAACAGCAGTGAGTTGAACAAGAAACATTAAAAAATTGACTATCTTGCCATCACCTGCTATTTATTTAATTAAATCCTTTCTAATTTATTAATATTCTATAGTTGAATAATTTTCCTTATTAAAGTTAATATCACCAATATTTTAAATAATATTAGTGATAAAATTTCTCTAAAGTTTATACATATTACTATTCTTACATAGATTTATAAGAAATTCTATACAATCTGTGATTTTCTCTTTTCTTACCTTTTTAATAATTCCTTTAAGGAACTATTCATCAATTTTTTTTGTTAATTCTAATACATCATATACATTTTCTTTTCGTTCATAACCTTATTCTATTATCTAAATAGGTTAAATCCTTAATTCTGAATTATAGGCCTACTAAATCTTTGATATTTTCTCTATCATTTTCTTCTTCAACGTTTCTGAAAAGGCTTTGGTTTCTTGCTCCAACTAGTTCTACTTCTTTTCCAAGCTTNAACTACCAGATGCTAATGTAGTACCATCAGGAGAGTAACAAATTGTTCTTACACAATCAGAATGACCATCTAATTTGGCTTTTTATTATCCTGTCTTAACATCCCATAAACGGATTGACTTGTCATCACTACCAGATGCTAATGTAGTACCATCAGGAGAGTAACAAATTGAATTAACTGCTTCTGAATGATCTAATTTGGCTTTTTATTATCCAGCCCTAACATCCCATAAACGGATAGAGTTATCATCACTCCCAGATGCTAATATAGTACCATCAGGAGAGAAACAGACATAATAAACATAATGATTTTGACCTTCTAGTTTGCATTTTTTTTATCCAAGTTTAACATCCCATAAACAAATAGAATTATCTTAACTCCCAGATGCTAATGTAGTACCATCAGGAGAGAAACAGACTGAATAAACTGGAGCATTATGATTTTGTAAATTGCCTTTTAATTAGCATGTCTAAACATCCCATAAACGGATAGAGTTATCATAACAACCAGATGCTAATGTAGTACCATCAGGTGAGAAACAGATTTAACAAACAAAAGGAGATTAATCATCACCATGACTATTTAATTTGGCTTATTATTATCCAGTTCTGACATCCCAAAAACGAATAGAGCCATCATAACTACCAGATGCTAATATAGTTCCATCAGGAGAGAAACAAACTGATTAAACATAACTTAAATGACCATCTAATTTTTTTTCCTCCTCATTAATTTTTATTTTTCTCCATTTACAATTGAATAATTAGGCTTAATTCAAGTTCACTCCACTAATTTCAACATTATCAAAATGGGACCCATTGAAATTGCATCTTAAAAAATTTCCACCTATCAAAGAACTATCCTTAATCCTGATATTTTCAAAGTTTTGTTCTTTCATATTTACTTTCATCTCTACTAATAAATTGAGTGAATTAGATCCAGATTGAATAAATTTCTCGTCAACAGCAGTGAGTTGAACAAGAAACATTAAAAAATTGACTATCTTGCCATCACCTGCTATTTATTTAATTAAATCCTTTCTAATTTATTAATATTCTATAGTTGAATAATTTTCCTTATTAAAGTTAATATCACCAATATTTTAAATAATATTAGTGATAAAATTTCTCTAAAGTTTATACATATTACTATTCTTACATAGATTTATAAGAAATTCTATACAATCTGTGATTTTCTCTTTTCTTACCTTTTTAATAATTCCTTTAAGGAACTATTCATCAATTTTTTTTGTTAATTCTAATACATCATATACATTTTCTTTTCGTTCATAACCTTATTCTATTATCTAAATAGGTTAAATCCTTAATTCTGAATTATAGGCCTACTAAATCTTTGATATTTTCTCTATCATTTTCTTCTTCAACGTTTCTGAAAAGGCTTTGGTTTCTTGCTCCAACTAGTTCTACTTCTTTTCCAAGCTTGCCAAAAAAGAATTTGTAAAATCTTTCCTTACATCTAATGCTTTTCCTATAACAATTTAGACTAATCTTTCGAAATCTGTATTTGATAATTCTATTGGATTCCCTTCTTTTATTATTGTCAAATAAGAAGTATTTTCACTTTCAATTGCGTCATAAATCTATTATATTGATTCTGATAATTCAACCAAAATTTTTTATAGCCTGATTTGGTTCTCAGAAATTAATGATTAAAACTTCTTTCTTTAAGTTTGTATTTCAGTAAATTTATCTAGCTTTAATTCCTCTAATTTCTTATCAACCAATTTTTAAAATTTTTTAATCGAAAATATGTATTGACTATATACTTTATGTTCATCTTGGCATTCAGAGCAAAGTCTCCTTTAGCAATAATTCTAATGAGGAGCTATGCATATCAATGTTACTTGATTATTATGTTAAGTGCAATACATTATTTTTATAATAAATTTCTATTACATATTTAAAAGTCATATACCACAATATTATCTTCAATATTTTGTGAGGAAGAAAACAATAAATTACCTTTAGTGAATAACTTATATGAGTGAATAGGTTTTATATTTTATGAATAGAGAACAACTTATAATCATCAATTAGCACCATTTGAACAAAATCAAAAATATATGGCTTTCTGAATGATTTTTGAGCAATTGAACTTTTGATACCTAATAGGTTTTAAGATAGGATTTCATATTTCCTTTTCCAAAACTGTACATAAGGGGGGAATCAAATAAGAGTTCTTTCAGATTTCATCCAGGCTAATACTACCAAAAGAATCAATCCAAAAAAGTATTACAATTTGTTTCTTTCATTTTTTTGTTCTCATATGCATATTTCATAAACTCGTTTATTTGTTTTTTATGAAGTGATGTCTCACCTCATGTAAGTTATTTATGCAATTAACAGGTAGTTTTGAAAAGTTAAAAAATTCCTTAAATAAAAAATTTTCCAAAAGACTAATACTCGAAGGCAACAAATTAAGGTGTGGTAACTTATGATATTGTCCAAATTGTACCCCTCTATAGAGTGATACGGGAAGGCAAAAAATTCCAGCTGAGAATTCCGGAAGGCCTTCTGCCCTTGCCCAATCTTCATGCCTAGACCTTCCGTCCAGCCGTTGTGATCCACAAATACCTTTTTTTGATTGCTTGCTCACTAAGTAAAATTTGATTAATTTTTGACCACTTACTAACTTGGTAAAATTTTTCGAAACCCGACTGTTTTGCTTGACTCTTTCTGCCTGTTGCTATGGTGGAAGCCCGACTGTTTTACTTGACTCGTTCTGTCTGTTGCTAGATCCCCAAATCCCATTTTTATTGCCACTTCCACTATAAAATAATTTCTACAAGGTGAAATAGTATATATTAACATGTATAAAGGGTTTGGGTTTGGGTTTGGGTTTGGGTTTGGGTTTGGGTTTGGGTTGGGGTTTGGGTTTGGGGTTGGGGTTGGGTTTGGG